ACATAGGTGTCACAATAGCCATCAGCAAAATTGTATAATCTCTTTTTGGCAGAGTTAGAGGCTCTTCCTAAACCATGTTTTAGATAATTCCATAGTTTCATGCTTTAGGAGAGCCTTTACCTTCCTTGAAGATTGCTACTCTGCCTCAGGGTCCTGGCCGTGTCTTCAGATGGTTTAGTATCATAGTAACTTTTTTTTGTAAATTCAGCATCTTTGTGCCTGTTTCACGCATAGAATCCCGAAACACTGGGAAACATTCAATCTTTCCTTAAAAGAGCTTGCTTTGGATTAAAAACAAAAATGTATTTTTTTCTGCACTGCGTGTCTGTCTGTCTGTCTATGTTGAGGCCAGCGGCTTTTAGTAGCTCAAGAAGGTTCTTCCTTCTCTTGCCCGGCCTTCATGCATTGTGAGGGGGTGGGAATGTGGATCTCTGAGGAAAGTTTGACAAGTCTTCTGAATTTGTGTGGCTATTGAGAATCCAGAGGCGCATTCCATCTATCACAGAAACTGACATGCAGGTGGTTACTATGCAGAACCATTATTCTGACCTTTTCTGCCTGAACAAGGCATTATGAGAGCTGCCGGGAATCAGGCTCTTGAATGTTTTAAGGGTCTGTTCGAAGTTTTCATTGCTCTGACAGCAGAAAGTTGAAGTGATGATCTTAAGAGATCGAAACTTGTACAGCTCTAAGCTGCAGGGAGCTTGGTGGATAGAGCTGTGGAGAAGTATGAATAGAGTATGTGCTCACTTTCTTTTTCTGCCAAGGTTTTTGTTTTCTTATCCCTGGACAAATCCATATACTCTCTTGGGAAACATCAGTTCTGTCCCGAGTTATTTGTGTATTCATTAAAATTAGTTTGCTTAGTCTTCATAAATAAAAGCCACAGTAGTATATAACAATTAGTTTGTTGAGCTAGGATCATGGAAATTAAAACCAATCATATGAAGTTGTTGGACAGATGAATTACTATGCTCATCATCCTGAAGAAGACTAAAACCTTTTTGTTTTTAGATTTTTGAGATGGCAGTGTACCAATGGAGGTTTGTAAACATTTTTCTCTGGTAAAATACTAAAGAAAAAAAAATATGGAATGTTATTTCTGAGGAAAACTCAGAACAAACCATTTCTTTGAAATCGTCATTTCAAAATATGAAAAATTACAATGAAATCCTGATATCTAACCTCATTCCTCCCACCCCACCTCCACTTTGTGTTTGTGCATCATATAGAAAATAGTTTGATTTTGGTGACATTCTATTAGGAAAACCAAAGAGAAAAACTTCCTGTGTGAAATGCTTTCAGCAAAAGGTCAAAGGATAGTGTGACAGCCAGTATTGTATGAAACTTTTAGTAATGTTTATTTCTAAAATGTTTCAGAGATTAAAAGAGTAGTGAATAGTATGGAAGAAATATTTTTAGACTTCTTAAAGTTCCCAGTGACAAACTCTTAGACTTCTGAAGTGCTTTTTCCTTGCCATTTTTTCCAATCCAATGTGACAGTAAAATAAAATCTTCAGGGATATAATATGTACTAACATTACATGATTTGAATTTAGCAAAATAAAGCACTCAAAATAGATGTTTTCTTTGTAATATTTAGGTTTTACCTAACAGCCTCTATAGCACTGTGATTCTTAGGTAAAGGTAAAGGTTCCCCTCGCATATATGTGCTACTCGTTCCCGACTCTAGGGGGCGATACTCATCTCTGTTTCAAAGCCGAAGAGCCAGCACTGTCCGAAGATGTCTCTGTGGTCATGTGGCCGGCATGACTAAATGCCAAAGGTGCCAAAGGTTACCTTCCCACCAAAGGTGGTCCCTATTTTTCTACTTGCATTTTTTACGTGCTTTAGGTTGGCAGAAGCTGGGACAAGTAACAGTGGCTCACCCCGTTATGCGGCACTAGGGATTTGAACCACTGAACTACCGACCTTTCGATTGACAAGCTCAGCGTCTTAGCCACTGAGCCACCACCTCCCTCTTATTGCAGACAAGTCCCTACTTGTCCCTAAAGAAGAGGAAGCACCACAGCTCTACCAGCTGCTTTCAGCCTACTGCTGCAATCCTCTCCCCCAAAACCAACCCCAAAACCCAACCCATTCTCAGTCTAGATATATAAATGTAGCAAAATAAATTAAATAATTGCAAGTTTTTAATGTATGTTAACTTACTATATAGCACATAAATGCAGGTTGTCGAGCTTCAAATATTTATAGGTTGGTGGTAAGTGTTCATAATATTGCTTGACCAAATAAGGTGATGAAATTTGAAGAGAGACAGGAGTTGTTTCACCCTTTGGCTGTTCCCATTCTTCCATTGTATGCTGAAGAAAGTTTTCATGTTTATTTGGTGACCATGAAATTGATTGACCTTACATGCAGTTCTATCAACTTTTCTCTGTACCTCGCTGATAAACTAGAGTGAACTTCCAACTTTATTCATGAGCAAAGCTAGTCACTGTTTACATTCAAACTTGACACTTTATTGTCCCCACTCTACCCCACCCCCATATTCCATACTAGACCATAATATATTTGCCTATGGTTCAGTATGGGAATCAGCTAACTTTTGGGATGGCATTGCTCTTCTGATGAAGTGGCCTAGGGACCATAAAAGAAAGAAAAATGCAGATCTTTTCTGACACAGGTATATAAAGTTGGAAAAGTCAGGGATGAGGGATGACTTTTGGGGATCTTATAATCATTACATAGACAGCTCTCAACATTATATATAAATACTTTCATCTAAATATATCATTTTTGGTATAATTTGCTTTTTTCGACTCAAAACCATAAATGGGATATGAGCATATCCCATTATAGCATATCATGATGTGAGAATTTTCAGTATAGTCATCTGATTATCTGTGTTATTGTTTTGATCAGAATTTGAGGGAAAGCAGCCATTTATTTAAATCAAATTTATGTGGGTTGCCCATCCCAACAAGTGACTTTGGGCAGCAAATAGAATTAAATTAGACTGTGTGGGCATTTCTCTGATTTCTAAGACCTGCTTTGATAACACTGTGAGATAATTTGATTCAATAAAAATATAGAGTAAGCTCTATTATAGGCAGCTGTTTCTATTTCTCAAGCAGTCAAAATATCAGTCTCTTGGAAAAAACTCTTAATGTAAGAAAGCAATTTTTAAATACATTATTTCACTTATTTAAATTACTTCACCTATTCTTACAGCATTTGTTAGAGAAGGTATGTAGGAATTTAATTTTTAAGGTGCAGGTGTACCTATTTAATATTTCAAAACACCCAATCCCATATATGAAGTCACTTATTCAAATAAAGCAATTTGAATTTCTTTGCATTGCTTTTATGCTGGTGTCTTAATTCATTCTCTGCCAAGTTTCCCAGAATTATATATTTTCCACACAAATGGGAAAAAGACAGGTTGATAATACTTTAAACAGCTGTGTGAAAATCAGCATAAAACCCAAAAGACAGCTGCAGAGATCACTATCAATCTGTTCAGCTGTCATTTAGGGCAGTTGACTTTGGCCCTAGATATTCTGAAAGGTTAAAATAAATTGAGGAGGATATGAAAAGAGGTTCTCTAGAATGCAACCATGAGAATTTTTCTCAGGCTGATGCTGTTGTGATTTTTGCACAATCTTGAGAAATTGTCCATCTGTTTTCTAGCATTTTCTTCACAGTCATATGACCTGAAGCTTGTTTTGTGTAATAGTGGCTTTAATTGGGTATAACTTTAAATTGACTGTGTAGGTTGTGAGTGGAAAGTGGTAGTAACTGCTCCTAAATCTTAGCATAAAATTTACAGAGGGAATCAACATCCCTCTCTGATATGTGGAGTTCAGTTCTCAGACTTACAACATTCTATTCTTATTCTATTCAGTGGTGAAATCCCAAATTTTTTACTGCTGGTTCTGTGGGCGTGGCTTGGAGGGCGTGGCAGGGAAAGGATACTGCAAAATCTCCATTCCCACCCAACTCCAGGGGAAGGATACTGCAAAATCCCCATTCCCTCCCCACTCTTGGGGGAAGGATATTGCAAAATCTCCATTCCCACCCCAGAGGTGGTATTTGCCGCTTCTCCAAACTACTCAAAATTTCTGCTACCAGTTCTCCGAACTGCTCAAAATTTCCACTACCGGTTCTCCAGAACCTGTTGGATTTCACCCCCCGATTCTAGTCTAGTCTAGTCTAGTCTTCTCCTTGCTTGAGCAGGGGGTTGAACTAGAAGACCTCCAAGGTGCCTTCCAACTCTTGTATTCTGTACTTCTCAGCAATGGCCATGTTAAAGAATTCTGAGTGTTGAAATCCCAAGAAATATACCCAGACTGAGGAAAGTTGGGTCAAGCTTGGGTTCTCCAACAATGTTGTACATTGAAATATCTGACGGGCATAAGAAACCTTCCTGCTTATAGTTTTAATAATTCTGTGTGGGTTATTTAGCTGAAAGGGAATTGTTCTCACTTGCTGAAATTGAAAAAATAAAACAGATTGGTCCTAGTGAAGTCTAATGAAACTTGATTTATTGATTCCTACCTTTCTAGTAAATGGAGCAAAATAACAACAGTAGCAACAGCAGAAATTAGGAGTGCCCATTTTTCATAGCAAATATCTGGTTCTCTATCTGTATAGTCATAAACTAATGCAGGATGGGGAAGATGGTTTGCAGGATATCATAATAGTGATATTATCCATGATAGAGCTAAATATTGGAAATAGAGAGAAATATTCAATTTCAGAGTCACTTAGGTTCTTTGCAGCTCTGGTGCCTGCTTTTACCTCTTTTTGTTTCAGTTTTCATTCTGTTCCTCAGGTTTTCAGCTTATTTTATAGAGCATTTTCTATGAGATTTATTTTCAGGCAGAATTTAGTACCAAAGAGCACTATGTTTTCACTTTCAGGAAATTATTAAGTTGTAGAAATAATGGACAACAAGGAAGATGCTTTAGAGAAAGAGATCAAAGGGATTTCATTTTCTTGACATAATGTTTAATTTCCTTTTTCCTTGCTTGCAGGCTTGTCTGGGAACCCAGCAGATCTAGAAAAAAGAAGACAAGCATTTGGCCAGAATTTCATCCCACCCAAAAAGGCCAAAACCTTCCTGCAGTTAGTTTGGGAAGCATTGCAAGATGTCACGTTAATCATCTTGGAAATTGCAGCCATAATTTCTCTGGGTCTCTCTTTCTATCATCCTCCTGATGGCGACAATGAAAGTAAGTGAATTGCATTTTCTCAATAAACATTAGCAAAGTGTTGGGCAGATATCTCTGCTGTGATCCAGGAAGGCTGTTGTACATCCCTGCATAAGTTGAAAAAACAAAAACATGTTCAACTAGTTCACTATTTCTGTCAAATTATTAGAGCAGTTTGGTCAATGACTTCAGTGCTTGTAATTACATACGATATGAGAAAAGATTGGGAGGCAGAGAAGGTCAAGGCTAAGGAATGCCAGACCAATCTCTCCCACAGCTTAAAAATTGGGCCCAGGCCAGCTGAAATATGTTTCTCCTTTATCCTGAGGGCTTGCTGCTTCTGAACGGATAATTCACCTTGTGACAATAAAGTAAATCACGTTTCATATAAACAATATTTTTGAGTATGAAAGACTATTGGCTGTTTCCTAGTACCTCTCTGAGAATATTGTCTGTGCTGAGTTTTCGTTAGTTGAATGGTTTAATATTCTTTAATTCTTTGTTTTTTCACTTTGATGACTATAAAATACAGCTTTTTGTCTCTTCCTCTGCTTCCCACTCTCCAGTTGAATTTGTTCCTGACAGTATCAAAGACTTTTTTTTTTGTCCACTTTTAGTATGATGTACAGTGCTGAATTCAGGGTGAGGGTAACATAACACCTGATCCAAAAACATACTCATTTGGCTGATTTGTCTCAAGCTTCACAAAGCCAGGAAATTGGATGCTAATAGACATATCCCATGATTAGAAGTATTAGAAGATGTATAAAAACAAGATTATTTTATGTCATCCTGGCCCTATTTGATTCTATAAAGGAAATTCATATTTTCTATGATGTGGCTTCCCTCTCTTAGCTTCGATGGTTTAGCCAACATAGGTAAGCCTTAACTCAATCTTAAATTAACAAATGTTTTTGAGAAAGAGGAAGATTATCAATATTCACCTGAAAAAATCCTGTTCTTGCAGAGAACATCCCTTTTCTGGTGTTTGAAAAGAAAAATTATCACTAATATCATCCATCATTACCAATGTATCTTAATGTGTTTTCCTTCTTAGGTTTTATGATGACAGTAATGATTTCTTTCATGGTGAATGCTTTCAGTTTTTTTTGAAATTTGTGCTTCTTATATAATTATTGCAAGCATAGGAGAAAAAATATTTCTAATAGAAATAAGCAAAATTCAAATAGGGACCAAGGTGTTGAAATATCTAGAAGCTTCTTTATGCTAAATTATAATAAAAAGGAAAGATCCTGGGTTGTTTATTTAAACTTCCTTCTCTATGTTTATAATGAAAGGTTTAAACTGCAAATGGAGACTGCAATTATATTCTGATTACCCATTAAAAGAAATAAAATTTACATAATCTAGTTCTACTGTAGGCTGTTTCTGATTCATTTGCTTATAAACATCCTGGCACTGGAATACAGCATGGAGGTCTTTGCCAGTAAGTTTTGAATTGCTACTCAGAATTTTATAAAAGAAATGAAGTATTGCCTTCCTTCACAAGTCTGAATAAAGTACATTTGTTGGCATATCACCTATGTTACTAACATTTGATTGAAATAGATCATATACTTGTCCAAAAATGGCTTTAAAAGTTGAATCACCCAAGCAATGCTTGTGTCAGTTTGAAATAAACTTAAATTATAGAGTGGATAAAATGATAAATGCCAAGATTATAATAATTTCATTTTCATAAGGAATAGAAATGTAAGACATTTTAACTTTTTTATGGTTTTTGGAAACCACCTTAACTAAAGTTATATTGATGCACCCATTAAAAGATGTAAAATGAGCCAAGTCCCAGGAAGTAAATAATGCCATTTTGTTAATTAAAAAATAAGACAACATTATTTGCTATAATTTAGGGTTTTATTTTTGAGTTTATAATGTGCAGTGTTTCAAACTTTAATAAAATATCAGACTATATTTCAGTGCTGATCTATTGAAAAAGAGTAATTCAGTATTATGTGAATGTCATACAAAGCCATAAAACAGAATATGGACTTTTGGCTGGTGATTATTGATCATACAGTTGAAAATTCTATGATCATGTTGATAGTCAAATAATCACCTGGATTTAGGTAATGATCAATGGTAAGATATGACACTGTAATAGGCGTAAAGAGGAAAATACAGAAGAGGTTACAAGGCAACTCTCTAAGCCATGTAATTTTCAAACTTGACAACTTTAGAATGTGTGGACTTGAATTCCCAGAATTCTGGTTGGGGAATTCTGGGAATTGAGGTCTACACATTTTAAAGTTGCCAAGTATGAAAAACACTGCTCTAAGCCATTCATCAAAGAAAGAAAGGGGAATATTTGCTCCTTTCTTGATTGTGTCAATATTGCTGCTATGAATTGATGGTTGAAACTAAAGTGTATTTCTGACACCACGAAAACTAAAGAAGGACAACTGAAGGAAATGCTTTGCCCAGTCTAGTGGTTTTTAAGATATCCAGAAGCATCTTGCTTTGAGAAGTTCAGTTCCCTTACTACTTTATCAACTTTTAACTAGGGATTTCTTTAAAACTGAAACTGGCTAATGCTGCTTGGAGAAGACATCTCTGTGGCTGATTTTGACATGGTGAGAAACCCAGCCAAATTTTTTGCTGTCACTGAAATTTGTTTTTTCAGTTTCCTATGGAAAATTTCTGTTGGAAGTTCTAGTTTCCCTGCTGTAATCCAATTCCACCCACCCACCCACCCATCTTTTATAAAAGGAGATGATGGATGTAAATCCTTGGAGTTGTAAACTGAGCATTAGCCTAAAGAGGAAAGTAAGGAGCTCTGTCTAAATAGAGCTCTAATAATACACTTGTGCTTGGCATTGCACCTTGCTAGAAGACTTGTTCAGTATTACAACTCGATGCACACTAGGATAGCCTTTCTTGCCTAGGATAGCCTTCCCCACGCTTACACCATCCCAATGTGTTCAGATTACAATTCATAGAATCCTCAACATTGTCAAAGGATAGAAATTATAGGTTTTGTAGTTTTGGAATATCTACAGGATGCCAAGTTTTGGAAGGCTGTTCTAAGGCACGTATCCTGAAAACTATTTCTGCACAAGAAAACAGACACTTGAAATGAAACTAATTAACTTTTTATTTACATAGATTCAGTAGATTATTAAATTAATTAGTGCTCTTCTTACTGTAGCCATGTTATTACAAACACAGAGAATGAATTAGAAGAGCTTGTATTTGAGATAATGTAATACCATCATTACTAAAGGCAGGACAGAAAGTTTTGTATGTACAAAGTTAGATAGGCAGACATTTGCTCACTAGGTTATTAATATAAATATGTTGGCTGAAATACTTTTTCAGTATTTCAGAAGTATAACTTATTTTAAAATATTTGATTTTCCATTCTAAATTTGTGATATTAGATTAGAATAGAATAAAACTTTATTACGGTCATCGACCAGCAATAGACATACAATAAATTAAAAATAATACTGACATTAATCGTGAATGTTAATATCTCTGTTATGAAAATACATGATCTCAAACCTAATTTACATGCGTGTAGAGCCGATAAGTATGTGAGTAAATGTATTGTTATAAATTTGTGATATTTATTCTGAAAATATGCATGAGACACCTCAATTTAACATTACTAAAGGGCCATTTTCTTACTCACTGATCACTTACCTTATCACTTAAGATCAGTTCTTAATGATTGATCACAGCATCTTGTGACTAGAAATGATTGAATTGAAAGTTTGATATAGTAGAAAAGTCAAGGTTTAAAAGGAGAGCAAATTGTCAGTTTCTGTCTCTCTCTGACATAGAACTGTCACAGTAGCAGTCTCACTCCAAAAAGGTAGTCCTGTATCCTTTTTTAAAAAATCTATTCTAATTGTCCCAAAGGTGCTTTTTCAAGAAGCAACTCGTTTTTCTTTGAAGATGTTTCGCTTCTCATCCAAGAAGCTTCTAAGAAGCGAAACATCTTCAAAGAAAAACCAGAAAGCCTCTTGAAAAAGCATCTTTGGGACAACCATGACCTGGATGACTGAGAATCTCCATAGACATCTATGCTAGTAGCTTTTACAATTATACTACAGCCTTAACAGTTCTGTGGAATAGTTGTATTTTACATAGAATTGGCTTTTTATGAAGTCGCCCGATAAATCATTTCATGGAACTGGCCCCTGTATTAAGAGAATCTTTGGGAGCAATTCTGGATCTAGCTAGCCTCATTTTATGTTTCATGAGATCTGAATAAATTCAACTTAGCAATTATCCCCCCCCCCCGCCCATCCCCATTGGAAGGAAAGGGTTGTGGTATTATTCCTCCACCAGCAGACTGCTAGGCATTTCCTTGCAATTGCAATTGTCCTTGTCTGCACTTTTATTTGGTTTTGGTTCTCTTTTCTCATGAACCATTCTTTTCTTTCTTCTCTTCATGGAGTTGAATAATATGCACAACAGTGACTTTGATTAGCTGCTTTTCCTTTGTTAGTTCCCACTTCTCATTTAGGAGTTTCTGATTTTTCTGCTTGCCTTTTTCTGTTGTGGTGCACTGGTTACTTCAGCAACGTGCAGTGACTCCAAAATCTGTTTCCAGAGCTCAGTATTCTATACTTACATTAAATAGCCCTTTGCATTGTGCATTACTTTGCCCTCATTGCATTAAATTTCATTTGACATTTTGCTGCTGCCATTTAGGTTTTTTTTAAAGACCAAACCTGTTCAAACTTAGACTGTTATACAAAATGTTTCCAATATTTTTGCTTGTAACTTGAGAATTGCATTTCTTTTGCCAAATTAATTTCATAAATTGTGGCATGTCCTGCTGAATACATTTTTTAATTGGAATAGCAGGTCATTTTATCTATAAAAAAATCTGAATGGAAAAACAGGTGACAAATTAGCCACTTAGCTATTTGCTCTCACTTTACAGTTGACTGCTGTAGCTCTCACAGAAAGGAGGGTTAATTTGTATTCTATTCATCCTCTTAAAGTGCTATAAGTCTGACTTCTTTACATATTCAGATTTGTTTGTATGTTTTATTATCATATCATTAAATATTATCAACATATGAAATGGTTTTGGGATACCCTTATCCCACAGACAAATACCAATATTCCCTAGGCCAGTGATGGCTAACCTTTTTGCCATCACGTGCCAGGATCGGGGGAGTAGGGGGGTCGTACACGCGCATGCCCACATTCATAATTCTATGCGCCCCCCCCGTGCATGACCCCCCGCTCCTGGCACGTGGGCACGGTAGGCCAGTTTTCTCTCTCCCCAGCCTCCAGAGCCTTTCTAGGAACTTGGGGAGGGTGAAAACGGCCTTCCCCACCCCCAGGACGCCCTCCGGAGGCCGGAAAGGGCCCATTTGCCAACTTCCGGTGGGCCCGAAAATCAGCTGTGCGCACCAGAGCTGTGCTCGCGTGCCCACTGATATGGCTACGTGTGCCACCTGTGACACGCGTGCCATAGGTTCGCCATCACAGCCCTAGGCTATCCTATCTTATCACAAATAGAATATTTTTTGCTTGATGTGCCAAACTATAATAACTGCCAAGCTGTTGCGATTTTTGATTGGTTTGTCTGATTGGCTGATTAGGTGCTTAGTGATCACATAGGTAGACTTTCAGAATGATCCGTAATCAATTGAGACCTTCAGATCTTCCAGTGGTACATCAATTGAATCCATCCACCTTACTGCTGGCCGTCTTCTCTTTCCTTCCTTTGATCTGTGTTTTTCTCATTTGATTTGTACTCCTTTCACAGAAGGATTTGAATGCATTTCTTTTTCTTGGAATTATTTATTTCAGATAACTTGGCCTTCTCAAAAAAGATAATTTGACTCTTGATCTTCAGTGTGGCTTATAAAACATTTTTATGGTTTATCTGTAAAGTCATTCTATAAATAGAGTGTTAATTCTCTCTAAATCACTTCAGTTTTCACTAATTCTTTTTAATTGAAATAACTCATTGTCTTCCAGTTGCACAAAGATTTCTACAATCTTAAACACATAAACAGAGACAGAAATTAAATATTGTAAATTGTTTTAGCTGATTTTCGTTTGAATATAATTACTATTGAACCATATATATAACAGTAATCTCTTAGCCCAAGAAACTTAAATTCTTCCAAAGCCAAGCAGGTATGCTTAAAATTTAAACATGCCTTGAATTAATTGTGAAAGGATAACTATATTAGGCAGCAGGAATAAAAAACAGAAACAATGCAAATTCCCTGGCATGAGGGAAAGGAAATTCTTATCTGTAATAGCTCTGTTATAAGACTTTAAGAAACAAATGAATTACAATAATTCCATATTGATTCTAGCCATCATTCCTATACTTAAATTTCTCATGTGGAAAAAGATTGTGTGCTTCATTTTCTCTGCATTTTAAAATATTTGATATAACTAATTTATTGCTAGAGAAGCAATAGATTTTTTTTTAGAATAATTATTCAGCACATTGCTGCTGTAAAAGCTAGTATTATGAGTATTTTATTTTATTTCAGTGTGTGTGTGTGTGTGTGTGTGTGTGTGTGTGTAAATTTTGGCTATCCATGGTTGTTAGTTTGGAATAGGCACCCCACAAAGAAAAGGGCCACCACTGATATATTCTCAAAAAGCTAACAATCAGCATCAGGAATAAAGTAATGGAACAAATCAAGATGCTACAAGTACAGGAGAACCTCACAGTGGCAGAATCAGATAGTAGTCTTTTTTAAATGTCTGGGAAAACAAAAGGTTGGTAAGGTTTGTGGGAGAGCAAGTAGTTCTTTAATGCCAAACATTGGCCCTGTTTTGTTGTCCACTAAAACAGGAAGCAGCACAGATGAGTTTTGTAAAGCTTAAAATAGTCTGAAAATTGCATTAAAATATTCCAGATGGTGGCAAAACAGACCAGCTTATGTTACCTAACTTTAGAGCTAAGAGGCTTTCTCTTTCATTGGATGTAATTTTTAAAAACCTTTCTTATACTTGCTCACTGCAACGCTAGATTCTTCCAGTTGTGCCTTTTTTGATCAAAGGACTTATGACAATGATGTGATTTCGAGGGTCATTCTGTTTTGCTTATTTCAGGACACCTTAAATTGAATCCAGAAGCCCACTGCTAACCAAGACATCTTGCACAGTAGTGATGTTACATGAGAATACAGAGGTCTTCTAATTGTTCTGGACCAGAGCCACTTTCTTCCATATAGGACCATATTACTGGCCTACCTAGCCTTTGTATTTTGAGGAGATATCCTTCCTTATCATGCTACATAGAACCATTCGTCATTGAGATGCCTACTGTATGAAATGATTTTTTTATTGAGATCAAATGGGTTCACAATGTGGACAAGAATTAAAAGCCTTGTTTGTTCAGGTGTATACATTTCATTATTAGCTACCCTATTTTTATACAGTACTTCATAGAAGAATAGAATAGAATAGAATAGAATAGAATAGAATAGAATAGAATAGAATAGAATAGAATAGAATAGAATAGAATAGAATAGAATAGAATAGAATAGAATCTTTATTGGCCAAGTGTGATTGGACACACAAGGAATTTGTCTTTGGTGCATATGCTCTCAGTGTACATAAAAAGACAAGATACACTCCTCAATAATCACAAGGCACAACACCCAGTGAGAGTCATACGGTACAATAAGCAATCAAATCATACTAGGAAACAATCAATATCAATATCAATCGCAAGGATACAAGCAGCAAAATTACAGTCACACAGTCACAAGTGGGAGGAGATGGGCAACAGGAATGATGAGAAGACCAATAGCAATAGTAATGCAGCCTAATGTGAATAGTTTGACAGTGATGAAGGAATTATTTGTTTAGCAGAGTGATGGCATTCAGGAAAAACTGTTCTTGTATCTAGTTGTCTTTTGTTGTTTCATAGTTTTGAATTATAATTATTGTATTGTATTGCTGGAATTTTTTGAATGATTTCATTTGAAAATTGCTTTGGAAGTAATTCTAAAAAAACAACCATTTCAGAGCCAGACAACCTCTGGAATGCAACAGTTTGACATGTTTATGTTTCTTAGATATCCCTGAAGGTGTTATTAACATACTTTGATACCTTTGAATCTTCATCAATGCCTATTATTTCAATGAATTAATTCTCCTTTAATCATGAAGCTGATATAGATTGATGGGTTGTTATTCTGTGATCATTGTCACAGTAAAGCTAAGGATATATTTTTACGATTACCATCAGTAGTTGAAGCCTATTGTACCCGGTGAAGTTTATTCACAGATAAATATCTCTGGAATCTTTACAAAAGAATTTATATTCTTTTTTTCATTTTGAGTTTTGGATGCAATGCACTAGTAAATAAACAAAAATGTTGCCTTCTTTGTATTTAATATTGTCTGCAGAATTCATTATGGAATGTAACAAGTATGAGTCTGTCTAAAATACTGATTCTGTGTTTCTCCAAGTAGCAAATGGCAGTAGGTCTTACGTAGTATTATTTCAATATAGTATTATTTTAAACCATTCTTTTCCTCCTTTATCTCTTGGAAGTGTGTGGAGAAGCAAAGGGCAGTGGAGAGGATGAAGGCGAGGCTCAGGCTGGCTGGATTGAGGGAGCAGCCATCCTCTTCTCAGTTATTATTGTGGTGTTGGTCACAGCCTTCAATGACTGGAGCAAAGAGAAACAATTCCGGGGTCTGCAGAGTCGCATTGAGCAGGAGCAGAAGTTTACTGTCATCCGTAAGGGACAGGTGATCCAAATTCCGGTAGCTGAGATTGTGGTTGGGGACATTGCTCAAATCAAATATGGTGAGTAACTATAAATTTTCCAGTATATTTTTCTCGTGTATTGAAATTATCACTGTGGTTACAGTTACCACCGTGTGATTAAAACCAAAGGAATATACAAACATTAGGACATAGATGCTACTTCTGGGTTTGTCAGTTATTCACAAGCCATGTGAACTATCTTTGCCACCCATGGAAATATCTCATCCGCATCCAAGCTCCTTGCTTCCTGCTGGGAGAAGTGTCATGATGAGAGGGATGATGTGATACAACCTATGTGAGTCAAGATATCATGTGTGTTGTCTACATTAAGAAATTGCTGTGCTCCTATTTTCTTTCCTTCTGCACTCCTAAGCACAGAAAGCCAGCTTCAGTCCTTATTTCCTCAATTTTCTGCTGCTGTTCAACACTTAACTAAAATGGGACGAGAAAATCAGCAGTGTAATTCATCTGCAGCTAAGACACCACTATTCCAAGATACACCATACTGACCTTCCAGCATAATTCTCCTTCAGGAAATATAAAATGTTTAGGAGATGCAGTGCTTAACTGTCTGGAAGAGGCACATAGGTTCAGCATCAGGATGTACCATGATGCTCCTTGGGAAAATGCCTAGGAGCAATATATATATTACATTATACATTATACATTATATATATATATAAAATGTGCGATCACACATTGCTCCTAGAAGCACGAAGCCGAAAACATCAGCCTGAAGATGACAAATGAGACTTCGTTGAAACGTCGCCAAGACACTTCCAATTTTACGCGGGAGAAAACCCGAATAACCAAAGACACACACACACACACACACACACACACACACACACACACACACACATGCAATATTTTTATTTATTATTTTTAAAAAATGGTTCACATGAACAAAATTCAACCAGTTATATAATTCTCTTGGGCCTAATGAATATATGGTCTCTTGTGAAAAAGAGATTGATTAGAAGTGATATTGAAGAACTGACATATAGGAAAGAATACAAACAGGAAAACAAATATTCAAACTTTGCACTTTGGAGAACCTTATAGTACTTGTTTAAATGAAACTTGTATGAAAAACATCAACATTGAATATGATTTTATTAATTACATGAATGTGTCCTGATGATTACCTTCTTTCAAAGCCTTCATAATATATTTGCTTATCTGAATTTCCCTTACTTGTTTGGGTAATTGCAATTATGGCTCACGGCTGAAGGATAGATGAATTGTCCTTGATTCCTAATGGAATTCTTATATGCAAAGGGAATAATGCTTAGCAGGAACACAGCCTGTGGAAACTCAATTTATCTCTCTTTCTCAGTACAATTGGAATTAAACTTTATTTTTTTTCCAAAGCAAACTAGTTGAGTACAGGCAGGAATTTTTTTTCCTGTTATTGCTGAATTCAGCAAAATTGATGCTGTCTAACACGTTGCATTTCCAGTAATGACTGCATGCCCATATCTGTCGTCAGTGAAGCTTTTTTAAAAAAGTTACATAAGTGTTAAATTGGCTTTGGTTTGATGGATTTTTTAAGCCTTGGTTTGGTAGAGAAAACTTTCGTGACCTGTTGCTTTTCTGACTTTTTTAGGGGACCTGTTGCCAGCAGATGGCATTTTGATCCAAGGAAATGATTTGAAAATTGATGAGAGCTCTCTGACTGGGGAATCTGACCAAGTGAAAAAATCTTTGGATAAAGACCCTATGCTGCTTTCTGGTAAGTCTGTCAGGTTGCAGGAAGTTGAACTTAATTTATAATTCAGGTCTCTGAGCCTTTTGGCATCTAGATGCAAATGTAGCCCATATGCTGATAATTGCCCTTACAAAAATGCCCGTAGTTGTGTAGTAAAGAAGCTGTTTTGTTATTCTCTAGGATAAGCTAGGCAAGATTTTCCACGTGTTAATTTTGGGAAATAGTATACATTTATTTTGTTTTTTACAGGGATCTTTGAATCTCCTCATGCCAAGCTTCATTTATCTTTTTGAATATGAAGCTGTAGAATACTTGATTCTCTATAGCATCATTCAACTTCTACTTCTTCCTGGAGAAGTAGCACAGCAAAATTCAAGAATGCTTTAGTAAAAGTAAAAGAAGAATGCTTTTAGTAAAAGAATTAGTCTTATCCAATTCTTGTGGGCCAATGGGATTCAGCATTTCATACTTCTTTTAAAAACGAAATTGATTCAGTGTATATCATTGCATATATTCTCTTGCATGTATTATATGGATTATGAATATTGAAGCTAGCACAAACAGGAGCTTCATGCGTGCATGTACATTGATATGAACAAGTGATATAGAAATTAAATTTCATCTCCCAGATATGATATGAACATCTTTTAGATTAAATTTTGGAATTAATTATATAGTTTTATCCATTGCCTCTTCCCCCCCCCCTTTCCCATGCTTCACCTGTTCTTATTAGGCACTCATGTAATGGAGGGCTCTGGTCGAATGGTGGTGACTGCTGTGGGTGTCAACTCACAGACTGGAATAATTTTTACTCTTTTGGGTGCTGGAGAAGGGGATGAGGAAAAAAAGGTCAAGAAAGGTAAGACTCATAAGCCATTCTTTATGTTGGTAGCATGAAGTTCCTTAGTGACATTGGAAGTTTTTGAGTTTTATAAGGAAAAACTCCTGAAGGTTCAAGCATCTTATTGTAAACTCAACAAGTAATCAGTACTGTGCGTGCCAGAGATTAGAGGGTCAACGATCATGCTGACAGATCACTAGTAGCTCAGTAATGCCAAGAAATGGAGACAATAGAAGACTGCTATTTAAAAGTTGGTTTTGGAAACAATATGCAGGTTTTTGTCTGTTGAGTCATCATCTTCATCAAGCACAGATGAATTTTGGAAAACGCAAGTGGACCTGAAATAAACAGTTGTGGTGCCAAGTACTTGTGTATAGGGTACAACATGCACTTTTCAAAAATATCCCATTATATTGCCTTCTCCCCCCCCCCACCCGAATCCTTTCTTTTTAATATCAGGTCTGCTTTCTATGACAAGCATATTCAGTTGACATAAGGTTATTTGCTTCTGTGCTACCATTTAAGGGCACCTTTTTTTGTTTGCATTGGTTTTGTGGTACTGCTACAAATCTTAGAAGAAAAATCCTGCTGATAAATCTTTTACATTGATACTTTTTTGTCTATCTACAAATAGGCACTTGGCAGAAACAGGTTTGCTCTTAACAGATAGCAAGGATGAGCATCTATGGCCCTTCAAGTGTAACTTGCTCACTATGGACACACCAAAGAACCATAGGTTTCTCATCCCAGGATAGAATTACTAAGACCATAACTAATGTCAATTGATTATGTAACCATGATCATATTATAGCTCTGCACATCAAGTTACTTGGAGTCAAATAGTGGTATAGAAAACTCTTGCTTTTGTGTCCTGCTTGGATGGACTTCTCTGAAGTTTCTGGTAACATGTTTTCGATGGTTATCTTTAGTGGAACTTTATTAAAAATAAAGTTGGTGTATCAGGAGAATGATAAAATTCCTTGTCCAAAAGATTGTACCCTCAAAAGATAAGTACACATTTCTCTAGGTCATTGTTGAGGTCTCATGAAAATTTTACTTCAGAAGACGTATTTTGTAAGGACATCCTATTATTTTCTCCCTCAGCCTAGCATTGATTTTAGCCAGTGTGGAGTGTTTTCCATGGTCCATGTGACTATATTTTTACTAAAAGAGGAATCATTATTGCACCTACTACTTAATGCAAACTTATTCATACTTGGAGCAATCCCCTTAAATGTGCCGTTCATATTTCCATATTGTGAAATAAGCTCATGCTGAGCAATGATGACTGGAGAATGGTAAATATGATAAGTGTATGTGTTTATTACAAAATAGTTAATCTGAACCCAAACAATTTTAACATCCTGTACTGGACTATTCGGCCTCTATTAATTCAGAAAGCATTGTGCACAGTAGCTTATCCAAATAAGGCTTTGAAGCTTTTTCGCTTTCAGCCGAAGACAAAGAAAGCAGAACTTTGGTATGTGGTTTATGAAAACAGAAACCTGCTTGCTGGTCTGATTTGTTCATAGCATAAGAGGCATCTGAGTTTTAATTCCATCTTGGCCAGCCAAGGGATATGCAAAAATCATCTGCTGATAGCTTCTCCAGCATCATTCCACTGAAACAGTGTTAAAAGGACAGGAGTTAATGAGGCTAAGACAGAGGAAGGATGGTGGTGCAGTTTTGCTAGTAGCCAGATGAGGTCAGTCTGTTTACCCTTGTAAGCAGAAGTTGCTTCTTTTTCCCTATTTTTATTTTAATACACAAATGAGAGAAACGGAAAACATTTGGGCTGTAGCTACTCCTTTATCTTTTCCTTTCGGGGTGGGAGTGGGTGGGGATTCACAGCTGCCATCCAAGATGACTAACCCAGACCTCAGCAGAAATATGGGTGATATGTTCTCTTTGAGGCAAAATAATAAATCTGCAGATAGAACATTCTAGGCCTTAATAATAAATGAGTATTTTCTTGAAGTCCCCTGCCTTTCCTTTTGATATGGATTGAAACAGAGAATTCATCATGACAGCAACAGGGAGCATGATGTTCAAGGGAGTAGATCCCTATCTTTCTATTCCCCTACTCCACACACTCCACAAAGCTAGGTATATCTCACTCCTATCAGATTCTGTGAACTATATGAGTATATAGGTGTGGTACTATTAAGCTCGGTGTGGTAGGAAAAAACTTGTAGTCCCCACACCGTTGAAAAGGTTTAATGGAGTTCAGTGTGAGAATTGATCCTTAATATTTAGTGCTGATAGCTCAGTCAAAATATATTCTGTCACTTTGAACAGCAAATATTCTATTGGTTCAAATTGTTGTTCCTATACTTCCTTGTTTTCAGTAGAGTGAGCACAATAATTGAAAAGAGGGGACTCATAATGGCAATTAGTTGGAGAAACATTGAACTTCTCTGGATCTTTTGCATTTGTCAGTCCAGATGTCAAGTTATAGCTTACCTCTCCATATCTGGCAGCCTCCCCATAAGAGCACTGAGTTCTCACATAAAGGTGCCCTCACCATCAGGGACATCAGAGTCAAGAATCATGCGCTCAGTGCTCCACCCTTTCTCTCTTTGTCTAAACAGGTAAAAAAACCGGAGCCCCTGAAAATCGCAACAAAGGTAACCAGCCTCTCCATCCTTTGAACCAGCACCACACTAACTACTGAGCATTCCTCCTTCCTTCTTCCCATGAGTCTGTGCTCTTTGTCGCTACGGCGGGAATCTCGCCTTGTTGTTCTGGAAGAGAGTGTCATGATTACCACAATGCTAACCACCCACCACATTTTTTTCTGTCCATCGTGTAGCCGTCCTTGCTACACGATGGATTCCATATCTTGTACCACATAATCTTCATCTAGTTGAGTGCTGAATTTTTCAGCTGATGCTATGAGGTGTATGCCTTGATATCTGCATACATACCTCACACACTATAAGAATTAGGCCGCTATACTGTGCTTTTAAAACAAAACACAAAAGAAATAAAAGCTTTATGGAAATGTCTTAGTTAAATATGCATGATGGACTATTTGATATGAAGTGAGTTCCTATACAATTGGAGTGATTACTTACTTCCCAAGATGATGTTGATTGGTTTTTCTATCTCCAGTTCCAAACCTGATCTTTAAAAAAAAACAAAAAAACCCAAACCCAACCTTTGTGGTGGGTCCAGCATATGTGTTCATTGCACTCTGTTCTTCTCATGGGCTTTTGAATCAAAGTGAGTGTTTATTTTCTGATATGTATCACCCCCTGTTCTTTCCAGGCTATGGTGAAGAAGCCCATTTCTGTACCTGTCTGTTCTCCTTCTTGCACTTTGCCTTTCTCTTTTTCTTCCTTTTCTCCACAGTTTTGAGTTTTCCCTCCTTCTGACCTTGAAATCTTGGATTATTTTGGCATTGATTATCCTCTTCCTTGCCCTTTCCCATCATGTCCATAAATCCTAACTGTGCAAATCAGTTATTAAGTAATTCTGCCCACATTTTTCTGAACCCCCATGATTTTGGGAATTGATGGCATTTGGCCTTTGTTTATTGATGAGAAATTTATACTTCAGTCTGCATAAAATAATTCTCAGTGCATACAAATACCCAAATGAGCAATAAATAATTAAAAGAAGTGCATAATATAAAAGCCTACATCATTTGATTTTAGTTTTTTTAAGCTCTTATTAATTCTGGGATTTGGGGACTGAATCTCTGATTTTGGTAGGTAAATAAATTGCTGCAGTTATGCTGATATGCACCAGTTGAGGATCTGCTAACTATATTTTTAGAGGTTCCAAAGATATTAAGAATGGAGTCACAGAGCTTAGAAGAGATGGGTGAAGGGGAAGTTGAATGGACTAACTGATTCACTTCTCATTGACTGACCCAGTCAATTAACCTTCCTCTCATCTTACTCCTCCCCACTGTCGAGATATGATACCTACATAAGTTTGAAGACAGTAGTTTTAAAAGTTATGGCATGAAGAATCTGATCAGAGAATAATCTTTATAGCTTTTGGAATTCATTTCTAGAATATATTCAAATATATTTGAAATCACAATTTTGAGAAAAAAAATATTATACTTATTTAGTTTTTTTTTTTTAAAAAAAATAAAGACCTCCCCCTCTATTAAGAGTGGAGAAATTTGGATAGCTTATATGCTTTTTTGCATTAATTTTTCAAACCATAAACCAGCATAAAGCCTGGACAGATGCTCTTTTTCCCTTTCTCATCTATGTAGGCAGATGTGCTAAATGTAGCTTGGTTGGCTATGGTTGCCTCTCAAATCGACAACAGTGTCTTTGTTCAATAACAAAATCCTAGGATTAGCTATGCCATCAGAATTTCGAACATTGTAGCTGCTCAAAGATTAGGTTTTTCACTTTTACTACCTCAGTGAAATGAATACTGACAAATACATATTACAGAAATGCTAATAGAGGAGATGCCTTGCATAGGGACTTGAGGCATTCAGGAAGCCAATCCCAAAATCCTTCTTATCAAGGCTGTCCTTTCTTCCAGGTACAGGCAAGTTAACTACTGAAACATATTTAATTAAGGGGGGATTTTCACAAGCTGCTCCAGTCACCAGTTCCACAGGAATGTGGAGCAGAACTGCCTGATTTTCTAGGTTTCCAAATTACCAAGTTTCCGTGATGGGGTTCCCATGTGCTGGGATTCTTTCTCTCTTACTCTCTGCCATTTTCCTTGTTCTTTCTGTTGCATCTGAAATGTTTTTACGACTGTTCTCCTCATTCACTGCATGTTTGTTTCATCCTGGATTCAGCCAAAACTCAGGATGGAGTGGCCCTGGAAATCCAACCACTGAAAAGCCAAGAAGGGGTGGAAAATGAGGAGAAAGAGAAGAAAAAGGTGAAGATTCCAAAGAAGGAGAAATCCGTGTTGCAGGGAAAGCTCACCCGCTTGGCAGTTCAGATTGGAAAAGCAGGTGAGTACATCAAATGGCTTAACAATTGTCTACTAAAATTAGACTCAGATGATATGATATGATTGGTATGGTATGGTATGGTATGGTATGGTATGGTATGGTATGGTATGGTATGGTATGGTATGGTGTATGGTATGGTATGGTATGGTATGGTATGGTATGGTATGGTATGGTATGGTATGGTATGGTATGGTATGGTATGGTATGGTATGGTATGGTATGGTATGGTATGGTGTGTAAAATTCTAGAAAGCCAGAAATTAATGAATCAGCAGAATTTGCAATCTGAGTTCAAATACTGTAGGTTGAATGTAGGTTGTACACAGTTTTTCAGTATTGTTCCAATCCAGTATTTCTCTAGTGTATTTTTTACTGCATATGACTCAGACTCAGCTTTAGTTCATGTGGCATAACTCTCCAGGGCCCCTGATGGAAATGTTTTGCAGTTTTGTTGCCTGCCAAATGTCTCAGGTAACATATTAAGCTTAGAATATCTATACGAATGGCATGAACCCTAGTAAAGTATGTACAGAAAACTGATATTTCCAACGATATCTGGAAGAGAACCTGTTTTCTGTTTTAATAAAATAACTTTAGCCCAGATCTGCTGCCTTACTTCCAGTTATATCCATAATGCAGTCAATACTGTAATCTGCTGGAAATAGCCCTTTGTCACAATTTTTTTCTCTTCCTCCTCCTCAGGATTGATTATGTCAGCAATCACAGTTATTATTTTGGTGCTATATTTTGTGATCGACACTTTTGGGATTCAAAGAAGATCATGGCTGGCTGAATGTACTCCCATTTATATCCAGTACTTTGTCAAGTTCTTCATTATTGGTGTCACTGTGCTAGTAGTAGCTGTTCCTGAAGGCTTGCCCCTGGCTGTCACTATTTCTTTGGCCTACTCTGTGAAGGTGAGAATAGGAACTCCACAGGAAATTCTAAGGCTTTTGGATCTAGACATGAAGGGAAGATTGGATGGGCTGGGATGCACTGTTAAATTACTGTACTTGGTTTTTACTGTGAAAAGGCTAGGTTTGGATGTGGGACAAGAGACATAAAATGCAATGGAATACATTTGTGTTCATTTGTAAATTTATTCTGCCCTGTTTCTTTATTAAGATGCATTTTTTTAAAAAGTAGATGTGTATCTTTCTGAGCAGATGGCAACACCTGTCTGTGATATTTTGTTTAAAAATTAAGCAGGTTGGGCTTGTCTAGAATAAGAACCTGGCTGATATCTTAATCATTAAAAGGGATATACAAATAACCATAGAAGAGAGTGTCATGGAAAATCTTCCTATATTAGATTTACAAAAGAGACTTGTTAAAGCTTGCATGTGAGAAGGAGAAGAAAAAAGAAAAAGAAACCAAGTTTTACAGTATTATTTGAAGAGACTAAAGGTCCAGATTGTTAAAAGTAAAAGGAATGAATATATAGTTGATTTATTAGATCAAGTTTAAGACTGATGGTAGTTATCTCTGTTAACTCTTAAAGTATTTTTGCTGATCATGACTTAAATGATGATGTTTTTAAGGATTTTTTTTACAGGTAAGATATGGGAAGAAGAGATTATTTGTTGTATTTTCAATGAAAGTGATGTTACTAAAATTGTTATACTTGTGATAAATGGGAAACACATTTCTTTATTTCTTTTCTTTTTCTTTACTGTTTTCTTATTTTTTCTTCCTTTTCTATTTTGTCTATTTTCTTTTTTTTTCTGCATCTTTTTTCATTTTTTTAAGTTTTTACTGTTATAGTTGTTATTTTTAATAAAATAACTATTAAAAATTTAAAACATAGAATTTGGATTGGGGAATTCCAGGTCTATAGATAAGATTCAGAAGTTGAAAAGTTGAAAAACATTTCTATAGTGTTATTGAGAACATGTGGTTGCATCATCAGTAGATAAACTCAACTTGATAGTGGATTTATATTTTTACTTATATTTTTGGACATGTTTCTTCACAAAATGAGGGTAAATGTGATTTTATGAAGTGGATTTTAAAAATATATTTTAATGTTTGAAAGAATGTAGTTTTGGAAAAATTGAAAGAGTAAAAATATGCAAGGAAATTCTCAAAGATTAAATTCATCAAATATCCTAGCTCTAGGCAGACATGCCTGTAGTTCTGTAACTAGGTGAATTTTGAAAAACAGCTTTAAAATGTTAACATTAACAGCACCTATAGTAATCCTGATATTTAGTTCAAATGTTATTTTCACTTGTTGGATCACCTGCCTTTTCTAGAAACAAAGAGTTAGAGACAGTGATTTGTATCCATAGATCCTTCTGTTTGTTAATTTTACCATGTTGCACAATAGGGGATGGAAAATTTCTAGGTGCATTGTTGAAAGTTGTGACTATGGGTTTGTTGTTTTGTTTTTAAAAAATCTTCTATTTTATTAATTCGTTTTCTGATCTGTGCATCTTCATGCTAATTTGATTACCAATCTTCTCTGTGTCACTGAGTAGTTTGACTGTGGTTTTTTTATGTTTTGCTAACACAGAAAATGATGAAAGATAACAATCTGGTTCGGCATCTGGATGCTTGTGAGACAATGGGAAATGCCACCGCTATTTGCTCAGATAAGACTGGGACCCTCACGATGAACCGGATGACTGTAGTGCAAGCTTATGTGGGAGACACCCACTACCGACAGATTCCTGACTCAGAAGCTATTCTGCCCAAGGTCCTGGACCTTATTGTCAATGGTGTTTCAATAAATTCAGCCTATACCTCTAAAATCTTGGTAAGTTCCAGTTTTTTGGGAGGTTAACACTTAATATCTTTTATCCAGTCTGAGGTAAATAATCAGGGTTATGTTTCATTTAGTTGCATATGCCCACTAAAAATTTGGATGCTGGTCTTGGAGCCCTTGAAAAAGCCATTGTTTAAAAAATATGACAAAAGAAGAAAATTATTAATGCTTAGAAAATATTGAGACCCAGTTTGGTGTAGTAGTCAAGTTGCTAGCCTAGAAGCAGGAGAGTGTGAGTTGTAGACCTCCTTTACACATGAAAACTGGCTGGGTGACTTTGGGCTAGTCACTGACTTTTAACCCAGCTGGGTTGTTGTTGTGAGGAAAATAGGAGGCCAGAATATTAGGTATGTTCACTGCCTTGAGTTGAGTGTGAGGGTGTATGAATGATAAAAATCCCTCCCTTCCTCCTCATTTCACATTCACAATAATCAGCATGTATTAACAAAATATACTTCTCTCCTGAACACTTGGAAGTGATTTCTGTGAGAGAGAAAAACAAATGAATGAACTTTTCTCAAAAAAAAATTGAATGGACAAATCAATCAGATAAGAAAATTCTAATATTCTCTTTTCACAGATAGAAAATGAAACTTTTAGAGCAGTGATGGCTAACCTTTTCCGTGCCGAGTACACACCCATAATGCAATGCACGCATGACCCCCCCCATGCCCCACACCCTGTGCATGCACACACGATCCCCCCATGTGTGCCCCATCCCATGCATGCACGCATGACACTCCCCACGTACACCCCACCCCACGCATGCACATATGACCTGTGCATGAGCCTCGTCCCCTACACATGCACACACATCTCCCGCATGCACCCTGCTGCCTGCGCATGCGTGGCCCAGACCCAAAAACCAACTGGCCGGCAGGCACGCATGCATGTGCAGCAGAGCTGAGCTGGGGCGACAGCTCACATACCCGCAGAGAGGGCTCTGCGTGCCGCTTGTGGCACACGTGCCATAAGTTCTCCATCACAGTTTTAGAGATTAGAAATCTTTAGAAATCTTTAATTTCTGAAAGGTAAAAAATAACTAGGAATATCAGAGGCATCTGCAAGATTTCATTAAAAAGACAAAACCAGTGTTGTGACACAAGCTTTACCCCTTTAATCTATGTATATGTACAAGTAGATCATGTATAAAGGAGACAGAGCTTACAGTGTAATAGTGTTTCCATCATCTATGCTTTTCTTGCAAGGATGTCTCTTGAGTACTGTCAGCTTTCTGGATTTAGGATGAAAGGTGATTCAGAATGTGCATGGGCACATTTGTTGCTCATGCATGTTCTCTGAAAAAGACTTATTAAAGTGCAAGTAAATGTAATGTTCTTACCCATGTAGCTATTCTCTCTTAGATATATCAGTACACAGCCATCAGAAGCCATCTTGTTAACTTGCTGTTGGTTTTTAAAATATAATTTAACATCACTTTTTCTCTTCGAAAGTTTATTTCTTAGTATTCAATACCTGCCACAAATTCTATTGTATTTTTGTTATTTTCTGATAAAACTGTTTAGAATTGGATGTAAATAATGTGAGGTGTTAAATGCCTCTTTTGTTTGTTTTTGTTTATTGTTTATTAGGATTGTGATAAGAGTGAGTGGGGAATTTATTTATTTATTTATTTATTTATTTATTTATTTATTTATTTATTTATTTATTTATTTAATAAAATTTATATGCCGCCCTATCTCCGAGGACTCAGGGTGGCTAACAACAATAAAACAACCAGTTAAAAATATAAAATACATAATGTACGTATATAATTTATATTAAAACTCCCAAAATCTAAAAACCCTCTCAGTCCAGGCTGGGCGATGTAAACAACCATGTTTTTAATTCACGGCGGAAGGTGCGAAGGTCAGGAGCCAACCGGAGCCCCAGGGGAAATTGATTCCAAAGAGTGGGCGCACCCACAGAGAAAGCTGTACCCCTGGGGGTCGCCAGCTGATACTGTCTAGCTGACGGCACCTGGAGCAGGCCCTCCCTGTGAGGACGCACCGGGCGATGGGCAGCTGTTGCTGGCAGCAAATGGTCCACCAAATATCCTGGGCCTAAGCCATGTAGGACTTTTCCCTTGCTTTAATATTGAGAAGAAGTGATCTTCTGAATCAGATTTTTATATTGGAATTTATGTTAAGGCTGATATAACATAACCATGTAGTTCATTTGACTTTGGAGAGGTGTCCTTTTTTTTACCTCAAGATAGCATGGCGATTGATTTAGAATCATAGCATCCTAGAGTTGAAACAGACCTTTGGATGCAATGCTCTATTCAATGTAGGAATTCAAAAATCCATGACTGTTGACTTCTTCTTCAACTTAGCTTGCCAGATTCTCTATGCTTCATACATTATTACTCTATTTCTTAAATTGGTGTACTTTGAAATGTGAACTAGCATCTTTAATATCCTAATTACTCATCCAGTTAAAAAGAAAATATTAATATATAATGATCATAAACACTTTTCAATACTCATGAGAAAAATCAAGAATGGGGGGATAGTGAAAGAAACCCATGGCATTCATATGTCCTTTTGTAGGCTCCAGTTGGAATCGGGTTGCTTGCTAAATAGAGTTCTAAACCAACAAGCTTCCTTATGTTAATTATCTTAATCAGATATTAAGTCTAAGCTCCATCTCATCACAACATAAAACTGCCCACTGAAGTTTTAATATTTCTGTGAGAGATTAAATAATTGCGACTATGGTCCAAGATGTTACTATATTTCTCTTGTTATATTTGGTTTGGGATTTTAGCCACCAGAGAAAGAAGGAGGACTCCCACGTCAAGTCGGAAACAAGACAGAGTGTGCACTTCTGGGCTTTGTTCTGGACTTGAAGCAGGATTATCAAGCTGTCCGTAGTGAAGTGCCTGAAGAAAAGCTCTATAAGGTCTACACCTTCAATTCTGTCCGGAAATCTATGAGTACAGTGCTAAAAAACCAGGATGGGAGTTTTCGCATGTACAGCAAAGGAGCCTCTGAGATCATCCTCCGCAAGTAATTTTCCTCTCAATGCTGGTATTATTCGTGCTTATTGGCACATTATTTTTAATAAGAAGCATCCATGAGATGGGTACAATAGTAGAGAAGTGCTTTTTCTAAATGGGGAAATTCACAAAATTTATGGATATTTAGTATGAAAAATCTGAAAGAATCTATGGTAATATGCACAGAAAGGAAAACCTATTAGCTTTTCTATTTTATTTTCAGTTAGAATTCTATTAGCATATCTTCTCTCTTGTGTGTTTCTAGTTCTCTATGAAATGCTTAATTAAAGGCTTAATTAAAGGCTCTTCACCTGATTCCTTCAGATGTTTCACTCAGGAAAACTTTATATATATATATATATATATATATATATATATATATATATATATATATATATATATATATATACACACACACACACACACACACACACTATATATATATATATATATATATATATATATATATATATAAAATTAGTTTTAAAAGTAAAACAATGGACATTGCTCAACGTTTCTGGTTTCTAACATTTGCGTCTAAATCAAGTTAATAAGTAATCTATTCCTTGATCTATATACAAATTTACATATCTCCTATTTCATTATATATCAGGTATGCAGTATTTTACTTCCTAAACAACTATGCAACTAGGAAAACTTTCAACTAAGTAAATTGAGAAATGGTTAAACAACAAGTCACTGATGAAACATCTTTAATTATTTATTGTGTTAACCTTTTGTAATTATAGACTGCAGTTTGAAATGGGTTTGCACAATTCTCTTCCATTTTTGAATCTTAAAAATATTTTTAAAATCTTCAGTCATTATGAGTAGAATGTAAGATACAGCCATATATTTGACCTACATTTGAGATATCTTGGAGTCAACCCTTTTCATCTGCCAGGATTGTCTTCCCAAATTTCTCAAGTAAATGAAGATAGTAGCTTGAATTAACATTAAAACAGTTGTTTTTAAAGCTGTTCCAGGGTAGCCAACATGAACTCTGGGATATTCAAATGCTTTTTCCCAACTCATTGATGAGGAAAAATCAAAGTCTTTCCTTCCAGTATAAATTAGCAGCTGTGAGAAGTTTTATTTAAGTCACAGATTCGTAGGTGTGAGGTTCAGTTAGCAGTTCAAGGGTTAAATCCCTTGTATTTCCGTATGCACACTTTCCCACACATTCTGTTTGTAGAAATCCATTTTGATCACTCTTCTTGAGCCTCCATTTTTAAAGAATTCACACAATTAATAATTACCCAAAAATTAATGTGTCTAATATATTCCTTAGGAAAGTATGTAAGACGCACATCCTGTTGATAGCTTAAGCTTTATTTGTAAAATATGAACATAATTTTTGAAACGTGTTTAATCCTTTTGTTTTAACACAGGTGCACAAAAATTTTGGACAAAAATGGGGAAATTCGATTATTTAAAGTGAAAGACCGGGATGAGATGGTGAAAAAAGTGATTGAACCAATGGCTTGTCAGGGGCTACGCACCATTTGTCTGGCTTACCGGGATTTCCCTGCTGGTGTTGAACCTGACTGGGATGCTGAAAATGAGATTTTGTCTGACCTTACTTGCATCACTGTTGTTGGCATTGAGGATCCTGTTCGTCCAGAGGTACCAGTATAAATTTCTTTCCTGTATGCACATAATACATAGAATATTTAATTAGCTTTCCCAACCTGGCATTCTCCAGTTAGCTAGAGATTATAGGAACTGAAGTCCAGCAAACACAAACAGTATAAAATGGCGATTCTGGTCTAATTATAATCTTACTCTATACATGTTCATTCTTTTTTCTTTCTGCTGTTTCCAATTTTGTTTCCTTGCTGACTGCTCATCCCTGTTTTGCTCCCTTAGGTGATTTTGGTATTGTATCTGTTATCTTATTTTTTCCAGTCCCTTCTCTTTGACTTGCTCTGCTTTTTTATTATTGTCTTTCACCTTTTATTTTCCTGCAGGTTATTCTTTTATCCTTTATTTTGTTTTTTCATTGCTTTGCTTTGGATCTACTTTTTTATGCAACTTTGATTTTTTTCTTTCTTGAGCTGTCGGATCTTTTTGGTTGCCCTATTCCTGTTCATGTATCAATGAATGCCTTTAGAGGATGTTCCACACCCTTTCATCTCTACCTTCTGCTCATTTTTTGCCAGCAGTTAAAGATTGTGCCATTCAGTTACAGAGACTTTGTGTTCATTGATAACAACCTTGTGTTATCAGTAAGGTTGCTGCTTGTGGGAAGAGCCCTTGTGAGTTTAATAGCAGAATTACAGTTCTGTTCTGGTTTTGCTCTTTTGTACCTACCTAGCAGAGAGATAGTGGAAAGGTCCAACGTTTTCTTTCATAGGCAAATGCAGGAACAAAGACTAATCTACTCTTCTTGAATTTCACCCTGTTTTGCAATTGTTGTAGGTATTGGAAACTCAGGAAAAGATGTGTAGACGTCTAACAAAGGAAAAAGATAACTGCTTCACTTAAAAATTATTCATTCTGTGTTTTTAGAGAACACCAGATATATCTGCCCTAAAATGGCAACTATAATTTACAAATTCCTCTTTAAAGCAGCCAAATATATTCTAGGAAGAAATTATGATTACTGAGGAAAATTGATTATCTTTGGTTTACTTCATCCTTCCCAGGTTCTGTTTTCTCTCACAATTTGCTATAGGGGTGACAAGCAGACAACTGACGTAACACAATAAACCATCGTATGACTACTACTTGATTACATTTCAGAACTGGCCCCCTGTACGCTGTTCCCATAATTAGATGCTGAAGTATCTGGGATTGCAAATGGTTTCACAGATGCCTTGCACGCACTAGTCTGGAGGCGGTGATTCAATTTGCGGATTTCTTAATGATGTTTCTCTTCTCAGTCAGTCCCCAGCACTACTATCACTCTGTGTATGGTTTGATCTGTATGAGTTAACATAAGCAGTGATGATCTGATGCAGTCAAGAGGTGGAAATTAATCTGTTTCTATATACCATCCCATTACGGGAGAGAAATAAAATGGACCTCTAACAGCATTGTATATTTGAAGAAAGGCAAGAAGTTGTATATATCCTTATAGGCAAGAAGGATGTCTGTTCTAGAAATCTTTTAGCACAAATATTTTGCCTGACTATTTATGTTGAGAATCCATAATCTAGCATGCATATTGCATTGCACTGAAATACATTTGTGTTGCCCAGGTGTCACAGAATTATTAGTTATGGCAGGGCAGAGTAGTGGGCAGGAGAACAAGTTTCACAGGCCCATTAGAAAAAATGTAAAGCAATTTAATGCTTGAGCATTTTCTATTATTACATCTATATAGTGTCATTCAAAATAATCTGCAGCTAGCAGATTATCATGTTTGTAGTTCCTATTGTAATTCTTCTCACTTCTTAATGGAAATATTTGACCTTCCATTGCAAATTGCAAAGTCCCTGCAAAACACAAAATAGTTTACACTACCTTTAAACAATTATAGACTTGATTTCTTCTCACAAATTGTTATGAGTTTCACATTAGGACTTGAGTAAATACAGAATATTTTCCTTTTTAAAAGCAAGAAATTTCTGGCCATTATGTCATGTTTGCATTATCACATTAACTGTTTTAAGAATCCAGTAGAGCTAATTTAAACTTAGTAAGAGGTAATGGCTGCCCCTGAAGAGTTCCATGAGGGGCAACTGGAACCTGGATCTCCCTGGTTCTTGTTCAACACTTGACTAGCTAAGTTACACCATTGACTTGTGGTTTCATAACATAATTGTTCAGGTAAGTGGAATTGATAATCAAGGGTTGTAGAGTAGGGTGCTCTTACTTGGTATGTCAGCCTCTGAACTCTCCTTTCTCCACCTTAGTGCTCTTTGAATTGTTCTCCTAAATGTTTTGTGTTTCTGTAAACCCAGATAGTCCTTTTTTAACCGTGTTGGTTGTCCTTCCTTGTAAACAGATTACAATGCCATGGCGCAATTCATGATTAAAGAATAAATTTATCATTACAATATAAGTTATTACAACCGTGGTGGCGCAGTGGTTATAATTCAGTTCTGCAGGCTACTTCTGCTGACTGCCGGCTACCAGCAGTTCAGCAGTTCGAATATCACCGGCTCAAGGTTGATTCAGCCTTCCATCCTTCTGAGGTCGGTAAAATGAAGACCCAGATTGTTGGGGGCAATATGCTGACTCTGTAAACCACTTGGAGAGGGCTCTAAAGCACTGTGAAGAGGTATATAAGTCTAAGTGCTACTGCTACTGCTACTGCTATTTCAGTTTCCTCCCATTATTTCTTATTTCAGACTCATGGTTTTTTGCCTGCTTCATGGTCCCTTGCTTATAGGTTCTGTTTTTCATGACTTGCCAATAGGTACCTGAGGCCATTCAGAAGTGCCAGCGTGCTGGTATTACTGTCAGGATGGTTACAGGTGACAACATCAACACTGCACGTGCCATTGCAACTAAGTGTGGGATCTTGCTGCCTGGAGAGGACTTCCTGTGCTTGGAAGGGAAGGAATTCAATAGGCTCATCCGCAATGAGAAAGGAGAGGTAATATGAAGAAGGGATCGAAGCTGATCAAGTTTCTGTCAGAGCTGAGATCTCCAAAATATATTATCAAATGGGGCAGGAGGGGAAAATATTTAAAATATGGAGAATAATCACATTAGCTCTACTTTATTATATTTTATTTCATTGCATTTAAATATAAATGAAAACAAATCAATATTTTGTTTACTCTGACCCCTCCTTTTATATGTGATCCCTGACTTTGTTTTAAGTGATGCATTCATTCTAATGTGATGGCAAACTGCATCCCTAAAACATGGAAATTTGACATCTTAGGAAGAGTTTTTAATGCAATATGGCAAAGAAGATATTGTATGTAATTCAAAAAAAAATCTACTGATTTTAAGGAATAGATCCAGGATATGAGTCTATTAACTATTTTTGGAGAGTGTTCAAAAAATGAAAAGACCAAGCACTATGTTTCTGTATTTCCAGATTTAAAAATAAACTTAAGGACTGAATTCATTTTTACATTGCAGTTTATAATTATTAAACAGTTCTTTTTACTCTTTTTTTCCTTGCCAATTAAATAGTTTTCTTTTTATTTTTTTGTCACGTCTAGTTTATTTTAATCACCATAGTATCCAGGTTTTATTTCTTTGCTATCCTTTTTTTCAGTTACGGTTGTAGGTTTTTTAAAATTTAATTTAATTTCACCTTTAATTAAATGGAAAAAAAGATAGATTTATTCATTAATTCATGCGGTCTCTGTGGAACCATGAATCTTTGGAATTCAAAGCAGATTAGCCATCAGAGAAAGAGATTATGAACCTTAATAGATAGTATTGTTAGGTATACAGAAAGTTTCTTTGCCCATCACTCTAAAGTTGCAAGTATCTGCTATGGCCTGCTACAGTGGAGCAGCTATCATCATATATTGCTAATTTCTAAGGTATTTACCCTGCAGTCCTCTAATGATATGTTAGATCCATGTTAATGTTTACCAAATGGTTTCTCCATACTACCTGCAATTGTTATGGTATTCATCATTGGGCATTAGATGGAATTCTTCTGAGAAAATCGATTATGTTTTCAGAAGAGAGGGGAGACTGGTTCGAAAGCCCCTTTCAGAGCTAATCTAGCTTGTCCTGTTGGGGTTTTGCTCTGCAGGTGGAGCAAGAACAACTAGATAAAATCTGGCCTAAACTTCGAGTCTTGGCACGTTCTTCACCAACTGATAAACACACCCTTGTGAAAGGTATGGTCAACCGAAGAGATAGCATTTGTTTTCTAAGATGGTGTCAGAAGATAACTAGAGGGAGAGAGGTTTGAAGGTACTAAGTGAAAACTTAAGTGAACGGATACATTGCATTTACAGAGCCAGATTTGCTGAATTGACATGTATTCATGTTTTAGCATGTATGTTCCAGCTCCAAAATGAAATATCTGAAGCAACCTACACAGTGAAAACTCCTTAACAATGAAAAATGAAACTAGATAAGAAATTGTGTGTGTATGTGTGTGTGTGTATAAAAGCAGCAAATCGGAAACAAAACAAATGTTTGTTAAACACTAGTCTGAGCAATACAATTTCATCCACATTTGACAACAGAATGTTGGCAAGGGAATATGCTATATTAACTTCTTAGAAGCAGGAAATTCCACAGTCTGGGCATGATAACAAAAATAAAGCACTTTGTACATCCCTCATATTTAAAAAGATGTCTTGTCGATTTGTCTTAGTGGATAAGATATTAAATTTTTGGAAAACTATACAATCCTTTAGATATCATAGCCCTAGGTTGGTTGAGGCTTTACATGACAATCATGTAAATTGTTTCTAGATTTTTGCCATAAATCTAGTGGGTCTGTGCTTATCCTCTACTGACTTTTGGCCTTATTTTCAGGAATTATTGACAGTACTGTTGGGGAACGGAGGCAGGTGGTAGCTGTAACTGGAGATGGCACCAATGATGGCCCAGCCTTGAAGAAAGCAGATGTTGGATTTGCTATGGTATGAGCCAATATTCTAGGGACTACATTGCAAACCAAAAAGCAGATAATTATTTGTTTGTGTGTATTTTTGTATGATGGAACTAATAACTGATAACACTGGTTGGCTGGCTAAAAGAAACCTGCAGCATTGTATATATGTTAAAGTTCTTTTCATTGTGTTCTATTTTCTGTTTTAGCTTTTTCAGTTGCAGAAGTCAGAAATCTTGCAGCCCAAGACAAAATTTCACCATCCCTGGGCTCAGTAGGACACAGCAGGCAAGCATTAGGGAAAATTGGTCGCTACAGGGAACCTACTTAATGCTTTTGAGATTTGCTGGTCTATTCTAACAGGCAAAGTTTTTCTAGTCACCAACTGCCACCATGTGTCTGTAACTGAGTTTTGCAATAAACCTAACAGCCTCCTTAATCAGTTGCTTTGGTTCTTCACCAACAAGTCCAAGCGAAGAGGCAATGGCTAGCTTTTCCTCAGAGTTTTTGATCTGAAAGGAAAAAAAGTTAAGCTAGCTACAGACTAGGTATTTTAATTGTCAAAGAGCCTTGTGTTGGTTCATTTGGATCTTTCAGAAAAATGAAAAAATTTCCATATAATTTACACTGCAGTGTCACATTTGAAATGAACTGACATTTAACATTTTGTGGGTACAAGTCTTAAAATTGAACATAAAAAATGTAATGCTTCCTTTTTGACTAATAGTCTTTCCTCCACCTACTCTTTATTTTCTCAGGGCATTGCTGGCACAGATGTGGCTAAGGAGGCTTCAGACATCATCCTGACAGATGATAATTTTACAAGCATTGTTAAGGCAGTGATGTGGGGTCGCAATGTATATGACAGCATTTCCAAGTTCCTGCAGTTCCAGCTGACAGTCAATGTAGTGGCTGTGATTGTGGCATTCACAGGGGCTTGCATCACACAGGTAAAAGAGTTGGGACTTTTATTAATGAATTAGAGCTGGTCTAGATTCCATTGGAGGTTTTCAAATACAGCAATCAAAACTTTGTCTTGCTGCACATAAAGGTAAAATGTTCAAAGATAAGAGAATTAGGTTAAAAAGAACTATACTTTACAGAAGGAAACCAAAAGTCTATTCATTTAGCTTTTCTAACAGTGGCCAGTTAGATACCCCAGGCTGGTCACAAATAGCGCTGATGGAGACAACAAGTCAGTGTATAATGGACTACTGTGACTAATGGTTATAAACTACTTATTTATACTTTCATCAGAAGATTGCAGCAGTTCTTTTTGCATCACACTTATGCAAAGACTTCTACAGTACTAGAATTGGAGAATTGGTATTCCCCTTTATTCAGTTGAAATTAGAAATGTGAACAACTTGAAGAAGAGGGTTCAAGCTTCATAAAAGAGATGCTTGTTGTCTCTGACACACTGTAACACTAAACTAACAAAATATTTAATCATTGTATTAACAGTAGTAATATTGAACTGAAAAGGCTAGTATTTCTGGATTATCATAGTAACCCAGATGTATGAATTCAGCACCAGTCAACTCCCAAGTTAAAGAACTAGGGGAAAGGGAAGAATAGCCATGGACTATGTTTGCAGTATATTAGCCACGGTGGCACAGTGGTTAGAGTGCAGTACTGCAGGCTACTTCTGCTGACTGCCGGCTGCCTGCAATTTGGCAGTTCAAATCTCACCAGGCTCAGGGTTGACTCAGCCTTCCATCCTTCCAAGGTCGGTAAAATGAGGACCCAGATTGTTGGGAGCAATATGCTGACTCTGTAAACTGCTTAGAGAGGGCTGTAAAAGCACTGTAAAGCAATATATACTGTAAGTCTAAGTGCTATTGTTGTTGCTATTAGTTTTTGAAAGGTTTTTTTCTTTCTTTGCAGGATTCACCTCTGAAGGCTGTCCAAATGTTGTGGGTGAACTTGATCATGGATACCTTTGCCTCATTAGCTCTTGCCACAGAACCCCCTTCAGAGTCTTTGCTCCTGCGTAGGCCATATGGTCGCAACAAGCCACTGATATCCCGAACCATGATGAAGAACATTCTGGGACATGCCGTGTACCAGCTCACCATTATTTTCACATTACTATTTGCAGGTGAGACTATAGGAAAGTGTGTAGAACAGCTAGGTAATCTGGGATCATTTTTTCTGTTGTTGGATTGAATAAGGCTAAAAGATCTGGGCTGTAAACCCAGTTGACCATTAAGCTGTAAAAAGAGAAAGAAAACTGTTTGGTATCATCCAGTATCCTGGATTCTGCAACCCAAATCTGTGGCCCTAATTATATTCTATCTGTTTGCTCTTCCAAGATAGTTTTAAAAGATTTAAAAGATCTCCATGATCGTTCTAATGTCAGTCAGTTTAATGTCAGGGTTTCAAGTAATAGACGCACAGCAAGCAAAACTCTGAGGCAGGTAGATTCCTCAAAAGTCTTTATTGGATATATCATATTGGTACAGATCTGGTGAAAACCAACTCTGAAGGTTTCTGCGGTTTTCACCTAATTAAAAATAAAAGTTTTTCCTCAACCCCAAACAGTCACATGGTCCAATCAAGATGCTGTCTGGTTGCCTGGTGACATCACTCCTCCTTCCTCAGGTCAGATGTGAGAATGTCCTTGGTTCCCAAGAGAAAAATTTTATTTTGACTACAAAACCCCAGCTATCTCTAATCCCCCCTCCCTGTCCCTCAGCTCCAATGCGGCAACACTGAAGCTCCAAGATGGCTTGGTCAGGTCAGCTTTAGGGTTGAAACCTCAGCTAATTAATTCAATTTATGTTTCCTCTTCTAGTGCTTTTTGAGAAAATGAAAAAAAAAGGCCATGTAGTTGTTTTTCATATTTGATTAAGTGTCCTCTGTGAAATAGTCACCATATTTATGCCAAGAAATAGGTAAAGATTCAGAGGATACACCTGATTGACTTCTGTCCTCTTTCATTAGACATACTTTAATCTCTCAATAATGCTGAATACAGATTTCATGTTATGGAGGGGCAATTAGTAGTTATTGATAAATAATATAATACCACGCAATTTTATGTCTTAAATTGTCATGAGTGCAAGCCAAGGAAAATTGTTTTTTGATTACCAGTACTGCTTACTTAGTGATGAAGTTTACTGCCTATTCCCTTATTATACCTGATTCATGACAGAATTTATATTGATATTCAGCACCAGCTGTAGAAACTTACAGCTGTTTAAAGTATCAGCCAAAACAGTAGTATCAATTTAATTAGTATGAATGAAATTAAATTGCGGTATGCAGTCATGATAGGAATAGTCAAATTAGAAAATGGAAAGAAAATCTGCAAAATTAAATTCTGAAGGATCAAGTTTTATGTTGCACTTAGTGGCAACAAGAAGGCTGAAGGGGTTCGTCCTGATTAATTTGACTCCATGCAAACTGGTTGTTCCTCATCCTATTGTGTCTTTTTAGAACTCGGTACAGCTTCAGTTGTGAACCATTAACAGCTTCCAGTGAAAAATAATTCATTCTAGCTGGAAGTGTTATGTTGGCATTGTTAAACTGAATTCTTCCATTCATCAGTAAACCAGATTCATAAGGAGGAAAACTTCTGGATTGCTCTGTTTGCTTTTTTCCTGGTAGAGGCTCACCTGCTGCAGAACCAGCAGAAATTCAGTGGGGAGGGTGGAAAAGCAGCAGCGAAGAACAACTGCAGTTGCAGTCTGCCTGCTGTTGAAGCCTAAGAATCTTACTATGACTCTAAGGCAGAGTCTGTGTGTACATTTCTTCGGTTTCGTGACTGAGAAATGCATATATTTATAGCTCATCATTTCCATTTTAAAAGCTGTTTTGTTTTGGTAATGAAGGTTTTCAAATAATTATCTACAAACTTTAATTGAAGCATAAAGAAAGGCAATCTCATTAAGGGAACAGTCTATTTTTCCAGCAGCCTCTTAGGTAATTCTAACATTGCTTAAATGAGGAGCCATTTGTACACAGAGAGTGAATTAATATAAACTATTCTTTTTTGGTTTAATTTGAATATATTAATTAGTGATGTTGAGACTTTTTGGAATGCAAAATTTGGCAAGACTAGGTTGGCAGAAGACAAGAGAAAGAAGTTGGCAGGAAGGCTAAGAGTAAGACAGGATCAAAACAAAAGACTTGTTGGAAAGAGGACCAAGGAATTGAGCATTGCAAAAAAGCATACTTTCTAGTTATATTAAATTGCTGCCTAGTTATGCTGTATTACATTAAATTATAAACAATTGTCAACAATTATTTTATTTTTTAATTTTGCTTTAATAAGTGGAAAAATAAAAAGGGGTTTTTTTTTTAAAGATATTTCTAATAATAATATTGTCCAACTGTCTAATAAATTATCAGATATTATTCAACTTAATAATATACTGTATATTTTCTATAAGAAAACTTAAAATTTCCATGGTGATTTGTGAATATTTGGGTATTTCTCATTATTTTGATTCCATTAAATATCTGGGAATAACAGTCAAGGAAAGATTCTTCATTAAAGGTACCAGTATTTTTTTTTAATCTTTAAGGAAACTATGAATGTTTAAAAATGAATAATACATCAGTGTTCAAACTAGTAAAATAAAATATCAGTATCAATGTATGTTCTTATTTTGCATTATTGTAATCTATTTTATTGTATTTAATTATTGCTACTATATTACTACATCATTATATTTTCCATTGTTGAATCTCAGTCTATCATGATTGATGCGACATGTAATTCCAGCAAATGAATAAATGAATTACACTTAAATGGTATGATGATTAACCAGTGACAAAGACAGAGTACTTGAAGGATCTCTGGAAGAATCCACTGTTCTGTCATTTCCAGAAGGACATCACAGAAGACCAATTTAGCTTCATGGGAGGCTGTTCCAGAGAATTGGTACCATGATATAAAAGCAGCACTTTCTGGTCTCAGGCCCTCCTTACCTCACAACATGGGGCACCACTAGCAGGTTTTTAAAGATAATCCCCTCAGACAGGTCAACTCTGGTTAGAGTGGGTAATCTTGGTGCCAATCCACATAAAGCTTTCTATGTCAACATTAGCACTTTCAGTAATACAGGAACAGTATGATCATGGAAACAAGCATAATCAGAGCAACCAGGCTGCTGCAATTTCTGGGAGCTTTTCAAAGGCAACCACATGTAGAGTGCATTGCAGAAGCACAGTTGAGGCATAAGAGGCAAGAGTTACTGTAGCCAGTTCCTCCCTATTCCAGGTAATTTGAGTAGCTGAGCAAAGTCTCTTTGGCCACCCAGCAATAGCCATGCACTTAGGAAAACTCTTGTGGAACGGACTTGGTTCCTCAGCATCTCTTGAAGAGACAATACAGAGCCAACAGGGAACAGTCACAAACAAACAGCAATTCCATATTGCATTCCATGTAAGCCATGGTGGTGCAGTGGTTAGATTGCAGTACTGCAGGCTAACTCTGCCCACTGCCAGGAGTTCGATCCTGACTGGCTCAAGGTTGACTCAGCCTTCCATCTTTCCAAGGTCAGTAAAATGAAGATCCAGATTGTTAGAGGCAATATGTTGACATTTATAAGCCACTCAGAAAGTCTATAAAACACTATAGAGTTGTGTATAAGTCTAAGTGCTATTGCTGTTGCTTAGCTCAACTTCAGCTTGTTTCATCCCATCCAACCCCCAATTGATGGCATCTCCAATTGGGCCCCGCATTGCAAAACAAAGCTGAATATTATCAGCATATTAACAGTTTCACATCCCAAACTGCCAAATGATCTCTCCTATTGGTTTCAGATGGATATTAAATGATGGAGGGAGATGACTAATCCCCACAGTACCACACAAAGGAGTAGTCACCTGTCATCACTATACTTCCAGACCACTTTCCCCTGTCTACCCTTGAGGTAGGAGTGGAAACACTGCAAAGCAGTGCCTCCCGCAGTCCCCAACTCCTTCAAGCAATGCAAGAGTATAGGGTGGTATTCAGAGTTACTTGGAAATCCTAATAGATTTGAGCTGGAAGGGATAATAATTAATCCGGTCTCTGTCCCATCCAAATGCTCAAGTCTCTAGTAGACTCAGCAACTGAAACCTGCTCATCCATCTTCCCCCTAAAGGATTGGAACCTAGTCAATAGTTTTCAAACATTGCTGGATCCCAGGAGGGCCCCTTTTTAAAAGGAACTGTCTCATGCCTTCTTCATGATACTGGCATCCTCCCCTCCCAAACAGAAGAGCCCAACTGATGATACACACCTCTCTTTTGTTGGGGAGATCCAGGTTCAAGTACATTTGCAGCCATGGCAAGAGTGCTGTCTCTCTCTCTCCCTACCAAATGTTGGCTGATTTTGTGGGAATAAAAACAGAGGGTGATACAGGATGAACAATACAAACTCCTACTGAAAAAGATGGAATATGAAAGTAACAAAATTAGTAACAGTGCTTGATGAAAGGACTTCGGGGAAAGCTATGGCATCCTGAAGACAGCTTCACTTTTTGTAGCACTGACAACCATGGCAGAACAATGAGCCAGCAAACAGATTGGCACCTTGAAATTCCACCTCAGATAAAGAGAAGAACCTGGGATCACTCATAAGTGCTCGCCATGAGGAGACTGTAAGACAGCAGTCTCCTTTCAATGGGTTTTTAATTGCTCTAGGAGCTGAGTGAGAGTCAATTTTGCTCAAAACGTACTAATTCAGTACTCAAGCAAACACTGAATTTTCCCACTTCCTCGCTTAATCACTTCAGGAAACTACTTGTTAACTGCTTTTTGGAAATTAAAAACCTTTACAACACAGATTTCATCACACTGGGTGATTCTTCTGTCCTTGAGAAAAGAAGATTTATGTATGTTTAAGAACTTTAAAACATTTTTTTTTCACTCTGAAATAAACAGCAAAGTTGAGTAAATCAACTTTGTAAAGTTTTAAAGAGCCTTGATGGTACAGTGGTCTAAGCACCCTGTTATTAACACAGCTGCCTGCAATTACTGCTGGTTCGAATCTCTTCAAGGCTCAAGGTTGACTCAGCCTTCCATCCTTTCTAAGGTAGGTGAAATGAGGACCCAGTTTGTGGGGGCAATAAGCTGACTTTGTATAAAAATATACAAAAGTATGAAGGCTATTGCTTAACGCATTGTAAGCCGCCCTGAGTCTCCAGAGAAGGGCGGCATCTAAATCAAATTTTTTAAAAAAAATGGACGAAGGGGCCAGATGGATTGGAAATAAGATTTAGAAACTAATTATAAGAATCCTTCCTGTGGGTTGTTTAAAATTCTATTAAAAATATATGAAGATTTTGAACCTAAGAAATCTTCCTGTGAGAAAATGTTGATTTAAAAAAACATGTTATGAGGAGACTTTGAAGTCTGGAGACTAGAGGCAATCAGAAGCTGGTAAAGATTATAATTAAAGGAGAAGAGACATATTAGTATAGAATGGAGAAAAGTATTTTGACTTCGGAAGAATTTCAGGATATTTAGCATTCATGTCTCTAAAAATTCTCTAAAAATTCTCTGCTATTATAACAGTGAGTTTAAAAGAGAAGTTAGAAGACAAGTAACAACTGAGAACCAGGCTGCTTTGGATATATATTTAAAAATGACAAATACAAGAATGATACGGAAAAAGATGTTACCCAAGACTTACAAATGAAACTAGCTGATTTCTTAGTAATTAAAAGGGATATACCAATAATACATCAGAAGAGTGATTTGAACAACTTTCATATCTTGGTCTTGCAAAAGAGGTGTGCTATACTAATGAAGGAGTTCCTGAAAAGACAGAAAATGAAAAGAAGCTTTTGGGTCACTATTTAAAGAGAATAAGCATGAAGAACTTTCAAAGTAAAAAGAAGGAATATAAAATTGCCTTACATATAGTCCTTGACTTAGGATCATTTAATAATCGTTTGAAGTTATGATGGCACTTGAAAAAATCACCAGTCCTCATATTTATGACTATTGCAGCATCCCTGCAGTCAAATGATCAAAATTCAGGCGCTTGACAACTAGGAAGTATTTATGACAGTTGCAACATCCTGGGGTCACCATTTATGATTCTCCCAGCTGACTTCCAACAAGCAAAATCCATGGGGGAAATTAGATTCATTTAACAACTGTCTCATTCACTTAATCACCATGGTGATTTGCTTAACAACCAGGCAAAAAGGTTGTAAAATCGGTTTTTTAATCTTTGTATTTTTAATCTTTAATTTAAAAATATTTAAAGAGAGTACTTGATGATGAAAATTATACCTTTCAGGGTCATGGAGTGCAAGACACTTGCCGCAAGTTCTGTTCCAGTGTGTATATGTGCCATATTTTATTCTGTAATCGTATTGTAAAGGATATCTGTAGATGGAAAGAATATGTTCATGTGCTGTTCAAACTCTTTTCCTACAGGTGAAAAAATTTTTGATATTGACAGTGGCCGGAATGTTCCCCTCCACTCCCCACCCACTGAGCATTACACAATTGTCTTCAACACTTTCGTCATGATGCAACTGTTCAATGAAATCAATGCTCGCAAAATTCATGGGGAAAGGAACGTATTTGAGGCCATCTTCCGGAATCCAATCTTCTGTACAGTGGTGCTAGGAACCTTTGTTGCCCAGGTAAATGAAATGGGCTTGGGTGGGATTGCAGGAAAGGAGAGATTGGGAAATGGAAAATTTGTCCGTCATTCTCCCACCAAACATACTCTAAATTGTAATGTTTACTGACATGGCAACTTTATGCAAGGCTGATTGGGGAATTCTGAGAGTTGAATTTTACACATTTTAAAGTTGCCAAGGTTGAGAAACACTGACTTACAGTGTACGGTCTTAGAAAAAGCCACATTTTGGTGGTTATCTGAAAAATAATCAGGATGGGAGCCAGTCTAACATGTTCTAAATAAGTGGCAGCAGGTCTGAGAAGATTCATCTCTTTGGGCATTAGAAAGGCTAATTCCTCATGAAAAGAACTTTCTCTTCTGCATCGTACTATGGGAGTACGCTCCCATAGAGAGGGGCTCCTCAGGGTGCCGTCGGCCAAACAGTATCGACTGGCGGCCCCTAGGGGGAGAGCTTTCTCTGTGGGGGCACCTGCCATCTGGAATGAGCTCCCCCCGGAGATACGGAGGATCCCAGATTTACGCACTTTCCGCCGCGCCCTCAAAACATTTTTATTCCAGCAGGCTGGTCTGGCTTGACTCTCCCTTTTAATTTGCTTTTAAGTATTTATACAAATTGGGTGTTTTTAAATTCGTTTTTTTGGGCCAAAATTATTTAATGTACTTTTAAATGGTTTTTAACTTTTGTATGATGTATTTTTATCTTGTGGCTGTTCACCGCCCTGAGTCCTTCGGGTATAGGGCGGTATATAAATAAAATAAAATAAAATACATAAAAATCTTATTGTATGGACCAGAACTGTTTGCTACTCCATTTATGTGTAAGAAGAGTATGCAACTGTCTTGGTTGTGTTTCCTCTTGAAATGCTGGGTCAAATTACTGGGCTGGTGTGAGGGGAAAAAAATTTAAAGCAGGAAAAGGGAAACTTTTTTTTAAAAAAAAGATCTTAAGATCAAGAGAATGGGAAAATTTGTTCTTATATGGAACCCAATATTGATTTTTTTTCCTTTCATTACTATGGTAAGAGATAATCACAGTAGGTTTGGATCAGAAATAGAATTCTTTTGGTTTATTAGACTTGGGCTAATTCATTCTCTACTGGAAGTGATTATAATAAATTCCCTGAGTGGATCTGCCACTTCCACTTTCATGATTTAGTTTGGGTGTGAAAGACACTAATCCTCCTGTTGACCACACAATGATCAATTATTATAGTATCATCCTAAATTTCCTTCTTACGATGAAGCCTTTGATACCTAGCAATATAGTTAAATGTTCCTATAGCAAATATTCCTATAAGATGAACTTCCAATTTATAACTTTGGTATATCTGAATTTTCTAACAGTCTTTGCTTCTTTGTGTATTTGTTATTACTTAAACTGTTAGGTGTATTGCATTTTTTTCCTTATATGACAAAGGATTTTATTTCTGAGCTCTGTGAGTTGAGAAAACCTCCATCCCCCTTGGTGGTAGCATTTATTAGAAGAGTCTGTCTGTCAACAAATAAGGGTCCAAAAATTATCTCATGTCTAAGAATGTAAATTTATGTTCCCTTTCCTCTCGTAACCTCATTTGAAGTTGTGAATTGCAGCCATCTTTTCACTCCTTTAGGTCAGAGGTGTCAAACTGGATTTCTTTGAGGGCCAGATCAGCATTGTAGTTGTCATCCATGGGCTGACCGGGGAGGGGGGAGACGGGACAGACGGCGGTTGGGATGGAGTGTTCCTGCAGCACTCCGTTGGCCAAAACAGGGCATCTCATTTTCGGCCTGGACAGCCTTCTGCAGAACTCTGCTGCCCAAAATGGGGCCCAGGGGGCCCACATGCAGCCACCCGTTCCCCATTTTCCCTAGCAGAGGCACCACGGGCCAGCCTTTTCCTTTCCAGGCCAGCCCCGTGAGCCAGATCTAAGCATCCCGCGGGCCAGATCCAGCCCGCGGCCTTGAGTTTGACACCCTGTTTTAGGTTAACAATATTGACTGAAGGCTTGCAGTTTTTAGAGTCAGCAGGCTTATAATGCAGGTGTTTTCTTTCAATTCCTTTTCTATAAATAGGTTCCACCATTCACCCACTAGAATTATTAGGCTTGATTTCATTATATGCATTTCGGCTTACTGCTTTGGATGGTGGTTTACCGAAGCCAGTCTTTCCCATTGTTCTCTTTTTCTCCCAATATTTCAGATTATTATTGTGGAGTTTGGTGGTAAACCATTTAGTTGCTCTGGACTTACCTTGAGTCAGTGGTTTTGGTGTATTTTCATTGGTGTAGGAGAGCTGCTTTGGGGACAGGTAAGAAAGTGAATATTCTACATTTATTTAAACAACTAGTTTTGTTCCTGCATATTGTTCAGTTACTGTATGTGTTAATTGTTGCCAATCTCATTTCTCTGCAAAAATCCAAAAAGGATTTTTACTTTTCTGTAAAGTAACAATATTATTGATTAAGTTGCCAACATAACCAAATTCAATGTGAGATTATAACATTTTACTTTTCATTTTACCCATAACTTTCTATACCTATTTTATATTAAAAAACAAATTTTACTGCTTTGTGGCATATTTTTTAAAAGTTGAGAAGTACTGTTTATCATAGAATTAGGAGATATATAAAAGTGGAGGGATAGCTGTTCCAATCTATCTGTTACTTACAAGATAAAATCGGAGTCATTTTGTATAAATATGTGAATTGATTCATATCCTCAAATATTCCAATTGAATCATTATGGGGAGTTTTTCAACTGAGAATAAATTCACCAGTAATTCTGGAAAATCATATGCAATTAGATTTTCAATATGAAAGAATAGTTTGCTTTTATTCATCACCCCTATACTTCCATCATATCTCTTGAGAAAAATGTTGTTTTTCTTCTAAGCCTGTACATTTGTCTTTCTTTTGAAGTTGAAATCCTTTACAGAAACAAATACACATGGAATAGCCTTATAGCCAGTTTCAAAGATGTTACAAATGTGTTTGCTATTTCGTGGGACACTTTGAGACCCTGAAGGAGTCCAAAAGGCAGACTAGAAATGATTTAGAAAGTAAATTTTAAAAAATGTGATGCCAATCAAACTGAGGATGGCATGTTGCAAATGCAGAGAACTCTTGGGAATCATCACCTGACTAGATAGTCAGGCTTATTGAACAATAAAGTCAAAACAGCCACAGAAGAATTCAGAAGAATTAATTCTGAGCATTCCATTTCTATAGTTGATCAGCAGTATTCCAACAAATCAACTGAAGTTCCTGAAAGAGGCTGGTCATGGGATTACCAAAGAAGATATTGCAGAAGAAGAGTTGAATGAAGGTGTAGATGAAATTGACCATGCTGAAATGGAGCTTCGACGTGGACAGATCCTGTGGTTCCGTGGTCTGAACAGAATACAGACTCAGGTATGGCACCGTTATTTTTCTCCCTTATACAGTGCAGCTTGCAGTGTTGCTTTGCTTTAAGTGAGACCAGTCTAAGGATATACGTTGGAAGAGTATGACATCCCTGTTGCTGAAGCAATTGAGATCAATTAGCCATATTGTTTAAACTAGCAGCATTTGCACAACTGGCGTTAACTGTATTGCATTCAGCGGAAGAGTACTTCTAGAACTCCATCCTTGCATTGGGGAAGGTTCTCCCTAAACCTGCCTCACAACAGATCTATTCCAAGAGATAAGCAAGGGTATGTAGTCATGCTAGTTTTTATGAGATGCTAATGCAAGGCTGACAATAAAGACTATATGCCGCTTAAATTTTTTTGCTCAGCCATTATCCAGCCTTCAAATTTTAGAAAGGAAGGTGATGTTCCTGTTTCTGCCTGCTAAAGGATGTTGTAGGACTACATAGTTCCACTACCTAGAGTGCTTACTGGTATAATAAACAAGATGGGAAAGAGGGCAATTTGAGGATTGAGAAGCACTGAGCTTTATGGCTAGAAATCCCAAAAACTAAATTAATGTTAGTATTCTCTTCACCTTGATAAAATTTTATTTAATTTAATTTATCACATTTCTATGCCACCCAACTCCCAAGGGATTGGGCGGCTTACAACAAAAGTAATGCAACAATGAACATAGAAATTATTAAAAACATTATGAAAACATTTTAAAAAACATTAAAAGCCCATGCACACCATTCATGGCCGGATCTCGCAAGATTGCAACAGCAAGATCAACGGTCCCAGGCCTGCCGGAAAAGCCAGGTCTTCACTGCTTTCTGGAAGGCCAATAGGGTGGGGGTAGTCTGGATCTCAGGAGGTAACTAGTTCCAGAGAGCTGGGGCAGCCACAGAGAAGGCCCTCCCCCACGGGCCCGCCAGCTGGCATTGTTTAGCTGACGGGACCTGGAGGAGACCAACTCTGTGGGATCTTACTGGTCGCTGGGAGCTATGCGGTAGAAGGCGGTCTCAAAGATAGCCTGGCCCTGAGCCATGTAGGGCTTTAAAGGTAATAACCAACACCTTGAATTGTACCCGGAGACCAATAGGGAGCCAGTGCAGCTCGCGGAGAATTGGTGTAATGTGGGTGTATCTAGGTGCACCCGTGAGAAGCTCGCGCAGCTGCATTCTGGACCAACTGTAGTCTCCGAACACTCTTCAAGGGTAGCCCCATGTAGAGCACGTTGCAATAATCTAACCATGAGGTGACAAGGGCATGAGTGACTGTGAGGAGAGCCTCCTGATCCAAGTAGGGTCGCAATTGGTGCATCAGGCGAACCTGAGCAAAGGTCCCCCTAGCTACAGCTGCCAGATGTTGCTCTAATCTTAGCTGTGAGTCTAGGAGGACACCCAAATTGTGAGCCCGTTCTGAAGGGGACAATTTCTACCCCACCCCACCCCACCCGAACCAAGGATGGACAGTCGACATAGTCTTTAGGAGGCAATACCTACAGCCACTCGGTCTTGTCTGGGTTAAGTCTGAGCCTGTTGACTCCCATCCAGACCCTCACAGCCTCTAGGCACTGGCACATTACGTCCACTGCTTCACTGAAATGACGCGGTGTGGAGATACACAGCTGGGTATCATCACCATATTGCTGATACCCCACCCCATATTGTCGGATGATCTCACCCAGCAGTTTCATGTAGATGTTAAATAGTGGGGAGAGAACCGAGCCCTGAGGCACCCCACAAACGAGGGGTCTAGGGGTCGACCTCTATCACACAGTCATTATTATTATTAGGATTTGTGAAAGCTGTCCCACTCGAAAAGATTCTGAAGAGAATACGTCATTCATTACTATAGGACACTGTTTCTCAACCATGGCAACTTTAAGATACATGGACTTCCACGCCCAGAACTCTCCATAGCTGGCTAGGGAGTTGAAGTCCATGCATCTTAAAGTTGCCATGGTTGAGAAATACTGCTGTAGTAGTGTATCTCCAGAGTAGAAAATGAGGTCCTAAAAGAAGGAACATTGTTTTGAAGGTACTTATGCCTGGGAATTTTAATGTATGTCATGTTGAAAATGGGTCTTTGTACAATGCATTGATTAAAATAAAACAAAATGTACAATGATGGGTACAAATTAAAAGCAAAAGATGTAGAGGAGAGCAATGAATCCACTGAAAATATCCTAGGCTGCATGTGTTTACTGAACTCTGGTACTGTCTTTTATTAGCAAGGCAAAGTCACACTTGCATGTCACTCTCTGCCTGAGATATGCCACAGAGGTAGTTGTGAGACCTGAAGTGCACAAAATGCTTTCAAGAGCAGAACCACAGAATGCTTGAACACGTAGCTTGGTTTAGTACGTTAAGCTGATTTGCTCAAAATCTTTGGAAGGAGAACCATTCAGAAGTATATACCCTCCTCTTTCTATTCCAGACTCACCTGTGGATGGTAGGTACAAATAGATATAAATCGGAATTTATAAAACTGAGTTAGTTTCTTACCATGGTGGTATCAAAAAATAGGGGAAAAAACCCTATCAAGGTAATAAGGAGGAAGAAGAGGTGACCATGTTCATTTTGTGAAAGAATCAGTCCATTAATGGAGCTTTCCATACCCACTGACTTAAAAATACTGCCAGCTATGGCAAACACTAAAAGTCGCACATCTTGGAGGGTGGTTGTGGTGATTATTATTAATAATATGGTATGCAAACCAGCCTTGAATCTGAAAAACAAAGCTTACAGAATTGCAGTTTTCCCAAAATAGTTTACATTTATCTCTCTTTCTCTCTCTCATCCTTCCCAAGAAATATAGCTGGGATTCTTTTTTACTGCTTACATGATTGAACTACAGAATGCACCATGTTTTCCCTTCTTACTTTCCAATCGAGACAAAACCGTTTGCTAGTAACCTAGAACACCGGGGGTTGTATCAAGACAGCAGCATTTCTATGCCTGCATTTGCAAAATCTGGAATAATAAGGTGGAAAAAAATATTCTACTATGAAACCCCTGCATGCTGTTATGTCTTTGCTGCTTTGAGATGACTTGGTCAGCTGCGATTAATTCTGCTTGGTTACTATATTACTCATTTCTTAACATTGGCTAAAAAGAAATGTCTCACTATGATCCCAGAGTTTGTACGTTAGAGGTAAACCTAGCACACACCACTTTTATATTGCCTGTTTTGGACTGACATTGCTGTCTTTTAAGAACATTTGTATTAGAACAAACATCTGGAAATGTGTTTCCAGATGTGCATGCTGCACTTTTGCATCATACAGCATTTTGCTTACATGCACATTTTCTCCACGTCCCACTATATTGCAGAGTACCTTTATTTCAAGTTTTTTTGCCCTGCTGCTTCACTCTGCATAATAATTCTGTAGGCACACGTATGCAGTTACATTCTCCTGAAAGTCTAAATGTATTCCTAGGGTTTCTTACAGAAATAAGATGAGCAACCGCAGAAACGTTTTCTCCCCCCAAAAAATTAATATTCGCATATGCAAACAGCTAGACTCTAGGAGACAGCAGGTTGAATTGGGGAACGGAAAGAAAAAAAAAAGGCTGGAATCTCTTTGCTTAACAGCTTTCCCCTTGGATTAACTGCTGAAACTGTGGGGGATGTACTGGGTTTCTCCATTTTCCACTTTTGTTCCTTATGGTATGTATCTGTATCCTTTGTCTGTCAGCTTCCCCTTCCACTGTCCTAGTTCCTTTTCCTCTTTTGATTGTGGGACAAAGCTATCTCACTCTCTGATTCTTTGCAGATGGACGTAGTTTACACATTCCAGACCGGCGCCTCCTCTTTACAGGGAGCCCTCAGGAGACAGCCTTCCATCGTGAGCCAACACCACGATGTAAAAAATGTTTCTAGCCCAACCCATGTAGCTCTTTCCTCCGTCAATTCCACTCCTACCACTTCTGCTGCTGCTGCTGCTGCTGCATCTCCTCCTGCGGGCAGTGAGTGATAGTCTATTCAATGCATGACTTCCTAATAACCACCAAAGGCACTCGCACAAAGCTAACCAAACCTGTTCTTTTTCCCTTTTCTTTTAACCTATAATTGGATTCATGGTTTCTTATCTTGAGAATTGGGAGGAAGTACGGGGAGAAAAAAAAACCAATTTTCTCTCTATTTCTCTGTGTGTATAACTTTTTAAAAAAACCTTGCATCCTTAACGTTGTTTTAAAATTCCTTCTGGTTCTTTCTCTGCCTTTTGCCTTCCCTATTGCAACTCTTTTCCTTCCTGCAGGACTGGATTAGAATTCCCATATTCCCTGTAGGAATTTTAAAAAATGATGTCTTTCTTAGAGGTAAAGATGGAACATATAATAAAGGGAATAACCACTGTAGATCTGAAAATAAAAGCGTGCAATAGCAGGCTTAGCTTTTTGATATTCATATTATTCCAAAGTGGGAAGCAACCCATTATGAACAAGCAGTCTTCTGCATGTTTTACTAACTTAACATTTACCCTTTCTGAACTCTGTGGAAATTATTTCTGAATAAACGTGCAACATAACGTTTTTTGAAAGCTTTATCCTGCACCCTTAAAAGTCATTGGACATTTCCTTACACCTTAAACCCCCCTTCCACTCAAGCATCTCAACCATAATTAGGTGGAGAGAAAAAGTATATGCCCCAAAGCAGATATACTTAGGTATACTTTTTTAAAAGAATGTTTTAACAAATTGATTTAACTAAAACACTGAATTTATCACATGATTTATGAAATGCCATTTAAAATCTTTTTAGCTTTCTAGTTTGGGGTATATTGATTATTTATAAAACTCTCTGTATACCAATCTCAAGATCACCATTTTACATTTGTTTTCTAGTTTTAAGTTCTCTCTTGACACAGCCATATGATGAATTCCTAAATTTTGTATTGTGCTTCTACATAATTAAGCAGTTTAATGGTTCAGAAATTAAATTTTCTACGTATTGAAGCAGTAATTATTTGTCGAAGAAAAGATGGGAGGCCTACAGCATGTCTTACAAAATAATACTTGTAAAAGAGATCTTACTAATTTTTCCCATTTTAATTAAGTGCTGCTTTGTATGTCTTCATGGAACTGGCAATCAGTCGTGTTTTGCTATTCAACAAATAGCATTCTTTTCTTCTCCAGAAAAATCGGCTTAAAAACAAGTATTGCATCTGTGGTCGTACATTTTTCCACTGTTCGGATTTTTTTTTAAATTCTGTTCAGTATGTGTTTTAATGCAACATGCATTCATTTGTTTACTTCACTTTTCTTAAGAATTCAAGGAAAAAAATTGAAAATGATTTATATCATGCACTTAACTAATACTGCTATTTTTCATTTATATACAAATATTATTTCTGGAGGAGCACATCCCTGGTATTTGTTTCTCTGATTGTGCCTCCAAAGAAAGAAGTAATTTATTAAAAATTATATATTCGTTTTTTAAATTTTATGCACCACATTTAAGGAACCGCACATATTTTTATGACTCATAGAAGCATTAATTTGTGTATCAAGAAGTCATATTTAAATGGGAATATAATTTCCCACTATATACTAATTATATCAAATACTATGTTTTTCTTTTTATGAACTGTCTATGCAGTTGTCTAGATCTTTTTTGCTGCCCTTACAAAGCTACCTGTCCATGTCTCTCCTTCATCTGTCTGCCTCTCCTTCCTTCCTTCGCTCTCTCCCATTACCTCTTGGAAAGTTCTACAGTCCTTAAAACAATTGCAGTGTGCTCGAAGGGTGATTTAGAAAAACATTAAAACATTAAATTGCAGTAGGGAGTATATCTTGCTCATGGCAGTTTATAATTAAACTGATAAAATTCTGAAGGAACTAAATAGCCTATGGCCTATTCCACTCAAAAGAAAATGGAAAATGCATCTGTTTTTATTTTCTGTCTACTAATGAAATGGACACGAGCAGATAGCTGTGGAACTAATGTATACTTTTTTTCCGTTTGATGAGGGATCAGATATGTTGAAAAGTACAAGTCTCTTTTCCAGAAACTTTATTATTTGGAAGACTTTTGAGGATATGAATAATTGAAGACATGCTTTATTTCTTCTTTACCTGTAGTATGTTTGGTCTTGGCACAAATGATGTAGATTTCTAAAAACTGTGTACTAGTTCAGTGCCCTAAAATAGCATTAATAACATGAAGCAAGATAGGTGGCCTACTCATGCCCCCATTCTTTCAAATTTCATCCCATAGAGAGAAGAAGAGGGGAAAGATACTTGGCATGACTGATGATGTTAGGGGAGATCTTTGTAGGAGTCAGGTGTAGTGCTGCAGTAGAAAAACAGAGGTTCTATGACCCTTTCCTCCTGCCAGTCTCCGCTCCTGAGTTCTCTCATAACTAAGTGGGCCCTTCTGAGTAGATTCCACTGAGACAAGGAAAGCTCTAGTGATGCCCTTGAATAATATTTTTTCAAATTCTTTATCTTCATGGGACCCTTTTCATATAGTCTGTCCCAAAGTAACCAGTAAACATTGCACTTGCCATGGAATCCCAGAAGTGGTTTAAGTATATATTCATTCATTCATTCAATCAATCAATCGATCAATTTGTATAGTCACCTATGACTATACATACTATAGGTCAATGACTCTGAGCAGTTTGCAATATGTTGTCATTTAGGGAAATTTCTTTAGTATTTCAGAAGGTTTACATTTTATTGAAAGTGAGTTTCATAGAAGCTTTCATCATTCCTTTTGTAACTTCTCAGGCTTTTCAAAAAGATCTCCCAACTCTTCGGGATAAATTTTGGGAAGGATGGAGAAGAGATTCAAGAGGAGGGGAATCACTGGAACTATTTCCCTCTCTATTCTATTTGCAGAAGTTTCTCCTAATTAAAACAAAAACAAAACCATTTGATCCATTGGCAATTGGATTGACTCATTGAGAATAAAAACTGTTGCCTAAAAGCAAAACTGTTATATGAATTAACGCCTATAAGCAACTTAGCTTTTCTACTTCTGTTGATCCATTCACTAGTTTGGAATCAAGATAAAGCATGCCCCAGGGGAAAAAAAGGGGGGTGAAAGAAACCTATTATAGATGACTATGGATCCTGATCTCAATTTAAGTTATGGTGGAGTTATGGTAGCAGGCAGTATATTCAGATTCAAATAGGGTACAGTAGTCTCATGGTATTTGTTGGTATCTTCTAAAAGAGCCATGCTTTTTTCTAATCTCTTCAGTATTTACATAAGGTTAGAAAAATACACTAAGGAGGCAATGCTGGGCCTTCTCCAAAGATATTTAATCAAAACAATGTTTTCATGGGCACCAGAATAAAACTGACATTTCCCAATAATCTTTATTCACTGGAAACAATCCCATGAGATAGGTTGGGCAGAGAGAGTGTTCCCCAAATCACCCAGTGGTGCTCAAGACCAAATTCAATATTTCAACTATCCTACCTTATTGGCTTTCAAGACCCTTATGTGTGTATGGGGAGAAAAATGCTTACATGATTTCCCCCCACCTGTAATTCCAATTCAGATTGGAGAGAGCTGAACATTCAAGTTACGTTAAAAAAACAACCCTCCACTGAAGATGAATCATGGAAGCTGTTTCTTCCAATGCAAATTGCAAATGGAAAAATTACCACATGGATCAGCATTACAATAAAGATAAATTGTGAAAGCTCCTGAACTTTCCATACTAGGATGGCAATCTAAATCAGGACCTCTCATTACTTTTAAGTGGGGGGGGAGCAAAACCGGGTGCCCATTTCATGTTAAAATAGTTTGATTTTGAGTTCCACATTGTAGGACAGAGTTGGGAACCTATGGTGTGATAACGTTTTGAAATCCCAGTTTGTTATTTCATTAAAATGAAAGCAAATTAGAAATTTCAGAGAATACAACATGCTAAGTAAAACTTGACAGTAAACTTAAAAGGTTAGCAAGAGATCATGAGGACAAACTGGAGACTAAGCAAGTAGTAGACATCAAGGCAATTGAGAGCTTATGTACTTACTTTGAATATGAATGTACTTTCTCAGTCATTTGTAATATTACAGTTTCCAAATTGGACGTATAAATAAACAAATCAGTCAAATGGGTGAATTATGATTAATTGTTACAAGAAGTGGACAATTTCAAGTCACTCATTGAAGATAAATATTTTAGTAGGTTTTGGACATGATAGCTGAATGAATCCTCTATATTTAAAATAAGCTTCATCTTTAGTTATCGGATCCTGAGGGCAGAAGAAAGGAAATTATTATTATCAGAGGATACATAAAAAGCTTTAGGAATCCCTAGTCATATTGAATATTTCAATGAATCGCTAACAGAAGCTGACACAAAGTGTATATGATACAAAGTAAACATTACATCCTTTTACAAATTCGAATGCATAGTATTTCAGTTGCTTCAATCTTTGTTTTTTTATTGTGAAGTTGTTAATAAGTTCCCAAAGATGGTTGACTTATTAGATCTATAGTTAGGTGGAAGAAAAGTTACTGAACAAATACTCTCACTTTTATAATCTCTGAGATTGTAGTACTTGTTCTTTCTACTTTCAACAGCCATGGGCCACTCCATGCCAATATTAAATATGGGTTGGCTCTATTATGTTTGGTGTTGTGTGGAAATCAATGACATGGGAAATATTGGGCAAGCAGATGGAAGAATGGATTCAATTAAAATTCAATATATCCTACAAGCTAATGTCTCATAGACAGAGAGGAAATTGTAACCAAAGGTGATTATGAATGAAAAAACAGAAATAAAAAATACCTGTAGCTGATTAATAGAAATGTTTGGAATCATGTACCCTGTAGAACCTATATCAGCTGCTGGTTTTTTTTTAAAGGATTCATTGAAATATGCACATTTGATTACATAGAAACAGCCAAGGGAGCAAAAGACATAGTAAGAGAATTGAGTTATAAAACTTTTTTAATTGGTTTATTCTGGCTTTATTTTATGTCAGTTTAAGGCATACTTAATGCTTCCGTCTCCTATTTTCCCCACAGCAATCCTGTGAACTGGACTGAGTTAGTCATCCAGCTGGCTTCTGTTTCATAGTCTCCTGCTTTCTAGTCTGGCACCAGAGTTAACCTCATGAACATAATAGGTTCATACATTATACTTAAATGGTGTATGTTTAACCAGGCTTATTAAAGAATACAATCACAGGTGGTTTCATGCAACACACTAAGACATAGAGACTAAAATAAAGCCAATATATCCTAGCACATTGTATTAATCGATATGAACAAAATTGAGACAAAATATGTTATGAAACTAAAATAAACATAGGTTGGATTTGCATGTTGAACATTAAGTATTTTTGGCCCTGAAAGTGTTTAGTATTAGATTCATGGTTTAATTCAGTCAGCTGAAATTATATCAGATTTGGAGATGTCCTTATACCCATTAATATTAAATAGGTTGGAAACTTATAGCATGCTTTAGCCATCTTAATAGTCTCATGTATTTAAATCAGAACTTTGCCACTTTTGAAACTGAACCCTATTTCTGGCTTCTTTGCAAAGTATAATCCTTAAGGCCTGAGTATTTGAAAGACTGCCTGTTTCAGTACAAACCTGTCTATCGTAATGATGTCCAGGGAGGTTCCTTCTAAATATGCCTCTGCTGGCAGAGGTCTATTCATCTGGCATGCTCTTAGACTTAGACAGTATGAGGCATTCTTGGAAGTTGTGGTTGTTCTCTTTCTTATAAGAATATTCAAAATGCCTATGTTATCCACTCTTTTTTTTTTTTACTTATTTTAATTTGCATTTTATTAGTAGCTGTTTCAAATGCTCAAAATGAGAGTAGGAAGCTGGAGAATGAAGAAATAAACAACAGAGAAGCACCCTGCTGGAGGAATTCTCCTCCCCCTCCCCCTTTATTTTCGTTCTGCACTGCAATCACATTCCCTCCAAGATTTTTGTCATAATCACAGTGCTTTAACTCTGGCTGATAGGCAAGAGAGCTGCAGAAAGAAAGCAGTGGATAGAAGCATTGTCCTATCACCAGCAGCATTACCATGTGTTACTGGAAGTTGCTTTCCAGTACCATTTTTTCAGAGAAGCATTAAGAACTAATATATGGATACATAAGGTATCCAAGTAAATTGTAAATTGTAAATGTAACAAGAGAAAACAAATTCCATTGTATTCCTTTAAAATGCCATTTTCAAAATACTGTGGAGTTCTTTAAATAAATTAATATAATTAGTATGTTATACTGTTGGATTGCCATAAGAGATTGAAAATATTGAGCAATTTTGTTCCCACCCACCTATCTACTTCTGAGAACTGAAGAAAGCTTTGGAGAAGGCTTTTAAGGCTTTTAAGTGTTGCTACTGTATTTGTTGTATAATTGGATATAAAATAGATTTTTTTCCCTATATGCCTGAACACTTATTTGAATTTGAGATTCATTACACCATTTTGGTTTGCTTTAACTCATCAGGCATAAAATGTGGATTGCATTAAGATGCACTATTTTAATTTGCTTTGGGGATATGTTTTGCATAGAAGTCTCAGTGGAATGCTAATAGTATTGCCTATATTTAATGTATGTACGTATATGATTAATATGGACAATAGCAAGCTTTGATCATCATGTTTGATACATTGATTTGTTTGAGCATGATTTCCACAGCAACATGATTCATCACGCAGAGGGAAGATATTTGAATCCCAATTTCAATAATGCTTTTTTTGATATGCATATATGATTTATATTATTTCTGTGACCGAAGAAACTGTGATCAGAAGAAGGAATGGAAGGACAGAAATGTCTTAAGTCTGAGTCAGACACTATCAAAATAACCAAAGAATTATTAAGAGCATGGGATTTTGTGACCTCATTCATTTCCATCTTCCCTAAATCTCAGCTGTTGGAAACTCTGTAGGGTAACTTGTAGCCTGTGGGCATGAGTTGCTTTACACTTACCTTTGAACATTACTGTCACAAGCTAAGAGAAGCAATGGGTTCTTTCCTAGAGCAACAGTGAGTGCTAGACATCCCCATTGAATAAGCTGTCTACTAACTTCTCTTGGAAATGAGTTGCCAGTTTCCAAACACAAGAGCTCCTAGCCTGGGCTCCAGTTTAATAGCCCCCTTACTACTGCATGCTCACTGATATGTTCATCATTCTGCTTGGATTTGCTACAGTACACGGTCTTGACCATTTTTGTGTGCAACACATTTCAGCCAATTAAATCTTTATAGGTTTGGGAATTTAAAAACAGCACCATCTTTTGCCACCCCAATTTTGCCTTGAAGCAAATCTGCACTTTGAGAATGTGTATGTTTTAATTGCTTTTGAGCTGCTCCATATGGATAGTTTTGTTGAAGAACAATTGTGCTTTGAATGTCCATGCATTTCAAAATTACTGTTAGATATGTGACATGTCTTTTCTTGCAGCTCCTGAAGCCTCCTCATAGTTGGTTGCCCCATCACATGTATAGTGCCTGACTTTCATATTGATATTTTTTTTTGTTCAAAACTATTATTGCGGCTTCTATTGTTTTTGTTATATTTATTGCATTCTTCCTCCCCCTGAAATCCTTAAAGACTGCCTATTGCTATCACTCACTTTTGTGTTTGCTTGTTTTTATTTTCATCCCTCATCTTCCTATGGTATAGATCAAGGTGGTGAATGCGTTCCGTAGCTCCCTGTATGAAGGCCTCGAGAAACCCGAATCCAGAAGCTCCATTCATAACTTCATGACTCATCCAGAGTTCATCCTCGAGGAAGACGAGCCTCAGACCCCATTCCTCGATGGCACTGATGAAGACTTGGAAGCTGAAGAACTTAAAAAGCAAAGTGAAGAGAGCCCAGGGGAGTCCTCACCCCTCAACACAAATAACAATGCAATGGACAGCAATATAGCTGAGGACACCATGCCAGAGCCAGAAAGCCCTTTACACAGCTTGGAAACATCAGTTTGATCTCTGAACTTTGACCTTCCTGCTTCCCCTTTCTCTAGGCAACATAGGCACCAATATCTGACCATACACTGCAGCTACTTTGGCCAATTTCCTCTCCATTCTCTTTATGATTTCTTGGCTGCAGAAATCATGGTATCACCTGGGTAGAGTTGTATTTTCAACAAATTGCTTGGCAGAGGTGCCTCCCTCATGAAAGAAATTACCAGTGTGATCATCATCTTCTCAAATTGGGCACCACATGTCTGTAGTAGTAATTTTTCTCCTTGCTCAAGTTATACCCTTATCTAGAAGCTCTAGATACCCTTTAAAAGTTTGGTGTATAGCATCTATGGCACAGTTGCAAGGTATTTCCTTAATTTTGTTTATGGCATCAGAATCCTAGATGCTTTTATATGTCCTTGGGAGGATGACAATGAGTGTCATAGGAATGTTATTAAAGGGGAGGGGGTGATCTGAGTAAGGAATTAGATGTGATCCCAGTCTTACACAGAGCAAGCTGGGGAAGAACTAGTATCCATCCTTATACTATTTTGTTTCTATTATCTCTTTGTTTCCAGGGTAGTATCAGTCACAAAAGATAAGGAGGAATATATAGACAGTCTTAAAATATATTTTTAAAAAAGGAATAAAGCTAATCATAAGGAGATACAACAGTGCCATATATCCTGAGAGAATTAAATGTTAAGGGATTTGGTTTTTAATGAAAAATTACTTTTTATGATTTCAGATCAAAATATTTTGGGATTATATATTAGCTGAGATACATTTATGTATTACATATTATTTGCTTAATTGGAATTTCATCGTTCTGAACATCAGGTGAATATGTCCTCAGTAAGGTGAACATCTCAACCCTTCTGATTCCAAACAAGATGGAACAAGTATTGGCTTGTTACTTCTGCCCAATTTTTATTTGGATAATTAGAAGGAGCCAGTTCTTTGGGGAGTGCAAGCTATAAAGGCCAGCTCTAATAAGAGTCTGTCAGTTCTTACACTTTTTTACTGCATTTTGAATGCTGAAGAGTGGAAAAAGTAACAGGAAAATGTCTTGGTCACAAATACCTACACAGAATGTTTTTGTGTGTATGGAAAATGTAAATGAATCAGTTCTGTATATTTGGGACATACTGTGTAGTATTGGGGCACAAAGCTCTTTCCTTAGTTGATAGGAATAAGATTCTCCCTGTTTCTTGTTATAGGTTTTTCCTTTTTTTTTTCATCTTGTACTGAAAAGATGCTTGCTGGCCTTACCTTGATACAGTTGCAATATTGAGATGCTGGTCTGGTGGAGGTCACTGTTTCACTCTTACAGACCATAGCCATATGGGGAGCGAATAGGATGTCCTACTGAAACTGCTTGTATACAATTTCTGCAAGAATAGTGGGGCATCTAACCAAACGTATGCTAATGTAGTCTCTTATGTCAGTTCACAGCGCTTTTCTTGGAAAGTACTACCTGGAAGCAAAGAGAATCTAATTGTTCCTACTTCTTTTGAAAGTTTTATTGTCTGGCCATCTTCCCAACATTCAAGTGTATACAAATTTTTGCTGGAAATGGGGTTGTTTTAAATTGCTTTTCCCTTTCCCTTTGGAAGAACGCACAGCAGAAACTCCTGTGCCTTGTCTAAGCACTGCCCAAAGCACTGCCTGTCATATTTGAGTCCAGTACTTTGCCAAGAGATAAGTGTTCCTTAAGCAAACACAAAACGAACCAGGAAGGAAAGTAAATTGTCTCTTGATTTCGACCCTTTAAGCCCAAATTCTTCTACCCAATTGATTGGTCATTGAATTTCATCCTGAGTTCAAAGTAGACTGATGAAGATTCCTTTTCCATAGCTGTTCTTTTCCAGGGTTGCTGTAAAGAGGACTTGTATGCTGGGCTCAGCAAACTGCCATTATCTGGGGAAAAACGCCCACTCATATTCCACCTTCTGAATTGCAAATAAGGCCCTAAGTCATTCTCACCCTCCTTCCTCCTTCCAGATACATCACTTCATTCCTTTCATCTGAACTATATAGATTGGGAGGATTTAGAGAGGGGAGCTCTGTTTCTTGTTGTGCAAACTATCAGTTAAGGGGAAGGGTGCCCCTTTTCATTTCATTTCATTCTGTTCAAAACATTGCAATGCTTTGAGGTCATTTTTCTATTTTAACTACTTGCAAAAACTAAAGGGTTTTAGGCACCTGCGTGAATATTTGTGAATTATTTGGGGGAGGGATTACTGATTTTATTTTTATGTTTGGGTGGTTTTTTTAATTCAAACAGCTTTTGGAAGAAGAAGAAACTCACTCCAACTATCTGTAATTGACAGATTTGCAGTGAGCTATCTGGCCTACATTTTTATCCATTTTTTTCCCTTTTTTCTGTCTAGTTTCCTCAGGGGACAGGGGATAATTATATAAATATTATGCAAAAAATATATAGTTTTCTTTAGATCAGAAACGTATATTTTTAAGTCAGCCATATGTATTTTGTTTAAAAGAAACAAAGCTGTGAGTTACGTAACTGCAGTGGAATGTAGTCACATGGCTGGCAGTGGAAAATGAATGTTTGGTCAGACTCTTGTCAGCTTCTTTTCTCTAAACAGCCATCTTTGTAATAAAGTCAGTTGTGTTATACAAAACTGTTTTTTATATAAATTATGTTGATATGGCAATTTGCTTAAAGTATAAGTGTTTTATTGAGCATACATTTTTAAATGTAAAATAGTTGAGTTTTTCCTAATTTAGTTTTGGTTATAAAATTGGCTGAAGTTGATTGGCTGAAGTTATTAAAGACCTGTAGACTATGCCGCCACGAGAGAGGACTTAAGATGAAAGCAAGGAGTCCACTTCGCAGATTTATGGATGCGCACACTCGCCCATTGGCCACCTTGCTGGTTCCGTTAATACTTTTGATCCTCTGCCTAGGGAAAAAGAGGGATTTCTTTTCAATTAAATCCTTCCTTATGTCAAAATAGTTGAACAGTTTTGTCCAAAGTTGACTGCATCAGCCATCTGAGAAAAGGCAAGTAAACCCAGTTCAGCAAAGATCAGCTCTTCAGTACAAAGTGCACACTTTATGTTATGTTATGTTATTTTATTTTTACCCTATGCAGCATTCTTCTGGATGTAGCTAGCATCCAAATAAAGTGGTTCCTGCACACAACTCCATTTATAAGTGTAGTCTATCCTTGCTGGATGGTGTTAGATTATAATTTCTTACAACAGTAAGTACGCCGTTAGAAACAAAACTATCTTTGCAGGAAGCAAATGATAATTGGAGGGAGAAATAATTTAAGATTGTGCCATGCCAGATGGAAGATGAGGTAGTATCCTCTTGTGTACATTATTATGCTTGGGATGATTTATTTTAAAAAATGAAATGGGCCCTAGAGCAGTTTTTCATCTGTTTCTTAATAATAATCTTTTTGTTAAACAAATTGGCACATTGGTACCAAAGACATTACATTGTTTCCTACGTGCAGTGAAAAATATCCATTTTCAGGAGCTAAAACTGTGCAATTGGTTCTTTTTATTCTATGGCACAGGGATCTAGTTTAATTTTTTTAAAGTTTTGTGCAATAAGTTTTAGGAAAATATTATTTTAAAAGGCATTTCTAAGAGGAAAACAAATCTAATTGTAATTTTAGCCATGGGCAGTCTAAATGAAGATTTATACCATAACCAAGTTTTTTGGTAATATTTGAGCAGTAGTATAAAACTCTTCAGTGTTCATTTAGCTTTTGATCTAAGGACCAACACAAACACCCATTATAACGGGGCTGCAATCAGGTTCACTAAAAATCTCCAATAATTCCAATTCAATGACTGCATTTTTTTTAAAAGTGTTTTTTAATAGATCAGTATTTGCTGAGTACTCCTAGTTCAGCATTTTTTTTTTCTGACCCACCATAGCTCTTGATGAGATTACAGCAATTGTTGGGATGGTTATAACCCTAAGAACAGGCACAGCTTTAAAATGTACAGGAAGACAATTACAGCTTCTAGATGTGTCATGGAAATTTTTTATGAATAAGCTTCACCAAACTCTATAACTCTTTACGAGGGTCTTCTTGATGGAAGATTCATGGACATCTAGCTCTACCACGAAAGAGAGGAAATAAATAGAACTCTTACTTCAATCCATGATGCTTTTAGAATTGCTTCAATATTACAGCTGATATAGCTGCACACTAATACTCTATTCTACTTAACTTTTTATTGTGCTTTGTAGCTGGCAATATTCCTATTAACCAAAAACAAAAGGAGTCCAGTCTACAGATTCATGTGCCCTTTAAACCCATGGCTAAGACTACTTGTTCAGGTTTTTTTCTGCCCATAAATAAATACATATACAGTATTAACATAAATACTGTATATATGTTTATTTAAATCTCTGGAAAAGCATGCATATAAGAATTTTAAGTTTCCCCTTTTTCAATAACTAGTATAATAAGCAATGGTATTTTTGTATTAAAAAAAGAAAAAGACAAAACAAAAGACTGAATATTATATGGTATGCATGACAAAATGGTTTTTAAAAAGTGTGGTTTCAAAGCAATATGTACCCTGGTGTGTTTGCCATATTCTAGAGTCCAGCTTAAAGTGCACCTGATCTGTAATAGCATTTTGATATTATTTAATCTGTGTAAAATGTTTTGCATGTATTTATATGGTTCTTGGGATTTTTTTTTCTTTTTAGTTGTTCGGTAAAGAATAAAGAGAGGGATGGGGTTGGCATGATTGACAAAGCTTTTTCTGTAACATTTGAAACTTTAAATATAGATAATGCTCTGATTGGAAACAGTGCAAGGAAATTAAGTTAATATGTAAGGTGCAACAGAAAGGGAAAGGGTCTTGAACTAATAAAGCTTGTTTTGCTGTTAAGCAGAATCAGTGCACAAGTGCATTGAGAGAATAAACTGTGCCCACATGTAATTGTGATGTCTTCAATATGTGTCCCATCAGTTTATAAAGTCACTGATCATCTACTGAAGCTGCAATAGTATGAATTACTATAAAATATTAGCTTGGACCAAATTTGTAGTGTGAAAATTATACACTTTTTAAAAGGTGACATTTTTTAAAAAATATCTAAGATAGTTAATTGCACAAAATATTATGTGTCAGTTTTGCCATGTCTGAGTAAGGTCCAGAAAAAGCTACCAAATTCTAGCCAAAGATAAGGATCCATGCCAATGACAAATGCAAAAATTCAAATGAATATTTTAAAGTGGAAAAGGCAGAATGCTTTGCAATTTTAAATTTATATTAAAAATATTGCCAGTTTATATGTTATATTTTTAGCATGAACTCTTTCAATGGCTGAACTTTCTGGCAATATATGAATATATAACATCATATCCAGAGTAGATATAGATTATTAAAAATAATTACTTAGTGAACATTGTCATGGCTTTTACTGTCCTGTTGCACAATATGGTTATACTGAGACAAAGCTTCAATGCGATATTTTCTAAAAGTATAATGTTTATATGAGATCTTCATATTTTGAATAGAAAGGTCTTTAGAAAAAGCCCTTATTGAATGAAAAAATTCCTTGATCAAGCATTAATGGGAAGGACTTGAAGCTGTGTTATAGGAAAACTGGAGTTAAGGTTTCATTAGGAATTCATTCCAGTAGTGTAGTTCTGCAGCAGAAGCAGCTAAATATAAGGCCATGCTTTAAAACATAATTAAAATAATTAAAATGTTAAAGATAATAATTAGAAAGGACATAAAAAATAAAGACTGAATCCAGAGTATGTAAAAAGAGGGAAATTCTACTTGGAGGAGCAGCATTTATGAAAAAGTTAAGATTCAGTGAGCTTGCTACTACAGTAGTAACCCCTAACCCAGCCCCATCAGAGTATTTTGTCCACGTTGATTACACATTAGAAACTTCTTTTATTTTTAAAAATTGATAAGTTTCATTCAAATAGAGGAAAGGTTATGGTTCTTTTAAAAAAACAGACAAAAACAGTACAAATAGTCATAATAGCAACCTAGCAAGGGAACTTGAGAGCCTTTAAAAGTTGAGCAACAGTTACTGTTTTTCTACTGAATATGGGAAATCATAATCTTTCCAAGAATTTAGTGGTTCTTGTCTCACAAAGCTTATTTCCAAGTTTCTTTATTGTTTATTTAAATGTGTGGGGGGGGAGGGGGAAACATTTCCCTAGGTAGGTTCATCAGGTTCTTTTCTTAAGGAAAAGTCTTCTTCAACCATGCTGTACATTTTGGAAAGCAAAACTGGGGTAAATAATTTAGTGTACCATTTGCTTCCTGAGACCACACACACTTAGATATATGAGTTTAAATATGCTGCTTTCAGTAGAATCTTGTGCAATTTGGCTGGTTTGGTTTGGTTTGAGAGGTCTAGGCTGCCCCTTAAACCAAAGCAGCATGATTAAAAACACAACCAGTCAAATGAATCGGATAGCATAACACAGAAGTCTGCTCTCTTTGAAACTAGGAACACAATTTCTAAATAGGGCAAAATATTTATAGAAATTGCAAAACTTTCTAGGGATTTCCAGAGAATCCTGAGTTTCTTCTCATCCATGATATCCATTTCTGATAAACTCTGAATGAAACGCCCTTACTAAAATACAGCATGGCATATAAATGTCACCAAAGTTATCTTTGCTTCCAAAAACATCAAGTAAATTTAAACATGATATGGTTATTCAAACTGGCTGCATGGCTATGCATTCCTAAGTGTCTTTTCTATGTTGCCACACACAACCAAATTAAAATTCACGTGACAGTCATCTGTTATCTGTAGTGAACGTGTTCTGTGGTTATTCGTGTCTATGTCATTGATGCTCTTTTACATGCCATAGTTTTATCAGATGTGAAAGCTGCCATTTTTGTGCCTTCCAACCAGCCCACCACTGCCTTGGTATGCTGATCTGTCTTCTGCAGATTTGATAACACTACCTATTTGCAATTACTGTTCTTTGAATTGCACAATTAAAAAAAAGTATCAAGATATTGGAGTCCCAACCAATCCTAGTATACCATAGTTGGACTCAGATTTCTGAGAGAAGGAAAGAAATAGATGTACTCTTGAATAACTCCATACGGATAAATGGATATATACTAATCAACCTCTTAAAGTTTTACACATTTGGTAGCATTACAGATAGAATTTTGCTTCTTTACCATTCTATTTTGCTCAGCAAATACGGAGGTTTTCTGTATTACCAGAGCCTTCTATATCAGAAGAGGCACTCTGAATTACTATTCTGAAGTAATCCAATTTCTAAATTGCAAGAAGAGCCTCCAAGAGATAGCAAAAGCAGTTTCTGTCAAATGGATGAGAGACTGATCATGATTGGAAGGGGCAGAGCTACTGCTCTTCCTATCTTGCCTTGTGTAGATGCCATGTATTCCCAAATGCCTGAAAAGAGCCATTGAAAGATAAAGCATACGCAGACAGTTCACAAATAGACATCTATTTTAAAAGAATAACAGAATAATAGAGTTGGAAGAGACCTTGGAGGTCTTCTAGCCCAACCCTCTGGTTAAATGGGAGACCCTATACCATTTCAGACAAATGACTGTCCAATCTCTTCTTAAAAATCTCCAGTGATGGAGCACTCAGCTTCTGAAGGCAAGCCATTCCACTGGTTAATTGTTCTATCAGGAAATTTCTCCTTATTTCTAAGTTGCTTCACTCCTTGATTAATTCCCATCAGAAGGATATGCCTTTGAATCAGTTAAATAAACTCTAAAATATTAATGGGGTTATGTGTTTTTTTTTTAAAATAATCCTTTGTGAGTTGGTATTGAAAAACAGCAAAATGCAGGAGTGAAAGAAGAGATCTGAGGAGATAGTAAGAAAATATCCAAATCATAATAAATGCCAATGTATGTTTTTTGAGTTAATTGGTTTCAGCAGGCAAAATTAAAACTAGATCCAAGTAAGTAAAACTGCAATATCTTGCACTGGCCTTAGTGTTTCTCTTGATCTTCACTTTTGCAGAATCATTTCTCATCCTTGAGAAAACAAAATCATTTTTTGTTTATTTTTTGGCTAATTTGTTAGCTGCTTTTCGGCCTTGCCATTAACTAAATTCAACTTTCCAACCTGTTTCATTGATTGGCTGATATAAATTTTTAGAAAATGGTATTGTAATGCCTTGTTCAGGCTATTAATTTGCCTACTTTTAAACAAAAATTGGACCAAGTGGATCATTGCACTGCCTCAATTTGTGACATAAATGAATAATAATTATGAATAAAGGTGAAACTGAGCAAAGCCTCAATAGATATCAGTGCCAAGTATTTGCTGCCTCTGTCCTTGATGTCTGTCATTGTCATTTGGTCCTGCACAGTGTATCATTGACAAATCCAGACTGAACTTGTGCGGCCATCCGTTTATGGGCAAGCATTTTTTAATATTGTAAATAAAAAAATACAAAAAATGAAGCCCATTTCTTTCTCACTTCCTGGTATGTTCCTGGTTTCTGGATGTATCCAACCTCTGCTCTGATGGCTGATCCTTCTTCTTAATCCCTTGATCCAAAAATGTGCATATTTGTGGTTCACAATTTGGGATGTGGGAAGTCTCATTCCAAATTACAGAATAGTGCTGTATGTATCTAGTGTGTCCTTTCACAATGTTTTTTCCCTTAACCTAGTTTTCTTTAGATGTATTAGACTTCAGTTGGCTCCACATACTAGATGAGCTCATAAGGAATCCCTTTTATATTGGATTGTTTATCTTTCCTGCTAAAAGGAAGGCAAGAAAAGATTCTTTATTAGATGTGGTTATTAAAAGAGCATTAAAAAAGAACAAGTATCGAATAGTTTTGGAACTGAGCAGTTATTTGGTTTCAGTGCCAAAGCTAGTACATAGCTACTTGCTCTGATTATTTCGGCTCACAAAATTCTGAACAATGGTCATACTGGCCAGCAATTTTGAGAGCTAAAATCCACACATCAGGATGGGAGCCAGGTTGGGGAGCCAGGTATATTGGAATATATTGGAAATCTGTTCAATATTTCATTTATAATGCAAGGATTAGTTGAAGCAAGGTGGTGGGCCTGCATAAATCACTCAGTGGAAAGTTAAGTCAACACATACAAACTGAAAAAGCACAAAATGAAGAATATATCAGTGCCTAATGTGGAAGGAAATACTTTAATCTTCCCAGTATATTCTTGCAATGTGAGGAAGAGGATTTCAAATGCTGCTGTTATATACAGAACTCCAAGTAAGGATAGACTTCAGAGTTAAATTGGGAAGAACTATGCTTATGAAAGTTGAATAATGACCTAGATGATAGACCATTCTATGATACAGTTGGAGGTGATCCCACAAGGGCTGAAAAACCCAGTAAGGAGAATCTTACCCTTGCAATACAAGTGGGAGCATGGCCGCAGGGCAGAAATTCATTTAGGATATACAGCTATCTTCTGACTTGTTTTCAGGGCCTAGGAGTCTCTGAAGTGCTGTGATTCTCCCAGTATAAACCTTTTGAAATTGTAATAGCACAATCTATGCCCAAGCATGATAGAGGAAACTGAATCTTAGCTACAGCTTCCAGAAGCACTCCAAAAGTTACTGCTTGAATTGTAGCTTTAGGACATCCAGTAGTATAATAGTAATTGGGATCAGGACCTCCAATTCTAAGTGACTTAAAGTGCAACGTGCCCATGCCAGCTTAGAACAGCAATGCTGGCGGTTACAATTATAGTCATTAAGTGAATTCCTTATGTTCATTAGGCACATCACATGATCTACCATTTGTGTTTTGCCAGTTTCCCTGCGGACTGCTTGTTGAAAGCTGGCAATGAAGATCCATGGCAATGCTGCAATGGCTATAATTTTGAGGATTGGACATAAGCGACCTCAGTCAGTACCATCATAACTTCAGTCACCAAATGAATGGTTATCAATTAAGCATTATGAAACAGTGTCAAAAATTTACCCATCAGGGCTGAGGCTGGGCCTAAAGTAAAGGCCGAGGCCTCAACTTCAGCTCTAGCTGCTACTCAAAAAGGCTGCCTTCCATTTTTCCTAAGCACAATTTCCCCCACAACCCAGCACTCCCCAGGATCTGTCACGTGTCATTTATCTTCAGCTGGTGGTCTCTTTCTGTTGACAGCCCCCTACCCCGCACCCCGTGGCCTACTCAAGACTGCTCCCAGGTAAGCACAAGGCCTTGGAGAAGCTTTGGGTCATGCTCTTCCATGGCCTCTGCAGCCTCCAAAAGCATGCCCCATTCTCATGCAATTTTCAGACTGGAAGCCACACAAGGGCACAGTCCTCTCACAGGATTTTGGAAGGATCTGGAGGTCTCACAAGAGCACTGTCAGGTCTGCCAAGCACGGCTTGGCACCTCACAGGCCTCCTGCCACCAAAGGCTAGAAAGGGAGGGAGTGGTGTAGGATAAATGGGCAATAAAGCTGTGTGTGTACCTGATGGGAACTAGGGAGGGGGGAATAACAGGTGATGAAGACCAAAGAAGCTCTGCATCAGTTTGCACCGGAATCCAAGGTCAGGCACCCTGAGAAAGAATGCCTATTACCTCAAAACATCTCAGCGGTCTCAAAACATCTCTGCGAATTCCGATTGGCTGAAGACGGACTGGTCACCGGGGAGGGGTGGAGGGGAGGAGGATTGGGATGAAGGGAACCTTTCTGTATCTTTTGAGCATGCTAAATCCAGAGCTAGCTTGACCTTACTGCAGCCAACATTTTTTTCATGAAAGAACCTTTTGCTTCAACCCAATGGAGTCGAGGATCTCTTTCCTAAGGGATCAGATTGGAGCAGGTCTGACAGCAACCCCCATTGTTGTGTGGCCTCCACAGCCTACAAAAATTGTGTGAGAACTGGGTGTGCTTTGAAGAATAGTTACTGAATGTTACTGAACACTGGTGTATCAAAAAAAAATTGTGTCAAAAGATTTGCCATTTGGATACAACTGCAGCTTAATTCTGGTTTTATCTCTCTCTTTTTTTAAAAAAAATTGATTTATATGCCGCCCTTCTCCGGAGACTCAGGGCGGCTTACAATGCGTTAAGCAATAGCCTTCATACTTTTGTATACAGGTGAAACTCGAAAAATTAGAATATCGTGCAAAAGTTCATTTATTTCAGTAATGCAATTTAAAAGGTGAAACTAATATATGAGATAGACTCATTACATGCAAAGCGAGATAGTTCAAGCCTTGATTTGTCATAATTTTGATGATTATGGCTTACAGCTCATGAAAACCCCAAATTCACAATCTCAGAAAATTAGAATATTACATGAAATCAATAAAACAAGGATTGTACATAGAACAATATCGGACCTCTGAAAAGTATAAGCATGCATATGTACTCAATACTTGGTTTGGGCCCCTTTTGCATCAATTACTGCCTCAATGTGGCGTGGCATGGATGCTATCAGCCTGTGGCACTGCTGAGGTGTTATGGAAAACCAGGATGCTTCAATAGTGGCCTTCAGCTCTTCTGCATTGTTTGGTCTCATGTCTCTCATCTTTCTCTTGGCAATGCCCCATAGATTCTCTATGGGATTCAGGTCAGGTGAGTTTGCTGGCCAATCAAGCACAGTAATCCCTTGGTCATTGAACCAGGTTTTGGTACTTTTGGCAGTGTGGACAGGTGCCAAGTCCTACTGGAAAATGAAGTCAGCATCCCCATAAAGCTCATCTGCGGAAGGAAGCATGAAGTGCTCCAAAATCTCCTGGTAGACTGCTGCGATGACCCTGGACTTAATGAAGCACAGTGGACCAACACCAGCAGATGACATGGCTCCCCAAATCAACACAGACTGTGGAAACTTCACACTGGACTTCAAGCATCTTGCAGTGTGTGCCTCTCCATTCTTCCTCCAGACTCTGGGTCCTTGGTTTCCAAATGAGATGCAAAAGTTGCTCTCATCAGAAAAGAGGACTTTGGACCACTGAGCAACAGACCAGTTCTTTTTGTCTTTAGCCCAGGTAAGATGCTTCTGACATTGTTGTTCAGGAGCGGCTTGATGAAGAATACAATATTTGAAGCCCATGTCCAGGATCCCTCTGTGTGTGGTGGCTCTTGATGCACTGACTCCAGCTTCTGTCCACTCCTTGTGAAAGTCACTAACACTTTTGAATGACAATCCTGACAATCCTCTCCAAGCTGCAGCCATCCCTGCTGCTTGTGGAAGTGTTTCTTCCACACTTTTCCCTTCCACATAACTTTCTATTAATGTGCTTTGATACAGCACTTTGGGAAATCCAACTTCTTTTGCAATTACCTTTTGAGGCTTTCCCTCCTTATGGAGGGTGTCAATGATGGTTTTATGCACAACTGTCAGGTCAGCAATCTTTCCCATGATTGTGATTCCTACTGAACCAGACTGAGACACTATTTAAAGGCTCAGGAACCCTTTGCAGGTGTTATGGCTTAATTAGCTGATTAGAGTGGGACACTTTGAGCCTAGAATATTGAACCTTTTCACAATATTCTAATTTTCTGAGATTGTGATTTTGGGGTTTTCATGAGCTGTAAGCCATAATCATCAAAAGTATGACAAATCAAGGCTTGAACTATCTCGCTTTGCATGTAATGAGTCTATCTCATATATTAGTTTCACCTTTTAAGTTGCATTACTGAAATAAATGAACTTTTCGAGTTTCACCTGTATTTATACAAAGTCAGCTTATTGCCCCCACAAACTGGGTCCTCAATTTACCTACCTTAGAAAGGATGGAAGGCTGAGTAACCTTGAGCCTGGTGACTTAAGTGACTCTCTTACAATGCTTGTCCTCCAAGCATATCATTTAGGGGCTAGGTGCTCCTCTGGTATATAGGAATAGAATTATCTATACCCTGCCTTTATCATTTTTGTAAATAACTCAAGGCGGAGAACATACCTAATACTATTTCCTTCCCCACAACAATCCTGTGAGGTGGGTTGGGCTGAGAGACTAACTGGCCCAAAGTCACCTAGTTGGCTTATATACAGCAGCTAAGGTAGGACTTCTGGTCTCCTGGTTTCTAGCCTGGTACCATTCTCAGGTTGACATTCATGAACTGTTTGGCATAAAACAGAAAATGAAATAATGGACATGAAGCATAGTCAGGTGCTTGCAAACTGTAGAAAATATTTCACAAGACAAAAGCTCATACTGAAAAAGTTATAACCGGCTGCAAAATTCAACTGTCTGAGAAGGCAGCCTCATGTAACATTAAGATTTCTATTCTATTCTATATACTATAAGTATAAAGTGGCATTCAATATTCACAACAGTTTTAAGTAAAACATGTTAACCTCTCTCTCTAAAGTTACATTACTCTATTTCTACAATTTATCCTGTCCAAACAAGTTTATTTTTTTCATTTTTATGCCAAAAATCCTAAGAGACTTTCAGTCAGCAATAAATGTAGTATTTATCACCTTTTAGTTGAATAATCCCATCATTTGCCTGAATATTATCTGGAATTGCTAGATCTTTCTCCCCAATTGGTTTATAGGTGAAAGTTGTAACTCATTGGTACAAAATCCCATTGTTACTCAAATGCTGAAGTGCCACTTCACATGAACAGTATTACATTTTAAATACATATTCAGTTAAATACTTTGCCTTTTGTTTCTTCATCCAGGCTTCAGCAACCATAGTGTAAAAATATGAAGTGAGAATTGTTTGGATTAATGTAAATGAAAAGTACTCTAAAAAATATGGAATATCTGATACATGTAAAAAGCATAACAAGTTTTGGCCTTTGTAGGTTAGTGATGCAAGATGACTTTACAGAATGACCACAAGAAAGTGGAAAGAAGGATAACCCTCTAATAAATTGTAATTTCCTTTCCGCTTTTGGAGAAAAGAGGTGAAGTTTCAAAACCAGAGTGTAGCTTTTTCTAACTATATATTCTGCACTTACTACTAATTATCCCTGCCTCTACTGCTTCCTATGTTTTCCCTGTACCAAATTTTCAGTTCTAATCCTAGAAGTTCTCTTGTATTCTCAGGGACTAAAAATATACATTGTATGAAAGAGTCATACAGCTAGAAAATTTGTATTAGGTTAACTATGTTAAAGTTATGCAAATATAGTTGCACATAAAATACTTTTCTTCACTTAGTAAGCACTTTAAAGTTAACAATAGATTAACAAGGAGGCTCAAAGTATACCATCAAGATAGTTATTGTGTGGTAAAGTTTAACACCTGCAGAATAAAATTATCATAGGACATCCTTGGTATTTTTGTCACTAGAACCCTATTGTTAGCATTTATACCACTAAGACATTAAACCTTCTATCCTGATTAACGAATTATTGTGTTCACAAAACAAGATAGCCAAACATATGATTTAAGGTGATGACCCACTTCATAGAATATGCCATAGCAATGCCTAAATTCTCAATGTTGAACTATGATTTACCAAACTCTAGTTAAGCCTACTCTAACAAGTTCCACTAAATTATGGTATGTTCTACCATCATATAGGAACAACACAATTTTTTTTCTTACATTAGCTTTATTTAAAACACAAATTATTTTATTGAACTGTTTTAACAATATCAGATACAATGATTTAAATAGAAATATGTACAGAAAAAAATAGAGTATGTAAAAACTCAATGGAATTCTCTTATGCAGAAGAGAGAAAAGGGAAAAAAACTGACCTCAAACAGAAGATTCTGCTTAAGCAAACTAGAACACCTGCAACAACATAGAGAATTCTTTCACAATTGTTTCCGTCTCAGACGCCTGCTAGTTTCCGTTTACAATCAGCTAAAAATTCTATTGCCTTTCAGTTTGCTGAAGAATTATTTCTAACTTCTTGGGAGCAATGTGAAGACAAACAGTTCACTCAGGGATGCCTTTTTAAAAATATTTATGTCCTTTTGCGCCATTTTTCCCCCTAGAGGCAATACTTCAAACTGAATTGGCAAAGCACAGCTCCCCCTCCCTCTTGCTTATAAAGCTTAATATATTTACATTAGAATCAAGCAACCACCCCCATCCCCCCACCCCCGTGGCTAGGAATATAAACAAAAAATACATCCTGCATTATTAACCATCAATTGTAACTGGCAGGATTGGGGTAATTAAACTAATTAAAAACAATAGTATTAAGAATGGAAAAAATATCATACAAAATACAAGAATTGCAGGATACACAATATTCCTAAATCTTCATTTGGCCATAGCTGAGTCCATGAGAAAATTCAGAATATGCAACGTCGATATGTGGATGAAAATAATGTTATGGAAAAAATCCCGTTAAGTGAGCAACTGGCAGAGATATCTCAGACTGTTTCAGATGTCAGAGGGCAACAGTCCAAAGGTTGTCTTAAAATGACCCATGCAGCACCAACAGTACAGGCCATCATACTCGCCATTCGGAGTAAAAAAAACTCTTTGAATAAATTTTGCACATCTTTTAAGGGCAAGCTTTTAATTCTCTCTCAAATGAATAAATTAGAAAGGAGGCGTAACTTTCGCCATGAATTTCTATATGCTAGATGAAACCAGTCAAAATGGCACAAGATGAGTGGGATGAGAATAAAATGTGCTATTCCATCTTCTATATAAATGTTGCTTCATTTTCAACAGTATAAGGATAGAAGTTCCACATGTAGTAGGCTTGGTCCAAGTTTATTTTCCTTTCCTCTGCATTATAAATAGTTCTGCCATTTTTAGATTTTTTTAAAATTTACATAACCCAAAAAGTGACTCAAAACTGCAGAAATAACCCCCAAAAGCAAAAGGAAGCTGTGAAATACACAGAAATTACGAGCCACACAGCTGAAAAACAGATATGACAATTCAGTAGAAAATATAATGATGAAAAAGAGTTGCTATGTAGAATTATGGGTAGGTCTTGGATCTTCTCTAGATGAAATGTTCATGGTTTCATTCTGAAAATGTTTTAAATGGGCAATAGTTGGGACATATCTCTGACCAGCAGGGTAATTCAAAATAAACTAATGCAGCCAAGTTCTTCAAGCAGTTTCAAGTGTGCTTTAAGACTTGTCATAACTCTTCTACTAGAAAGGGTAATCCAACAAAACATATAGCTTTTATTTTCTCTCAAAATGAAGCTGTGTAGCAAATCAACTGTCAATCATCTCAGAGAGTTCAAGCAGGAGCTCATCCTCATCTTTTCCTGGATCTAAATCAATCTCTGCTTCCAATTTGCCTCCTGAGATTTCCCAAATCAGCTTATCAAAGTCATCTTCAACTGAAGATTGAATCTTCCCACTTCCTGTTGAGCTCAGTCTGCGGGTCTTTGCTACTGCTGCACGGGAAGAACTTGGGTTTGCTATCTCTGCTTGCAACGTGGAGGCTACCTGGTTTTCCAGGTACAGTTCAGAGCTTCACAAAGAGAGGGAAAAAAAACAAAACAATTATACATCTTCAAGTAGAAAACAGACATCATGTGTAAACCTTTGTAGGATTTTCAGTTCAAGTAAAATGGTGTGGGGCTGAACCATAGACATAAATTAACTATAGGCAGAATAGAGGTAGGTAAAGTACAAATTATGTTGTGGTAGTATCTAGGCCATATAACAAGCCCAGGATGTGCAGACTAGAAGGAAAAAAGAGGGCCTCTATTTTACGGCATGTAGTAAGGGATTAGACTTAATCTGTATTGCCCCAGAGCCAAAGTGTTAAATCTATAAGGAGGTAATTCAGGCTAAAAATTAGGAAGAATTTTCTGGTACATTAGCTGTCAGCCGATATAACATGCTATCCCATAAGATAATGAATTCTGTTTTGATGGACATCTTCAAATAGAGGCTAGATCAGGGGTGTCAAACTGGCAGCCCGGATGTGTCACATGCAGGCCACACTCACCGCAGCTCTGTGAAGGGAAAACATCTCAAACATCACGTGACGGCAACGTGACGCCACGAGTTTGACACCCATGGGCTAGATGGTACCTGTCAGAAATACTCTACCAAATTCTGCACTGAAGAGGTTTGGATTAGATGATCTCTAATGTATCTTCTAACTCTATAATTCTACAAAAGTGCCATCAGATATTACTACAATGTTGGCAGTAAACAGTTTGTATGGATGTTTTTCCACTACATAGCCTACTGCTTTTAAATGTTCATATTAATTTAAGTTGAGCAGTATATAATACACAGAAAAGATTAGATTCCTATGGGTATATCATATATAATAAAAACAGCATAACATCTTGTAGCACTTTGAAAGTCTAATGTAATTACTTTAATATAAGATTTCTTTAGTACCGTATTTTCTGGCATATAAGACGACTGGGTGTATAAGACGACCCCCAACTTTTCCTGTTAAAATATAGGGTTTGGGCTATACTCGCCATACAAGACTACCCCTCTTCCAACGCACACCAAATAAAAATTAAAAAACATCAACTGGCTCACCCACAATGTAAAAGCAGCTGTGCTAGACCCAAAATGGCCCCTGCAACAAGCAGGAACCTCACACAGCCACAAGAAGAGTCTTGCTAGTACAATGATCTAAGGCACCCTGTTATTAAGCTGGTTATTAAGACCAGCTGCCTGCAATTACTGCAGGTTCGAATCTCGCCAAGGCTCAAGGTTGACTCAGCCTTCCATCCTTTCTAAGGTAGGTAAATTGAGGACCCAGTTGTGGGGGCAATAAGCTGACTTTGTATAAATATACAAAAGGATGAAGGCTATTGCTGAGCACATTGTAAGCCGCCCTGAGTCTCCGGAGAAGGGCAGCATATAAATCAAATTAAAAAAATTAAAAAAAGCCCAAAAACCCAACTTTCACACTTTACACACACAAAATTCCACATACAGCTTTGTGAGATTTTGTGTGTTTGTGTAGTTAGAGTGAAACATTACAGAAACATACTAAATCTCAGAAAGCTGCACAAATATTATTTTATTTTATTTTATTTTTATTTTTATATGAAAGCTAAATTTAAAACTTCCTAAACTTTAAATGGCTAGGTCTAAAAAAGAACAACTAAAAAAAACCCCAATTAACTATTTTTTTTAAAGCAAAGGGGAAAAAAACTTACCCAATAGAACAGGAGTCTCCAACCTTGGCAACTTTAAGACTTGTAGACTTCAACTCCCAGAATTCCTCAGCCAGCTTTGCTTTGCTGGCTGAGGAATTCTGGGAGTTGAAGTCCACAACTCCCTGCCTGCTTGATTGCAGGCAGGGAGTGGCTTGCTGATGGAATGGATTGCAGGCAAGCGAAGCAAGGCAAGCGTTGCGACTAGCAGCTAAGGTAAGCAAGCTGGAGGGGGAAAACTTTTTTCCTTTTACATGGCTCTGGCAATCCCAGCTGCATTGCCTGATTAGCAGGTAACTCAGCTGGGATTGTCAGAGCTTGGATCGCCAGCCATGTAAAAGGAAAAAACTTTTTTCCTTTTACATGGCTCTGGCGATTCCAGTTGCGTTGCCTGATTAGCAGGCAACGCAGCTGGGATCGTCAGAGCTTGGATCGCCAGAGCCATCTAAAAGGAAAAAAGTTTTTCCTTTTACATGGCTCTGGCGATCCCAGCTGAGTTGCCTGATTAGCGGACAAAGCTGGGATCGCCAGAGCTTGGATCGCCAGAGCCATTTAAGGCTTGTCAGAGCCTTTCGGGCTGGTCTGCCTGGTTACAGGAGAACAACACCCGGCGTATAAGACGACCCCCGACTTTTGAGAAGATTTTCATGTGTTAAAAAGTCGTCTTATACGCCGGAAAATACGGTAAGTCTCTTCTTCAGATACAGAGGGCTAAACTACAAAAACAGATACCAAATGAAACAATTAGGATAGTACAGGATGTTTGTTACTGTACAACTACCAAAATATTACCAATGTTTTAAATCAGAGATAACCTACAAATTACTGTAAAAACAAATACATGGTCTGTTGACTTGGGAATCCTACAAGATTAATTACAAACTGGTTTAGAATACTTTTGCCTTTTAAACTTTGTTATCTGCAGTGCATCTTCAAAACTATTAGTAAGTTAGATTTCTCTGTAAGAAATTTGAAGTATCCATATGATGCTTATGATGCTTTCCAATCTATAGCCAGATTTAAAGAAACATTTGTTTTGTTTTATCACAATGACGGACCAGAAATCATTAGGAGAAAATCTTATTAGCTACTTATATTTGATTTTTAAAAATATGTTTGTAATATATTAAAGATATTTCTTTGACAAATACTTTCAGAGTTAGCAACTAAATTTTTTCAGACTGAGTATATTCAAGATTCTTACACAATTTTTCCTCAATCTGCTTTCTTTGGCTATTACCCAGATACCTACTCATAAATGTGAAGGGAAAGAACCTAAATATCATATGATCCAATTTATGCCAAGTAAACATTCCACTTTGTCCTGCTGTTCTATGAGAAAATTCCAATCATGTGCAAAATGGCTATAAAGAAATAATAATTACCTGTTATAATCCACTCTTTTAGGCATACTGTCCTTTGAAACATCTGGGGTGCTTCCCTAGGAAAAAAATAATTAAAAAAATAAAAATAAACTCACTCTGTGAGGTTCACTATCAGCAGAATTATTTTACTCCTAGACTTCCATTCCATTGTTCTTTTTTATGCAAAATAATACATATTCTATCAATATAAATGGAGAACTCTCTGAAAAGGTTTAGATCTAAAAGTGCTCTCTCCCATCTCATAAAATTGCTACTCCTATAAGATAGAAAAGTATATATAAATCAACCTAATGCCCTCATCATCAGAATTTTAGCAGCACAATACAATAATAATAATAATAATAATAATAATAATAATAATAATAATAATAGGTATTTGTGATGCATTTTTGAATGTTCAGTTGACTGAGTTTCATGTTTAATGAATAAAGTAAATAATAATAATAGCTTTTATTGTCATTGTACATCATGTATACAATGAAACTGTTTTCTTACCAGAGCTGTGTTTTCAGAAGCAAACTTTTTCATTTCTGTGTTTGCAATAGGGCTCAGGGGCTTCACTGCAGCAACAGAGGGATGACACTCTGATATTTTTCGCTTCTGTGTCTGCTTTGCTGGGGAAATGGGTTTTACTCCAGATGGTTTCACATTCATCTTGGGCTTGACTGAAATATAAAAGATATCCAGTGAGAATGGAGTTGTAACCTCTGTTAATGTTGCACAAGATGTTTGGAAAAACACTTCTTAGAAGAAACCTATTTTAATCAATTCCAAATTTTAATGTATGGAAATATTTAAAATTATATTTATAGAGTGATGACAAAATACTATCTAAGCATTCTTCCCACACTTCAGTACTTCCCACATAAAAAGGAATTATAACAAACTGCAGTATTCTGCAGAGAACATAGGACTAGAAATGGCTCATCATAGAGGTAGAGCTTCTCAATGGGAAGAAATAATTGTTGAAAAAATGAAGTCAGCTTTCTGTATGCTGAAAATGGGAAATTTACATGACTTCTGACAACTGAAGATTTTACTCCTGTCTGTTAATAATATATAGTTTCCCCCAAAATAAGATATCCCCTGATAATAAACCCAATCAGGCTTTTGAGCGCATGGCAATAAGGCCAAGCCCTTATTTCAGGATTCAAAAAAATATAAGTCGGAGTCTTATTTTCGGGGAAACACAGTAGATGCTTGAACCCTTATCCTACCAATATGTACTTGTATATACCTGAAGCAAAGTTGAACTATGGGGAAGATCGATATCATCCAATATATAATGGTTCTACTTCCCACAGAATTATAAACAATGCTATTCTTGAAACAATCAGAATAAACTGATCCACGAATAGAAAAAGTTCCAGATTTATTATTCTAGAACACATTCAACAATACTGTGCTTATTTCCATGGGTCTAACACAAGAGAATGTCTCCCAAGACAAGCAATTGCTGACAACTAGGATTATTATTGATTTTTCCTTATGTCCAAGACATATTAAAAAAAGGAATTAAAATATGCAGTTTGCCATTATCTCAAGAATTTGATACATATTCAAGTATAACTTGCAGATCAGAAATGTTTTCTATTTAAAAACGAGGAAGTATTCTGGAAAGAGAACTTTACCCTTCGTTCTTGGTTCTGCAGCCTGAGGGCAAAGTTTCAGGTCTTCTGATATTCCCTCCTGAGATCTCACCAACAATCTTTTGGAAAGTGGACGTGTTTTCCCCACAGTCACTGAGGATTCAGAATTTGTAGTCACTTCTGGCATTTTTCCTTCTATTTCTTCCCCAGCAAGTGGTGCAGTCACTTGTAGTTCCTGGAATTTTTCCTCTTGCTGCTGCTGCTTTAATCGTTGCTTCTCCTTCCTTATTTCTTCTAAGCTCTTCACATAGACTTTAGAATGTGAATTACTCACACTATCATTCAAAGGCTGAATAAATGCAAAAGACATACTTTTAAAAAAAGCAAATGTCCAATAAGCAATCAATGTAAGTCCTTTGAAAAATGGACACACTCTTATCACTCCACCCAAATCAAATATAAATCTTCATTATAGCCCTAGGGCAGACAGCATCAACCAACCAACATTTTTGGTGTTATGCAATTTATAAAAAATAAAAATATTTATTTATTTAAAAGCACAATCTATGACAACCATACATATGTTTTGCTTCTTGATGGAAGCCTGAAGTCAGAAAGAAATGCATTGCAACTGCAGTGGAGATCGGCTTGATTATAATTTCCTACTTAAATCCTGTTTCCGAAAACAGATGAACAGAATACATTGTATGGAACAAAATTCTATATTAAATATTTGATCTTCATTGAGTGTATTTTTGTTTTATAATCAGTGGTCTATTTGGTAGCATAACCTGCCAGCTGTAATATGCTGCAACATCAACTGTTGGTTATTATTCATGACAATGGGATCTAAATAACTCAAAAGAATGAGAATAATATATTTTTTATCATGTCAAATACTCCTAATTGAAATACCAGATGTTAAGTTTCCAACTATACTAAATAAAAGGATGATACAAGGAATGTGCATTCACAAAAGCTATCTTCTCACCTTTGTAGAAATGTCTCCTATAGAAATTCTTGGAGAAGACCTCAATATCAGAGTTTTTTCTTCCTTTTCAGGAGCTGTTGACAAATCAGAGAGATAATTCTAAGAGAACTACATTGCCGCCCCATTTTCTATAACGTTGTTTGGAATAACAATGGTTTATTTAATCATGTGCTGTTGCCGGGGTGAGGGGTTATTGATTGGGGGTTTTTTTATTATTATTTTTTCTACATTGTGTGTTGTTTGTAAACCTCCTAGAGTCGCTATGAGCAAGTAGGCAGCTATATACATTTTCTAAATAAATAAATAAATACATTCCAAACCCAGAATGTATAGCAGTGACAAGCTCTTAAATGTTCAAAGGCAGCAGAGATTCCCCATCCCTCTAGAAAGTTGCAGGAAGTCAGATATCATTCAAAGCAGTATGGCCAGTGTTTTCAGCCTTCTTTTTGGCTTTTGAGGCTTTTCATGGGTGGGAATGGGATACCTGGGCTTCTTGGAGGCAAACTGTTATTATTCTCACTATTAATCTCCATGTTTTAAAATTCCCAAACTGAACTGCTAAAACTGTACTGTTTTGCTACCAAACTCCCATCTGAGTATTCTGAAGGTCTGCAAATGTGATGTGGAGGCAGGAGGGCTTGATATGACTTGTAAAGTGCCCAGAACTCACTAAGGAAGAACAAGCAATTTCTTTTAACTTTTCAACTAACTTTTTTCCAAGTTTTGAAGCCAAGAAACATAATGATATTACTTTGGAATTTTTCTACCCATCTTTGTGTGGAGTGCTGAGAGTTTGTGAACCCTTTAGAATTATCCATAATCATACAATACTATGATACACAAGATGATTTGAGCTTTAACTAGGTGCTATTTATAAAGAAATTCTGAATATAAATATATAAAATGAATCACAATTGAACCCACTGAATCACTATTCATTATGTTTATTGGAAAAACTATCTGAAGTATTATATGTCACTTTTTTTAGCAGAAATTATTTTAACCTGTTGCTTGATCTCACACTTGGCTTGAGGGTATTTTGGATTCTTCTCTACTGAATTGCTTCAACTAGATATTTTGGGGTTGTGTTGTCCAGAACTGCTCGCTTTGGTCATGTCACATTAGCTCAGGCTTTTGAACTGGTTATTTTGAAATGTGATTTTTTTTTTTCTGCTTCAGACATTGTTGTAAATTTACTTGCATGTTTAGGAATACATTCATTTAATCTGCACTAGATGGATAAATATCCTGATATTCTATGGAATTTGTTGATATAATGCACAGTAGACTATCAATGTTGTTTGCTTAATCAAAATCTCTGTTAATAAGATTAAAATGAAGCACAGATAATTCTCTCACACTACTTCAGAATTATCTATATTTTATTTATAATTCTGAAGATATCACAAACTTCATGACTGTATGGCAATAAATTTTTATTTCATATTTAAATGATATGATTTCTGTAGTCACTAATTCTAAAATGTGAGTTTCTCAGAAATCATTTTTCTAATATGATAAAACAATAAAAAGCATGATTTTTTAAAAAAAGCCAATCATCAGTCTGTTCTGATTAGTAAATGAATATCATAATAATTTCTGAATATGTAAGTATTTCATTATTTACTATAACTTTACTTCCAGAAGAACTAATGTAAATCATTCTAAAAATACTTGATTTGCTTATTAAAAAAATAAGCAAGGAATTCCAAAATGAAATAGAAGTGGTTGAGATTTGTAATTGTTAAACCTATTTTGCTTCTCAATTCTGAAATACAAAGAGAGTTCAGAGGAACAGTAAGAGTTAGATTCCTCCATCTTTATTTTGGCATTATATTAATGCACCTCGCATATAACATGAAGAGTTCTGGTACTGCTGTATTTTAAGATCCAGGCCAAGAACATTTATTCATCCTGTTATATAATAATTGGCTTCAAAAAGAAACTGGGAAAAATACATTCTGAATGCCTCCTTTAGAAAATTAAACACTTTAACAAGGAAAGTTTGATACCTGTCAGCTTTGTAACATACAACATTCTCCTCCCAGTTATAGTTCGTTCAGATTGTATCTGTGTCTTTGATGTGCTCTCTAAACCTTGCTGCATGCGGAGAGCTTTCTCTTGCTTGATTTCCTCCAAAGTTTTGATGTGCACTTCCCTAAAATCCTTGTTCTTGACAGAAGATTCTTCTAATTTTCTTCTTTTAGATACAGCTGTACCCAGAAACCCTTCTTTCTGAGGTTCACACTCATGGTTTGGTTTGGAAACAGCCTCTTTTTCAGTTTTTATTCGCTCCTCTTCCATTTGCCTTTGTTTTTTCTCAGCCAAGACTTCAGAAAAAGTTTTGATCCGTACTGTAGGAGGTTTTGACACTGGATTGGGATTTGTTATACAAGCCACTTCAACTTTGGGTTTGGGGTGAATTTCTCCCTTTTTTTGGCTAGCTTTCTCCAAGCGAATTTCTTCAAGCGTTTTAACATAGATTTCACCAGTTGGCTTGGCAGCAGACTCTGAATCACCAAAACAAATAATTAAAACATATACAGAGACTATATTTTAAATTTCATTATGATCACATACTTTTTGCCTACTAGGAGGTTATATTCCCCAATGGTTCTACTGAGAAAAAAACAAACGAACTATTGCTATTCTTTGTTTCACTTTAAATGGGTTGTACTTCAAAAATATAAATAATTCTTTTCAATCTTTGCCAGATTTTCATATAGTGACGTAGAAGCTCAAAATAAAAAAGTGTGATCTGAAATAGATGATAAAAATAGATGAACAAGATTCTTCATTCCAGCAAAGACAGAACTTCTAAAATTTAAAAAAGGGATTTAAAATACAATGCTGGCTGACTATTTTTAAAAAGGTTTAGGTTACAGTTCAGTATTCAACTAGCAAGGCATAACATTCAGTCCAGGGATGAAATCTAGCAGGTTATGACAGGTTCTGAAGAACCGGTAGCGGAAATTTTGAGTACTTTGGAGAACCGGCAAATACCACCTTTGGCTGGCCCGAGTGGGCTGGGAATGAAGATTTTGCAATATCCTTCCCCTGCCACGCCCACAGAACCCGTAGGGAAAAATTTTGAATTTCACCCCTGATTCAGTCCAATAAAGATGCTTTCTGAACAAACATGCAGAGGATTCGGTTGAGCAAAAATTCACTACAGAAAGAAACAAAAGTTTATTGTATTAAAATAAAATTAGTACCTGTTTCCATACTGCTTTGCTCAGATGCTAATCCCAGTCTTTCTTTAAGAGACCTGGGAACTTGAACTGAAATCAAGAATGATAAAGTCAGTCACTTACATGGCTTCTTGCAATTTATACGCACCATTTACATGTATGATGCATTACCTATTACCCCATCTAATATATTAAAGCCTCAAGTACACATACTACTACTACAATAAATATGATATATAACTTTGGAGTTGTTTTAGAGAGATTGTGATTATTTTCTGGAAGACTAAGGAAACATATTTTCTCCATAAAATTAAAACATTGGATTTTATCCATGAAAAATGGTCAAAGAGACTTTCTTGTGATTTATTTATTCTAAGAATAAATAGCAGCCTTATGAAGATGTTGAAGTTATTTGGTTACTGTAAGAAAAGGAAGCAGGAAAGCATAACACGTGAGTTATTATTTCTAAGCTCCTCCACCATACATACATTAAATAAACAAATATTAAGAACAACACTTCTACAGCTGAATATTATCTGTTTCTAAATATAATCTATACCTGAAATAAATAAAATATATTTTATTGATGTAACAGCCATACCTCTTTTGGGTATTTTTTCTGTACTTTCAAGCGAGTCCATTTTTTTCCCCAGTCTATCAGCAAGGCTACGCTTTAATGGAATTCCAGTCTCGGTGACTTATGGTGAAAAGATAATAAATTTATGTTTCATTTTTTAAAAATTGTAAATCTTTCTACTACTTATGTATTATACACATGTCTCTACTTGAAATTATACCCCTTATTTACTTAGATGATACTGTAATCTGCCTTCAGTGGGTATGTGCCTAGAATGGCAGTGCACTTTTATATAAAAATAATTTCATAATGCAATAAATAGATTAACTGAATATTTCTAGTCAAGATACAATAAAAATCCATTCTGCTTCTAATTCTATTCAGAGGTAATTCAATAAGTGATAGAAATGAAGAGAATACATTCCTTGAACTTTGTATATCTATGCATCAATAAAGAGAAACATGGTTGTGATATATAACAAATGTAGGTGAGGGGAACAGACATTTCAGTACAGGTAGTGCTCGACTTACAACAGTTCATTCAGTGACCAAAGTTACACCACCACTGAAAAAAGTGACATATTTTTCACACTTATGACCACTATAGCATTCCCATGGTCATGTGATCAAAATTCAAATGCTTAGCAACTGACTCACATTTATGACAGTTGCAGTGTCCCTGGGTCATGTCCCTTTTGTGATCTTCTGACAAGCAATATCAATGGGGAAGCCAAATTCACTTAACAACCATGTCACTAACTTAACAACTGTGGCAAGAAAAGTCATACAATGAGGAAAAAAATTACTTAACAAATATCTCACATAGCAACAGAAATTTTGGGCTCAATTGTGGTGATAAATCAAAGATTACCTGTAGTACCTTTTTTCCCCTCATCTGATTACTCACCTGTGGGAGACTTCCTTTTCCCCAATCTCTCTGCAAGTGTTAAGCGAATCCGAGGCTCTTCACCTAGGACAGCGAAATACAAGAAAAGTTAACTTTTGCTTTCCTACCACAAATATAAACAACTATTACTCCTTCAGTTACATGGAATATGAATTGAGATAGAACTTATCTATTCATGGCAACGCTAGTGTACATTAAAGAGTGAAGTTAGAAGAGTATTAAATATGAAATATAACCAAGTTATTTTCTCTATAGGAGTCATTAAGAAAAAAGTTAATTACGACATTATAGTTTTGCAGTGCCATATTTCTGTTAAATGACCCTTTTATAGCTATTGAGTTTCAGACCTGTTTTTTGTTGCAAATCATAAATACTGCTAGAAGAAATAACATAAATAAAAAATGAAATAAATGAAATAAAAAAGAGAGATTTACCTTGCCTCGCAGATAAAGTTACAGTTCTGACCACAGTCCGTGCATTTTCTTTCTCTGGGCCTGGCTGAGCAATCATTTCAGAAGGAATGTCTGAAGAAAGCAAAAAGAAAGCTATGTTAACCTTCACAGCAGTCACTATTTATGATTTGAAGCTTATGTTTACATGCTTTGTAAGAAAGCAACCCAACTGAGAGCCAGTTTGGTCTGATGGTTAAGGCACCAGGCTGGAAACCAGGAAACTGTGAGTTATAGTCCCTCCTTAGGCATGAAAGCCAGCTGGATGACTTTGGGTCAATCACTCTCTCTCAGCCCAACTCGCCTCATACGTTACAGTTGTGGGAAAAATAGGAGGAAGAAGTAGTATTAGATATGTTCTCTGCCTTGAGTTATTTATTGAAACAATAAAGGTAGCATAAAACATCTTAAAAAAACTGAATTCAATAAAGTTTATTTAGAACAAATTGCACTAGTGGTCGATACATATCATTCCTTGCAACTACACTTCAATACTGCATATATCAAGGAACACAAAATACCAGGTGAGCTTGCAGCTGAAATACCCTGTTTCCCTGAAAATAAGACATCCCCTGATAATAAGCCCAATCAGGCTTTTGAGTGCATGCACTAAAATAAGCCTCCCCCCAAAAATAAGCCCTCCTCGAAAATATTTAAAAGCAGAGCTGGAAATCAGGTAAGACGGCAAGAGGAGCCCAAAATATTTAGTCAGCCACCAATTGTGCAAGTTCTCCCACTTAAAAAGTTGAGAGAGGCCTGTAATTGACATCATAGGTAGACCTCAACTATGAGATAAAATGAGAAAACAAATCCAGACAATCACATTGTCTGATTTGGAAAGAATTTATTTGCAAATTATGGTGGAAAATAAGTATTTGGTCACCTACAAACAAGCAAGATTTCTGGCTCTCACAGACCTGTAACTTCTTCTTTAAGAGGCTCCTCTGTCCTCCACTCATTACCTGTATTAATGGCACCTGTTTGAACTTGTTATCAGTATAAAAGACACAGGTGCACAACCTCAAACAGTCACACTCCAAACTCCACTATGGTGAAGACCAAAGAGCTGTTGAAGGACACCAGAAACAAAATTGTAGACCTGCACCAGGCTGGGAAGACTGAATCTGCAATAGGCAAGCAGCTTGGTGTGAAGAAATCAACTGTGGTAGCAATAATTAGAAAATGGAAGACATACAAAGACCACTGATAATCTCCCTCGATCTGAAGCTCCACGCAAGATCTCATCCCGTGAGGTCAAAATGATCACAAGACAGTGAGAAAAACCCCAAAACCACATGGGGGGACCTAGTGAATAACCTGCAGAGAGCTGGGACCAATGTAACAAAGGCTACCATCAGTAACACACTACGCCGCCAGGGACTCAGGTCCTGCAGTGCCAGACGTGTCCCCCTGCTTAAGCCAGTACATGTCTGGGCCCGTCTGAAGTTTGCTAGAGAGCATATGGATGATCCAGAAGAGGATTGGGAGAATGTCATATGGTCAGATGAAACCAAAGTAGAACTGTTTGGTAGAAACACAACTCGTCGTGTTTGGAGGAGAGAGAATGCTGAGTTGCATCCAAAGAACACCATACCTACTGTGAAGCATGGGGGTGGCAACATCATGCTTTGGGGCTGTTTCTCTGCAAAGGGACTAGGACGACTGATCCGTGTACAGGAAAGAATGAATGGGGCCATGTATTGTGAGATTTTGAGTGCAAACCTCCTTCCATCAGCAAGATAAAGATGAAACGTGGCTGGGTCTTTCAGCATGACAATGATCCCAAACACACTGCCCGGGCAACGAAGGAGTGGCTTCGTAAGAAGCATTTCAAGGTCCTGGAGTGGCCTAGCCAGTCTCCAGATCTCAACCCCATAAAAAACCTTTGGAGGGAGTTGAATGTCTATGTTGCCCAGCGACAGCCCCAAAACATCACTGCTGCAGAGGAGATCTGCATGGAGGAAATGGCCAACATACCAGCAACAGTGTGTGCCAACCTTGTGAAGACTTACAGAAAATATTTGACCTCTGTCATTGCCAACAAAGGATATATAACAAAGTATTGAGATGAACTTTTGATATTGACCAAATACTTATTTTCCACCATAATTTGCAAATAAATTCTTTCCAAATCAGACAATGTGATTGTCTGGATTTGTTTTCTCATTTTGTCTCTCATAGTTGAGGTCTACCTATGATGTCAATTACAGGCCTCTCTCATCTTTTTAAGTGGGAGAACTTGCACAATTGGTGGCTGACTAAATACTTTTTTGCTCCACTGTAGGAGCAACACCTTAAAACAAAATTAAGTAAATATTTACAATTAACTTCTTCTCAACAATGCACAAATACATTCTCCAAGAAATTATCAAAGAGGACATGACAGGACACTATGAAAGAAAGAAAACCAACAAACCATTTTGCTGCTTTGATTTTTCTTTCATTTTCTTTGATTTTATTTCTTCAAGAGTTTTGATTCCAAAATTCAAACTTTTATCTAAAAAATGCAGATATCTGATTGAAACCAAACATTTACAGTATTTGACAAGATTGTAGATTTTTCGAATTTAGGATAATTGAAGAAATTAATATAATCTTAATACTACATACTTTCTGTTCTTACCTTTATCTTGATTTGAACTAGTCACTGATTTACGAGTAGAAATTACCCGCAGTCCATTTGGACTTTCTGTAGATGGTTGTTGGGCAGGCATTTTAGATTCATCCCCTTCTTCAGATAATTGATCTGAAAGGAACACTAATGTTACTTTAATTCTAATACTGTTTATTCAGAAATAAGCAAGATCTACTGATCTTAAATCAGTAGAGGGGCAGGTTGCCCTTCTTAATGTGCCTAGGACTGCTACTCATTTACTACCCATAATTATTTATCAGAAATGATATGTAGCCCTAACACTAAAATAAATGTTTAATGTCTACTTTCTATATTCATGATAAGTTAGGATGATATCTTGGGGTTTCACAGTAAATCATGACTTACTTGTAGTAAGAGAATCCATAACTTACTATTAAGTATGTAATTTCAGACTGCATTTAAAAATTTAGAATAATTTGATTAACTATAGAAGCTATAATTTAAACCTTCTTTAGAAGAATAGCATGCTATACAAGTAGCTTTCAATGAAGTAACTATATTTAAAAAAACAAGTCTGAAAGTGAATTTAATTTCATCTAGAATCATTAATGGACTTAAATTTTGTACATAGATTTATACCGTATTCAAATGTTGGCTTTTTTCTTTAAAGGAGAAAGCTTTATAACGTATTTTATTTGATTTATTAGAAGGACTAGCCTTTTCAGTTTACATGGAAACTCATATTATTCTGATTGATTTTTTTATATCGATTACTTTTGCTAATTAATTTTTGACAATGGTTTTAAAGTGATAATTTGATTACTTTAAGATCACATTGGTATGCAATTCTAATCTAATATCATTTTGAAAATTTTATTGAATTTTATATAGCTTCCAATTTTTTTCTTATTAAAAAAAGGAAACGGCTAAGTATTCTGTATTCCATGAAGAAAGTCACCTGAATATACATATGTTAATTGATCATTACTATTTGTAACAGTAAGATTCCAGTTTTCATATGAAAATACAGAATAAGTAGCTGAGGTTCATGTTTAACTTTACAAACAAACGCATCTCACTTCTTAAAATAGATTGCATCCTGGGTTGGGGGGGGGATCTTATCCTATTGCCTAGTGAGTAATGAAAGAAGTACCCAATTCTCTGCAAGGAACTCTCATCAACCAGATTTAAACTGATCCAAATCCTTGAGATGTTAAAAATATTATTGTTGCCTTTTGAACAGAAGCAGAGACAATAATATCTGGCAATAACTGAGATGCCATTTGCAAATGTGCTATAGAACTCATCTGGGCTTTTCATCTTTTCTCCTCCTCAACTTTAACAATACAGTTCAATTATAGAAGTGACTAGACATATATGATGACATGGAAAACAAAAACAACAGCTTGTCCAGAGGGAGCTTCAATTGAAGCAACGATTAAAATCATTTGGGAATTCTAGCTAACATATCTGGATTTCCTCTTTGTAAAAGGTAAGATCTTTCTTAAATTAAAAGTTTGGTCTGATGAGTTTGGGGAAAAATCAGCCCAAGCAAATGGTCCAAGTAGTACTTGGTCCAAGTAGTAGTAGTAGTAGTAGTATCTTCATTTTACATTTTATCTGCTATACTCATTCTCCCTTTATTTTAAAATTATGTTAGCTTGAACAAATCATACTTAGCTCACCATCATCATCTTCATCATCATCTGCTGCATTAATAACAACAGGTGGATGTGTGGGACTGGGAACATTTTCAGAATTTTCCACCTTCATCACTCCACGCAACTGAGGTGATGGGTTAGACTGAACAGAAAGCTTGTTTTGTTGTGCAGTCTTCATCTCCTCTTCTGGAGACTCAGGCACATTTGGAAGAACAGCTTAAACAATGAAACAACATCAAATAATTCATTTAGTTTGATCAAACTCAGAATGAATTCATTAAAATCTGTGAGAATTTAGTAATAACTAACATAAATTCCATGATTTCAACAATCCTACTCAAAGAATAGCAATGCCTGAACTCAGTCCATTACTCATAATACACATAGGGAGTCCTCAACTCATGACAGTCATTTAATGATCATTCAAAGTTACAATGATCTCAGAAAGGATGTTTTATGGCCCGGGTAAAGCACTTCTGGCCATTGTAGAACACTGTGCCACCCTTCTGCAGTTAGGCATTTGGCAACAGGGTCACAACAGGTTGCCAAGCATCCCGCAATAATGTGATGGCCATTTGCAATCTTCTCTGCCAACTTCCCCAGAAAGTTAATGGGAAGCCAGCAGGGATAGTTGCAAGTGAAGGGGATGATGGGGAGCTGCAATCTTTCACTGGGCTGAAATAATAGAGCTGAAAACTTCAAGATTTTAGCTCCATTCCTGTAGCTCCTCCAATTTTAAAATCTTACCTCCTCTTAAAGTTTTAAGCTTTTATACGTATTATTTATATTTTAACATTTATGTACACCTCAAAGATTTCCTCTTTGAGGTAGATGGGTGGTATTTTATTAAAAATAAAATACAATAAAGTAAATTGTAATAGTGTAAACTAGATTCAATTACATTTTTTTGTCTATCCACTTGTATTTATTTTGCTTACTACTTACCTCTTACCCTCCTTACTACTTATTCTTATACTGCACTTTGTAAAAAGTTGCTTACTCCCAAAGAGAATGGCATAGAAGTTTTCTTTGTGTATATGATATGAAGTTATCTGAATCAAATGGGAAATTTTCAACACAAAAAGTTCAGCTGATAAAGTTACTTTCACATAAGCAACAAAAGCCTGGATCTCTTCCACTGGATTATAAACCATTTATTAATCTGGAACTCATAATTATTATAAATTGGGTCAATTTGGTGGGATGTTACAGTCCTAATGAATCCAGAATAGTTTTTGTTATTATATCTTAATATTTTATTAAATTACCACAATTTTCCAAGGAAAAACATTTAACTTACTCTTGCTTGGAGGTAAGAAAAGCCCATCCACAAAACGTCCCTTGTTGTGGTGAAAAGCACAGTTCAATTTCTGACAGCCCAATGGCTGATTCTCCCAATAGCACGGTATTTCGCTGCGCTTTTTCTGAAGACAAACCACAAGTTATTAATTATATATAGAAGAGCCTGCAAGTTCACAGTATTAAGAAAGCAGCACATGCAGTGCATTTAGATGATACAAAAAGCCCCAATAAACTTAATACAGTTTACCAGAAGGCACACTGCTTGTTGCTAGTGGATGGATGGGGAAGACTGAGTGGCTATGAGTTTTGGATCTACATCTAGGAACTGGAGATTTTCCATCTTTGGCTCTGAATGGAGCTATGTGGCTCCACATAGACCTACAACACAATTTGGGGATTCTCCTGGATACACAGAATTATACAAAGAGCACGTGGCAACTACAACACTACTTTGTATTATCCACTATTCCTGCCTGTTGTCACTGCCTTAGTCACCTCTGGGCTAGATTATTATAATACACTATTTCTTTGTTTGTTTATTTTTATTTCATCCAACGTTTATTATTGTTATAAATAACTATAAAGTTATTTTTTTATGTAACTAGACATATAAAGGACCCCACAAAAAGGTGCCAGGCTTTGAACTACCATGTCAGCAATAAACAATCCTGAATAGGATTCACACCTCACACAGCATCTGTGGGGGCCCTCTGTATAAATGAGGCATAGTATCTTCTCCTCAGTGTGACTCTGAAGGCCCTTGTCGAATTGTAGATTACATTGTGACCAACTGTAAACTGAAGGCATATACCAGTCCACTATCTGATTTTTTAAATATAAACAATGCTGTGCTTAAATGGTTAAATGGCCCAGACACTCATATTTGAACATAGATGTTTTTAACATTTATATTTTATAGTGTTTTACTAATCTAGGAAAAATGTTAATATATATTGCTAGTCTATGTATGATATGACATACACTAAATAAATAAATTTATAAAGACCTCAAGGCAGTGAACATACTACTGCTCCTACCTCCACTGGTTTTCCTCACATTAACCCTGTCAGGTGAATTGGGTTGAGAGAGATGGGTTTGTCCTTGAAAACTGGAAGCTAGTTGGTCCAGAATGCAATGGTGCAGATAGTTATGGGCACACCTCAGTACGCCCACATAACACTACTTTGCAAGATGCACTGGTTCCTCATCAGCTTCTGTGTTATCTGTGGATAATCTCTCTAATGATATCTGCATATCCCACTCACTCTAATGCAGTGGACATACTTTGAGTCCTTTCATTAAAATAGGGCCAAGTAAAGGGGGCCAGTAATAGTGCCTATAATAATCATCCCTAGATTTTCAATTGACCCTGACCCTGCTGATCTTTAGAAAGGCCTTAAAAGCATGGTTATTCCTTCAAGCATTGGGACCAGGATGAATAAGTTTCCATTAGGAGTATGTATGAATGCAAATCAAGTAGCCAATTATTATTGTTCATTGTTTATTTGGGTTACGGGCAGGGGTGGGTTTCAAATTTTTTTTACTACTGGTTCTGTGGGCGTGGCATGGCTTGGTGGGTGTGGCTTGGTAGGCGTGGCATGGGAAGGATACTGTAAAATCTCCATTCCCTCCCCAATCCAGGAGAAAGTTACTGCAAAATCCCCATTTCCTCCCGATCAGCTGGGACTTGGGAGACAGAGAATAGATGGGGGCTGGGCCAGTCAGAATTTTTACTACCGGTTCTCTGAACTACTTAAAATTTCCGCTACCGGTTCTCCAGAACTGGTCAGAACCTGCTGAAATCCACCTCTGGTTACGGGGTATTTCTTGTAAGCTTCCCTGGCTGTTCAAGTTGGACAGCCATATAAATTATTTAAACAAGGCTTGAATCTGTCTTATGCCATTCAGGCAAGATCACAAAGATGCTATCAGTAACATGGTCCTTACAAAAAAGAATCTGAATTTGTCATTTTAACACAAAATATAATTATATTACCTAATTTTTTTATTTAAAAAAATCAGTTTCCTTCTGCACGTTGAGACAATTTTAATCAAAATAGTCAGACCCAAAGGACAACATGTGGTAGTCCTCTAAGAACGTTCAAGTCACAATCACTCACATCTCCTAAATGTATGTCAGAATTCAGGAGTTTTTTCGAATGGAGATGTAACAAGGAAAAGAATCAGCATACACAAATGTACAGTATATAAATACAGTTGCTTATACTAGTTCTTATATAATAATTTTCGCCTCTCTCTTATTACATTAGAATTTATGTCAGTTTACCAAATAAAAATTTTCTTTCTAGGTCCTATTATCAACTACATCCCCCAGTATAATTAGACATGTAACATGTCCAGAAATATGAAAGAAAAAAAAATGTTTTGCTTTGAAAAATCAATAAATCTTGTACAAATGGAAATATATATTTAGTTTTTAATATCCTTCACAAATAAATCTGATGTTATCAAATATAAATTATATTGCTTGATTTATTTCAAAAATATGTTTGTTTATAAAAAACTGGAAAAATACAGTTCAGATAATTTTAAATGTATTGATGAATTAATTTTAAAACATTTTTAAAAATCTTGTGATGAATGAAAAAGAAGAAACTAAGGATAAGGATATGGCATTTGATGTTCTGTCTAATTGGTCTTACATTCCAAACCTTTTTTGTTTTGACTTTTGACTTTTAGTAAAGTTTTAACTGCTTGTATTGAGACAAACTCTGAAAGTCCTTCACATTTAATCTACTTTTTTCCAAATATAGACTATTTTTGTCATTTAACTATTCTACATTTACACTTTTAAATTTTCTCTCCATGGAGAGCTCAGAAACAATGGGAAAACAGGCAGAATGATTTACATTCTTTGCCCCTATAAATACAATAATTGTATACTATAATCCTGCAATTAAAGAGATTATAGCCTCTTCCAATTTAGGCTGTTAAAACATTTAACAGGCACTTTTCCAAATTCAAATTTATCTAGAAAGATGTTTTGAAGCTCTGATGTGAACTGTAACATTTATGTACAAGTGCAGTATTATTTGTACTGATGGTCTGTGAACACCCTCCTATGAAAGTTGAAACAAGGCCATAACTAAAGTATTGTAATCTACTTAATTTCAACAATGCGTGCTTTCCTCCCAAATGCCCAGCTTGTAAGATTAAATATACTGCTTTATTGTGCTGTTATATAAGCACTTACATCAATCTCCATGTGTCTAAAGCGGCAGATACTCCTGAAGCATCGACCTTCCTGCCAGAGCACACACACAGTTTCATTTCCAAGGGCAGCTTCACAGTGACGAAAAGGGCAATTATCCCCCTATGAAAAAATGGTAGAGAATGATTAAGATGTATGGGTGAAATCCAATACCATGCAAGACTTACATACATAACACCTTTCCCTCAGTCGATCTCCCTGCGAGACCTACATTAAATTTGAAATGAAACACTCAAGATGTAAACTTCACTTTGCTCACATCTTGAGTGTTTCATTTCAAATTCAATGTGGTAGTGTACAGAGGCCAAATGCCAAAAAAATTATCATTGTCCCAATATATACAAACCAGTGGTGAAATCCTCCTCGGATCGCCACGTTTGCTGCCCGCGCATGCATGGTGCGCGGCAACCATGCACTGCACATGCACAGCACACACCAAAAGCACACTGCATGTACATGTGCAGTGCGCAACAAACACGTGCTTCACGCGGGAAAAAAAAGACTTCACTAGATAAGTAGAATAGCAAGGGGGGAACAGCTGTGCCGTGCGATTTAGCTTCGCTAGAAAGCAGGATTTCCTGCTTTCTAGCGAAGCTAAACCGCGCAGCACAGCTGACCGTCAGAAATACCAGTTTGGACGAACCAGTAGCTTTTTAAAACTACCGGTTCACTTTTTTTTTTACTACCAGTTTGCCTGAACTGATAGTTTTTATTACTACCGGTTCACCCAAACCGGAGCAAAACGGTAGCATTTCACCCGATACAAACCTGACACTCTCTTTCTCAGTGTGTGTGTGTACGAATGTGTTTGTGTATGAGAGCGAGCACATCCTATGTACTTATGAAAATGAAAAAACTAGGAAAAAAGTGTATTCCAAATGATGAGAATAGAATGTTCCTGACTAGCAAATGAATTATGATTTAAATAATCAAGTTAAATCAAATTAAAGCTATCCCATTGAGCAATCATAACATAAAGGTAGATTTAAGAATATTCTTTGTTGCATAAATATAAATATAATAAGATGGATGGCAATAATTTCACATCCTGAGTGATTATTCAAAATGTGAAGAGCAACTCCAGCCTTCAATACTGCAATGAATAGCAGCCATTCATTTTTATGTGAGAATGGTTTGCTGAATTTGCTATAAAGTTCCATTTTGTACTATGAAATCATGCAATGTGAAAGTGGCAGAAAGTGCTGCAGAAGCAGGGTTAGTTCTTCTGATGCCCCTTCCCCAGCTTTGGAATGGCAAACAAAAAAATAAATCAATGAAAGAACACTTTATTTTCCATTTATCCGTACTTTGGATATATGAATATATAAAAGGTTTAGAAAATAACATAATACTTATATGTGTATAAAGAATACAAAAAAACTGATCGTTGTATCAGCTCTTTACTGGCATTATGTGAATAACTATACCCAAAATACAATAAATAAGACATGTCAATTATATTTGCCTAAAATAAGCAAGTTCCATTGAGTTATTTTTGCATTTCCTATACAAAAACATACTACATATTTTCCATACCTACATCAAGAAATTCACTAAAATTAATAGGGGGTTGTTAAATTGAATATGGTGCAGTTATTGAGTTATACTTGAAATAACACAAATATGCTTAGAAGACTCAACTGCCATTAATATACCTTGGTACAAGTAGAGTAGAAATAGAAGTAACAATCATCTCCTTGGTTAGACATATTCAAATTAATTTCCTTCAAGTTTAAGGTGTAGAAACAAATGGCTGAATACAATTTTGTTATTTTTCAGCGATAGTTAATCACAACGATGTTTAAAATGGCACAATCTTCTATACCAGATTTAGCAATATCTTCTTTAAAATATAATCCTGAAAAACAAATGAACAAAATATTTAAATATCACTGAAAATGTTACATTTGATAGAAACATCCATTTCCATAAAAGTTTAACTCTAATACATACTGATTTTTTAAAAAACTAGTCAAGTTATTACATGTATTTATAGGTACACATAAAATTTAGAGCTTATCTTGAGGAAGATATGAAGGAGCTATTAAGACTTGGAGAAAAGATTACACAGTTCAGAGATGGAAGAAAACATGAGAAACTCAAAATAAGCCCATTTTAATTGGGCAGAGAGAGATTTGCAAGATGCCTTACAACTGTAATGAAGCATTCCTGGAACCCTTGTGGTGTTTTACTTCTCAACTTGGCTTATCTTGAAAGGCTGAGGTATACACCCTAATTATAAACTCTAAATGACTTACAATCTGATAATATCCAAATACAAGTCAGGATACTAGCTATCACCTATACAAGTAGTTCTTGGCTTACAACCTTAATTGAGCTTGAAATTAGTTGTAAGTTGTGTTGGTTGTTAAGAAGTCACATGACACCTGATTTTACAGCCTTTTTCATGACAGTTGTTAAGCATATGTGGTGATTGTAAAGTTGCTAAGAAATCCATTGTCTGCAAATATAAATATGGTCACATGAAAAACTAAAATTACTGCTAGACACACCCAAAATGTAATCACAAGACCAGAGGAGAGGTATGACTGTTGAAATTTCAAATCTGGATCGTAAGTTAGCCTGGGGAGGTCTGTCTAACTTCGAACAATTGATAAATGACAGAGTCAAAGACTACTTGTAAAAGCTGTCATGGGATAGCACTGGCTTGTTTGTGAGATGACCTTCTTGTGTCTGCTTGTTTTATAAGGTCCAGCAGGATGAGCATTCTCCAGGTCCCTTCCATTAACCAATGTCATCTAAAGCCTCTTGTTGCAACACCTACCCTATGGAACAATCATCCTTGCTTAGGCTTCTGTAAGGCATTAAGGACCTGGCTCTTTGCCAAAAGTAGGCCTCTTGTGAATAATGAATGCATTTAATTCATTAAGAAGGGCTTTCTCTGTGGTGGCTCCCTCTCTCTGGAACATCATTCCCCCCAGAGATTAGAATGACCCCCATTCTTAACACTCTTCTGGAAGGCGCTGAAGACCTGATTCTGCCAGTGAGCCTGGGGAACCCAGAGCAGGATAGAGCCCATTAAATGGCTCATGTGATCTGCTGTCGCCGGTGCAGGGTGTAATTTTATTATATTAGATTAATTTATTTGATTCTTTTTTATTAGTTTGTTTTAAATGAGGTTTTATATTCTGTAAGCCGCCTTGAGTCACCATGTGCGAATAGGCAGCAATATAAATTCAATAGTTGTTGTTGTTATATTATTATTATTATTATTATTATTATTATTATTATTATTATTATTATTAGGGCTTTGCTCTATGTGTGCAATGTTTTCCAATTTGTCTTTAATATCATTGTAGCTACTTTATTGACTGTTGGCAGCCCAGTCATGTCAACTTGTAGCTATATAAATCTATATAATAATGAAATATTTTAAAATGCTATGGTTAAGTAAAATGTTATTTATGTTAATGTGACTTAATTCAACAATACAGATTGAAATACCTTGGTATGATCAGCAGATACTATCTTCAAAAACTTCCAGTTATTTTTCTCCTGTAGGTCGAATCAACACTCAATCCATAAAATAGCAACGGGATATAAAGACTTTTCTTCCTCACATTGCCAAGGACACAAATCTCATCCTCATTCAAAATTCAGATAAAGGGTGAAGTTAAAACTACTGGAGAAAGTAAGTCCATTTGAATAGCCAGGGAAGCTGGAAACAGTGGTTAATTGCCTCTTCAAAATAAATAGTTCATTTAAAGAGGAACTTCTGTTTCAAACCAGCTGCAAAGAAGATCGGTCTTCCACAGCCAGGGAATTTTACTTTTTTTTTTTTTTTTAATTAAAACACAATATTTCAATTTCTGGTCTTCAAGTTCTCTTCACCTATTGAAAAAGAGAAAAAAATCTTCCCCGGTCTTTATTAACTGCATAGTAAAAATATAGTAGCTTTAAGGTCAGACATGTATATACACATGAAGTCGCATATTATGTGTTTATACATGTAAAAATGCATATTCAAGAGCAGTATTAATAAGCTGCATTTCAACAAATCAATCTTCCATGTAATTACATTTTTAGATGAATAGTTTATCATACAGTACAAACATAAATAGGTATATTCATACTGCATGTCAAACTTTAGACATGTGTGCCTTGTGAGAACTATTTTTAAATTAAATGGATAAATATTTTGTACAGTATTATTTGCAATTGCAAAGCAATATATTTGGCAGCATAACATTAAGAAAATAAAGCATTTTACGTCCAACCTATTCATTTTTAAAAAAAAATAATTTAAAATTTGTTCTTGTTGTCAATGCAACCTTTCCCTGAAAAAAAAAAGGTGTTGCTGCTTTTCAGCAACAAGATTGAAAGGATGTCTCTGATATAACATCCTAACAACGTTTTTACAGTCACACAGCAAATAAGGTGTGAGTAAATCAGAACAGAATTTATTCTTTTCAAATATCATTTTGCACATGTAATTTTAATGAATGTAGAATAGTAAGTTGGAAAGTTTTACTCCAGACAAAATAATTTGCCTTTGAATATTTATAGTATGATATTTCCCCAACTCTAAAAGAGTAGAGGGATTTTTTTTTAAAAAAAATATTGTCTGTGTTGAAATTCAACAATAGGAATTTAAGAAACGTCATCTGTAAAATTGCTTTTTATTTGCATTTCTTTTTTTATGCATACTTTTTTATGCAACTTGTCTTGCTGGCACAAAATACTAGTACTCCAGATGGAAAAATCTGAATGAAGGAAAAAGGTTTCTGTCAAATACATATTATTATTTGCCATAATCATTCAATTGTAAACAAAATATATATTTTTTTAAAAAAATTATAATTTATTAACTGTTTAAATGGTTAAAAAAAGTTGTCCTTTAGGTGCACAAAATTTAACACATGTATCATAACAAGCAAAATTAAAATAATTTTGTTAGGAGCATTTCATGTTCATATACACTGAATCATTTGGGGAACAGTATTATGGTACCTGTCCATTTAGTATATATCCCAAGCATTACTGTTTGTTGTAAGTAATTTAAGAAAATACCATCTTTCCAACTTGGGTAACAGATGACTGTTACCCTGTGGATTAAGCCAGAACTACTGAACTGTTCCACTGCTGCATTAAAATCCCAACTGTTTTAAAGAATGTGAAAAAGGTTGTTTTTCCATCTTTTAGTGCAAAAATAATATGTATTACTGACATCAGGGAAGTCAATTTCTGTACTTAAATGTCATTTTTATAAAGCTGAGTAATTTTGAATTCGGTTGGTACAAAATCCTAAAGAGGGCTATTAACCTTTTGGAGGGGAACTACTATTTCTAGCAATATAAAGTGAATCATCTAAAGGCAGAAGCTTTCAGATTCTAAATTTTCTGCTCATTTCAAGTTGCACCACTTGACTACAAAACATCAACAATTATTATGTCCAGATAACACAGGATGTTTGTATGTTTACATGATTCTTTGAAGCTGTAAATGTAGAAGAGAACGCAGAGCTGAGGGGTAGAATTCAGCACGTCATGGTCATGATCAGCTTAAAGACGCTGCCACCAAGTCCAATCCCTTGAATTCCATTTACCATTATCTGATGTCAATTTAATAGTGAACTTTTGTTGATTAGATTCTTGTGATAGACTTGAGCCTATAAGCTTGACATATAGTCCTGATCCTTTGCGCCTAATAGTAAATACTGTATAGGGAATATTTTCAGCTACATTTAAACTGTTCAAAACAGCCAAAATTAGAGCTATCATTCTGCTAATTAACTTGCCATTTCACAGCACTAATTTACATAACTGCTAAAGCTCTAAGTAAAATTTAATCAAAACTGTGAAAATATGATCTGACCTTGTTTCTTGAGTGGAGAGAATTGTTGTCCTGAAAGTACTGGTATCCAATTTCTCAGCTATCCCTACCAATATATAGGACAGTATTTATCAATGTAAATTGTCTAAAACTGTTTTTTATGCTTTGATAATTGTTGCAACTAATTAAGTCTTTCCTCAATTACCACACTTGCCAAGGGCAGCAAAACTTAACAGCCTTCTGATGGGGGAGATGTGATTACAATAATGTTTGCATATATCAAACACTACCTCTAAAATTATTTATAGCATCCATATTTGAGAATGTTAACTCTATATGTATATGCACCTCTGAGTAAGTTCTTTTTAGCTCAACTTAATTCTAAATATTCATGGATTTGCAAAGGAGCCTACAGAAGTTGTTCCTTGAAACAAGAATCTAGGAAGACAAAAAGTAATGCTTAAATTTGCATCCATTTCCATCCATGAGCCAAAAGTGGTATGTTTGTTAAGAAAGCCTTTTTGCAGGTGTTGGAGGGGAAGAGCAATAGACTGATCAGAAATATCGAACCATCTCAAAGGGCTGAACAAGGCTCATATGCAAGGACAGCACTAGTCACATTCCTTTTGTACTCTACTGTCAGAGACAGCCTATAAAAATAGGCATGTTTTCACACTAAGCTTTCAATATGAGATAACATAGAAAATAGAATGTAAATTCAGAATAAAATGAATTTTCTTTGCTCTATAACTACATTACGGGCTTTTTTAATCACTACCAATACAAATTTTACCACCACTACTAATACAAATTTTAAGTAAAGTCCACTCTGGCTCACAAAAATTGTTTGATGTTACATATTAGATAGCTTTTAAATTCTATAAAATCTGCCTTATATGTTACAGCACACTCCCCTTCTAGAACACAATTCCTGTTGGCGGTGTGTTCTATATGCCAGGAAAACAGGCAAAATAGGTTAGCCATCATGGTCAGAATTACCCATTTTGCTTGTGTTTCGTCACAACTGTTTTGTTTAGACAGAAGCTGTCTACTCATAGCCAGCATTTTCTTTTTATATACCCTGTAGTTAGTGCCCCTGTGCACTTGCTAACTAAATATCAAGCATGGAAATCTTCATTTAAGAAACAAGCAATTCCAGCAATATGGTTTTACCATATTACTTATTTAAAAAAGCTCTTCCGGATATGGCCCAGCTTTCTTTTATAACAGCTCCACAGTTTGCTGCACTTACACTGCTACAGAAGGCAATGACAAAATACTTTCACACAGTTGCCAAAAAACCTGCATGGATCTGTTCCTGTAGTTACCAGGCATCAAACTCTGCTTATGTATATGTGTCTATGTGTGCGTTAAAAATTTTAAAAAATCAATCAATCAATAGGAAATAAATCTGTTAATCTACAGCAAATACAAACAGATTATTACTTTCTATTAGATTAATAAACTGTTTTGAGTATCTTTGTGCCAGCCTGCATACTAGAAAGAACTGCATTTTCTAATCCACTATAATTACTGTATCCTAGAAAAACTGTTTTTTAAAAAAACTAGTAGGTATAACACTAATCATTTCCTGGATGCAAAACATCTTGCAATCAAAGGACACCATTACTTTCCCTAAAATGGTATCTTGTGGAAGTATAAATTAATTATCCTCTAATATTAACCTTCATATTCTAGCAAATCTCCAATGTCTCTATCATAATAAGCACTATTCTATTTTTTAAAAATATGATTATCAAACGAACAAGCACTGTCTATAAATAACCAGGTGAGGAATTTTTAAATCCCAAAATTCACAATGTTTGCTAGTTGTTGTTTTTCCCTACAAACCCTTCAGGGACTAAGGAATGGGGTTAAAAACAATTATTTAACCAAAGAGGGATTAAATGGAAGGGGCTGGGAATACAGTGGTAATGCTGTACCGCTTACCTAAAAAGGTAAAAAAAGAAAAAGAAACAGATGGGTTTTTTTTTTCCCCAGGCGGGCTGGGATAGGAGTGGGAAGCGGGAAGAAGAGATTCTAAATAAATTAATGAATCAATAAAAAGATCAAAACACCGTTTGCAGAAATTAGGAACTGGGCGTTAAAGGGAAAGTTAAGGCGAGAACGTAAGCAGAGCAGGCCTCAGGAAAAGGCGGAACAGGGGAGTAAACACAGGCCGAGGCCCAGACTCCGGGGCCTAGAGAGGAAGGCGTCCCTGACGAAAAAGAATTCGATAAATTATACGCAAGGAAGCCGCTGGCCTTACATCGGAGACAGGGGGAGGGGACCCAGGTCTTTGTCACCCATGCGCAGGGACTTTACCGAACCCCGAGAATGTGACGACGACGACAGCAAACTCTCGGTTCCCGCAGCACCGCGCTTCGACCGTGTTCCTCTGAGAGGCGAAGATTAAACTCCCCGTCGCCGCCGTTAACGTCGCCGCTGCCCTCCTCCAAGATGGCACCGCTCCCTGACGCCCAGCTACTTGCCAGGAAGGAACATGGCTAAAGTAAAGGAGGGGTTTAAAAAAAGGGGGGGGCTAGTTCCATTCACGTGACCCCTTCGCTCTCACCATTATGAACGAAGCAACTAGCTACACGTCGCTTCCGGTCTACACCGGAACCTCTTCAGTACGTCGGCGGGTCGTGAGCTGCGCGTGTGCGGGAAACGGAGGACGGTGGTTTTTTTCCCCCCTTTTTTTGTTTTCTTTCTTTTTTTTTTTTTAAAAAAAGAAGCTTCTCGGCGCTGTTTTTTTTAACTTCTCTCGTTTTGCTATCCTGACTGTCGGCCATGGCGTACCGCGGGCAAGGCCAGAAGGTGCAGAAAGTGATGGTGCAGCCTATCGTATCCTTCTTGTGGCAAGGCGGAGGAAGCGGGCTCTCTTTGGAAAAGGGCGGGGCGAGGCCCGTGAGGGGGATGGAGGCGAAGGAAGGGAGCGGGAGGCGGCATGCCGAGAAATTGGCACGTTGCTCGGTTTCACGTGTTTTCTGGAAGGACTTTTTGAAGGTGGGGGGGGGGTGGCTGAAAGAAGTTGCTAAGCTGAAATTCTGTTGGTGACTCAGCCAGTCAGTCACGCGTGCTCGGCTTAGTTATGGTGAGAATAAAATAGGTTGGCTGAGAAAACCGCCATGAACATCTGGGATATGCTACTAGATCAGTGGTGAAATGTAAAATTTGTTACTACCGGTTCTGTGGGCATGGCTTGGTGGTGGGGGGTAATAGGACTGAGTGGGCGTGGGCAACTTTTTTTTTTAACTTTTCAAAGCATTTTTTCTACACCTCTTCGGCTGAAGAGGTTGTTAAAAAATGCTTTTAAAAGCCTCTGACGATCCCAGCTGAGTTGCCTGATCGGCAGAGGCTTTTTTTCCTTTTAAAAGCATTTTTTCTATAACCTCTTCCATGGTTAAAAGCCTCTGATGAGCCCAGCTGAGCTGCCCGATCATCAGAGGCTTTTTTTTTTTTTACTATTAAAAGCATTTTTTCGGCCAAAGAGGGTGTAGAAAAAATGCTTTTAAAAATTAAAAGCCTCTGATGATTGCACGGCTCAGCTGGGCATGAGGGAGGGGCAGGGATTTTTGCTACCTGTTCTCCGAACACCTGCCTCCATCTCCATCGGGCGAAGCAGTCCGAACTGGGAGCATTTCACCCCTGTACTAGATTGAGTACCTAAATATAATTAATCCGGTTGGGAATAGGATTAACATGGCTAAAATCGACTCAGAAAAGCAACTGCTTGTTTGATTCTGCAGTGCCTCAGCCATCAAGATGCTTTCATTTTGTGGGATTTCTTGTAAAATGACGAGTTGGAAGAAGAAATGTTGAATTTCTGTCAGAATGAATGGGGGTGCTCCTTTTTATATGTTTTTTCCTAAATTTATCTGCGATAGAACCTCATTTTTCGCTACCTGCAGAATGTAAGTATACATAATTACATTTTTCAAATTTAACAACGTATTTGTATAATTACTGATTCTTAGGACACCTGCATTTGTGGTGTACATTGAGAAGTTTTGTTCTCTTTGTATATATCATACAATCCCTCCCCCTTTAGCTTTAATAGGGAAGTGACTAATTAATGTGATTGAAGCAATTTTTGTAGAAAGCTAGTAAATACATTAGTGTGCATTTCAGAAATGTTAAAAAGTATTTATCATTGTAGGTAACAAAAAATATTAGCTCAAAAAGTTAAAGGCAGTAATAGTGAGTTTTGAGCTTATTCTTTCAGTTTCTTTCAGAATCCTTGCTTCTGATAAAAATATTTTGTATTGTAAATGGTTTTAAATTAAAATATCCTTATTACACCTTATGTAAATAACTTTTAATAAGGGTTTCATTTTTACTGAAAAATATGGCAGTGGAGAAGACTCAATAAAACCAGTTGTTTTGGTGGGGGCAGTGGTGGGGGTGGAGTTTCACTGCAATTTCTAGGTACCAGAGAGCCATAAGAACTTGGGCCATGCAAATAAGATTGTAAGCCTACACAGAATTCCACAATGTCATAGTTTCTTTGCTGTTTACTTTGCAGAGATCCCGGATTCAGGTTTGGCTATATGAACAAGTAAACATGCGGATAGAAGGCTGTATCATTGTAAGTGTTGTAATTGCTTTCACATACATGTAAAGAAAAATATAACTTAAATATGATTGCAAAAAGATCATTTTGTTTTTAGTTTCTTATCTCAGACTAAATGAAAACATTAATTAGTACAATAAAACATTTTTCATGAACCATCATTTGGAGTTAATTGTGAAAAACCATTCATTCTAGTGTTATCTGGACACTTATTGTTCTTGGGTTAATGCTGACTCTGAAAGCCTGCATCAATACATTTTCAGGGGTGTTTAAAACTGACCAACTGTTAAGTACTAGCAGTTATTTTCTTTTTCTGAATATTTAGTTAAATGATTATTCACTTTTTTATTGTTGCTTCTGTGACTTGTTCATCCTATTTCATTTGTGATACATCATTTTATAGTGGAATTTTGATAGTTTAAAAGGACAAGATGGAGATATTTTAAAATCAGAGTAATCTGTCCCATTTGATGAACCTAACTGAATCCACCATTCTTGCATCTTTACTACCATCCTTGATGTTGCTTCCTTCCATTAAATGTATTGTCACATTTCTGTGTTCTGGTTCACAGGGTTTTGATGAATATATGAATTTAGTTCTGGATGATGCTGAGGAAATTCACTCTAAAACAAAATCAAGAAAACAGCTGGGTAAGTGTAAGCTTTTCTGTAGTACATATCAGGCATCCTTTTTCTTGTTACTAGTAAAAAATAAATGTTAATTTAATTTTGTGAAAATCCATATTAGGAATTTCAATTTTGCATTTGAATATCAGTGAACAAGCCTCCAAGTAGGCTTGGAACTGCCATTTCAGAGTTCCATACATTTAATTGGCACATTACTTTAGGTGAATAATACCAAAAGCTGCTGAAAGGTCAAGGGTAGGCAAAGGGTGAATATTAATCCCTCTTTCTTGCCAAATATTATCCATTAAGAAAAATAGTACAATTTTCCTGTAAAACTAGGCCAGGACTGAATGTGGGGATTTTTTTTCACTGCATTCTAATAGTACTCATTATTTAAGTAATCACAACTGAAGAAAGCTAAATGAATTATATTGCTAATCCTATCATCTAATATCAAATAAAATGCCCATACACTTTAATATATTACATTTTTTAATCATACTCTTTGCCTTTGCAGGTCGAATCATGTTAAAAGGAGACAATATTACCCTTCTGCAAAGTGTTTCCAACTAGAAAATACCTAGTATTTCTGTTGTAATATTAATGTTTAATCTTTAAAAAAATGTGCAGGCTTAATGCTATCTTTTCTGATTTGGTATCTGAGGCAAGAATGAAGACAGCAACTTAGTACATATGTCTGTAGTTTTCAATAACTTTTTTACACTGGTGTGTAACTATTTCTTTATAAATAAATGTTTTTGTTAATATATTTATCTTCTTTATTACTATTTGGACATAAATTTTTGAATACAGATAATAATACCAGCAATAAACAGTTGTATTAGAAGATGCAATTGTTTAAAGTACTAGTCAAAGAATATATAGCTTGAGAGATCAGATCCTAGTTTATGAGATACTGTGAAAGGAGTATGATGCTCTCTGAATAGAAAATTTGATCAATAGCGTCAGACTAAAACTTAGAAATATAATAATGTACAACTCCCTTATAACATACGACTATTGTTTCTTAAAAGAAGCATAAGTTTATGACTAAACCTACACACCTGACTGGATCAGAAATAACCAATTTGTTTTATTTTAGAAATCTTGTTTTCATAACATTTGGGTACTGGGTTTGCTTTATTAAGTATTAGGATTTGACTTATTAAGTATTAGGATTTTATATGATATCTGTGTTGAAGTTCAAGTTTCCTTTTTGAGAAAAATGTAATCATCCTTACATTAAGGAAGTTCACATATTGGCTGCCCTGCTTTGCTTTTGTTATTTATTGGAGGTCGCTGTTCTACACAAAACATTAAAAAAGCAGCTTGACAAGTAAAGTTAACTTCCTTGCTTTTTAGATGAAAAGTTCATCTCCTTAATTGCTGCTCTTTGTAAGTGATATGTTCAGAGAACTCTTTATTCCCCAGAATAGAGAAAAGGAGGAGCGACTACTTCCTGAGGAGTGACTACTTCCTGAGTATAGAGGTTGCTCAAGAAAGTTTTAAAAATAAATATGGAATGAAGATTCAATCACTGAGTGAACACAATTGTTAACAATAATTTGGTATCAAAGCTCAGTGAGAATCCTTAACAAACCTTAGGTCAATAGTACAAACTTGGTTGAAAGGGAACAAGAGGAAATAACAGCTTTTCTATACCGTATGTAACTCCTTGAAAAATAGAAGTAAAGATAAACACTTATTACTATATTTGAGACTTAACCGTACACATAGCATGTTTCTGTTCCTACTTGAAAATTATCTGGCATGTACAGCAAGGGCAACTATATAGCAATTTCGGGAGAAAAATATAAAAACTGGAACTGCAAGTTACCATCCTTCATCCTTGTGAAAGAAATTGACTAAACAAATACAATGGTAAATTAACAAGTATCTCTACAAGGAATAGAAGCAAAGAAGCAAATCCAGTTGTATATGCTAAAACTGATAAGGTGATAAATGATTCTTGAGCCATTTTGGGCTATTTTGTAAACGAAGGGATGATGCAAAGTTGGAAAAAGGATGGCCCAAAATCCATTGACTTGAAAGGGTCCTGGATCTAGCTCTTAAATTGTTATATAATACAGTACATCTACTTTTTGCTATTCTTAGCAGCACTAGCATATCTGATGAAGCCACTCAAGTTCTGAAAATGTTTATTTAATTGGTTCACTAAATAGCGGTCCACCTTTTGTATAATTGGAATTCCAGGAACTGAGACACAGATCACATGAGAAGCACCATCCCAGTGCCTTGTCCGTAAT